GTACAATTGTATTCTTTCATGAAAACAATACACTTGAACACATAAAATCATACTTTCACCAAAATCAAAATTTCAGCCTAATCGGCTGCGGGGGACCAAAGGAAAAATCCTCATTTTCGTCACTTTTGCGGAATATAAAAATTGGGTTGAAAATACATCGAAATGATGCCAAACTAAGTGCAATTGCATTCTTTCATGAAAACAATACACTTGAACACATAAAATCATACTTTCACCAAAATCAAAATTTCAGCCTAATCGGCTACGGGGGACCAAAGGAAAAATCCTCATTTTCGTCACTTTTGCGGAATATAAAAATTGGGTTAAAAATACATCGAAATGATGGCAAACTAAGTACAATTGCATTATTTGTTGAAAACATTACATTTGAACACATAAATTCGTACTTTCATTAATATCAAAATTTCAGCCTAATCGGCTTCGGGGGACCAAAGGAAAAATCCTCATTTTCGTCACTTTTACGGAATATAAAAATTGGGTTGAAAATACATCGAAATGATGCAAAACTAAGTGCAATTGCATTCTTTCATGAAAACAATACACTTGAACACATAAAATCAAACTTTCACCAAAATCAAAATTTCAGCCTTAATCGGCTGCGGGGGACCAAAGGAAAAATCCTCATTTTCGTCACTTTTGCTGAATATAAAAATTGGGTTAAAAATACATCGAAAATGATGCCAAACTAAGTACAATTGCATTCTTTCATGAAAACAATACACTTGAACACAAAAAATCATACTTTCACCAAAATCAAAATTTCAGCCTAGTCGGCTGCGGGGGACCAAAGGAAAAAAATTCATTTTCGTCACTTTTGCGGAATATAAAAATTGGGTTGAAAATTTATCGAAATGATGCTAAACGAAGTACAATTGCATTCTTTCATGAAAACAATACACTTGAACACATAAAATCGTACTTTCACCAAAATCAAAATTTCAGCCTAGTCGGCTGCGGGGGACCAAAGGAAAAATCCTCATTTTCGTCACTTTTGCGGAATATAAAAAGTGGGTTGAAAATACATCGAAATGATGCCAAACTAAGTACAATTGCATTCTTTCAAGAAAACAATACACTTGAACACATAGGCGAGGTGGTTACAAGCTATAGATTCACTAAGGGGAGGGCGATGTAATATTAACTGAGGCGAATAATTGTTTTAGTATAAATTTCGAGGTGTTTACAACATACACACAACACATTTTCATGAAATTTATAATTTCTTTAAACTTGTTATTTAAAAAAAAAGCATAAAAAAGCTATGGTCACTAACTAGACTAAACACCCACTTCAGAGACAGTAAATATTGACCGGAAAATAAATCAGTGCCCTCGAAATCTGTACTAAAAGTTTTTAGGCGGGGCATGAAACATGTATACTCTAATGCATTATCAACGATAATGTGATTGGCTTGCGAAAAAGTAGAATCGCTTCCTACTTTTTATCTGTTCGCGCGAACAAATTCGCCTAGTGGAGAACGGGCTTAATGCAGCTATCAGGTTCGCCTCATGAGAGGAGCAATTTTCGACTGTGTGTAGGAAGTTTTCCAACAAGCGAATTTTGCTCAGGGAGCGGAATGTTTTCTTTGTTTTTCTCAAATTAGTTCTGCATGAAAGCTGACAAACAAAAATCCGAGCGCGAAATTCTTCTGCCCAGTGAACAGCCCTAAAGGCTAAACTCCCTACTGCCCACCGTGACCCTTGCGAAGGAAATCTGACCGATCAGGCGAACTGCCCTTGTGCAACCTTTGCATGTTCTGCTTTTGTGATGCAATATGGTAATAAAAGTTTATTTCCGATATATGCAATATGCATAGGTATTGTTCAACAAGTTCTCAAACAGTTCTTCAGCTGTGGTCTGTTCAGGCAGGTTTTCATTAATTTAGTCGTGTAATAATCTAATTGTCGTTAGCATGTCAAAGTGGTTGATGTGATAGATTATCGCTACGTGTGTGCAGTCCAGTCGTGGTGCAGTCAATATTTCCTGATTTGAAAATTTGGATTTTTGCTTTGGTCTCCCGTTGCCGATATGCCTAAAATTTTGAATTTCATCAAAGTATGATTTTATGGGTTCAAATGTTTTCATGTATGTTTTCATGAAAATGCAATTCTGCTTAGCTCTGAAGGATTTCGACGTATTTTGAACCTGATTTTTGAATTTTCAAAAATTTGCGAAAATTATGATTTTAAGTGTTAAAAAATATACATTTTATATGTTTAAATGTATTTAGTTTCTGAAGGGGAGGTGATTACAAGCTATAGATTCACTGAAGCGAAGGCGATGTAATCACCGCGCCTGAGGCTACTGATTGTTTTAGTATAAATTTCGAGGTGTTTACAAATAACATGCACACAACACATTTTCATGAAATTTATATTTGCTTCAAACTTTTTATTTGAAAAAAAAGAAAAAGAATAAAAATCTATGGTCACTAACTAGACTAAAGACTCACTTCAGAGACAGTGAATATTGACCGTTAAATCAATCAGTCTCGAAATCTACACTAAAAGTTTTTAGGGGTGCATCAAACATGTATACTCTAATGCATTATCAATGATCACTTTTTGTGATTGCAATACAGCTATCAGGTTCGCCGTTCGCCTCATGAGAGGAGCAATTTTCGACTGTGTGTAGGAAGTTTTCCACCAGGCGAATTTTGCCCAGGGAGCGGAATATTTTCTTTGTTTTTCTCATATTAGTTCTGCATGAAAGCTGACAAAGAAAAATCCGCGCGCGGAACTCTTCTGCCTAGTGAAAAACAGCCCTAAAGGCTAAACTCCCTACTGCCCACCGTGACCCTTACGAAGGAAATCTGACCGATCAGGCGAACTGCCCTTGTGCAACCTTTGCATGTTCTGCTTTTGTGATGCAATATCATAATAAAAGTTTATTTCCGATATATGAAATATGCGTACTGCATAGTTATTGTTCAACAAGTTCTCAAGCTTAAAAAGCTGTCGTCCGTTCAGGCAGGTTTTCATTAATTTAGTCGGGTAATAATCTAATTGTCGTTAGCATGTCAAAGTGGTTGATGTGATAGATTATCGCTACGTGTGTGCAGTCCAGACGTGGTGCAGTCAATATTTCCTGATTTGAATATACCGAAAAATAAAGACAAATTTACATCCGGACTTTTTCACATCGTTGAAAATTACTTTTTCTCGAACAATCGACGACTAAATAAAAACTAGCCCTTCGGCATACTAATGACACAGCAGTTTTCTTTGGGAAAATAAAAAAACTTAGGGCCTACTTATTTTTAAATTGGCATTACTGCACTGCATACAGCATGTGTCCGAGACACCGCTATACAAATTATATTCGCACTAATTTTATATTGAATTTGAAAAAAAATTTTAAATGCATCAAAATTCAAATGTATGCCTATATATTCTGAATCTCTTCTCTCTGCTATGTATTTGAATAGTATACTGTATACATTACAACCGGCACACGTGTTCCATCACGCGGAGTGTGGGTGGCACCGTACACAATGAAACAAAGATTCTTTTCGGTGTTCATAGCGGCATACCTTCGAGTGCCATGTACTTTATCTGAATAATACGATGACATAACCCTTGCCTTTTCCTATATAGTTGTAGGCCATAGATTGACTGACTTTCGCTTTCGCCAACGATCAGTACAAACACTCTATATGTGTGGCTGTGATGATAAGCAAACACGACTTGCCCCAAAGACCAGGCGGAACTCAAAACTCGGAAGTGCGTTTTTTTTCTGTGAAAATATATTCAGATATTGTCGGGCAAAGTTATTCTCCACATTTGAGTTCATATACCCATATAATACTTGAATTTGCCGATACCCATAGAATAGTGATTACTTGAACTCGCTAGAATTGGATTCCGAATTAGACTCGGAGCTCTCTAATATATTCTCTTAAGTACATAGCATGACAGTTATAAATAAGGTGCCTACATTCAGAAGTTATACGTCAAACTACAAATTTTAATTTTATTTTAACCCCTACTTCTCTTGAATTTAATACGTGCAACATAAATATATTCTTGTGTCACGTGTCATAATACATTCTGGTGTGACTTCACTAGGTCACGTCTGCGTGTCGCACGTGTTTTCGCACACGTTTTAAACTGCTTAACTAATCCTCTTAACACAGTCACCAGCAAATTTTGAATCTCTCAAAATTATTTTTTTTGGCATTCGGTCTTTCGTTCAAGTCCATTTGCTGTGAAATTCCTTACAAATCATCCTGATACAAATTACAAAATACAGATTGCAGAGATTGTAGTCACATGAAAAAACATTTCGCCTGTAAACTGGGACATGTTTATATCTAAATGGTTTGTGCCATTGGTGGTCGCTGCTATTGACAGTGAATCATGAAATGACCACTCATAATTCAGGGTTTCCATTTCTAGGGAAATTTCCTTAGAAAAGTGCTCCACTATATATGGGGGAGGGTCATTATTTATTGCATAAATTATACATTCTTTTCAAAAGTTCTTTGTTTCTCTTTGCTCACCAACCCATCCCTGTGCGAGGAAAGCAATATGCAAATAAATTATGGAAGCCCTGAATCTCATATATCCAGCCATACAGTGTCGAATTATATTCGTGCATTGCCAGTTTGGATCTACTCACTCAGCGACTGTCACTGATGTAACTTCGTATTGTTATATAAAATTCAATCGGTGTTGTTTCCACATTGTCAATCTATATTTACCAATTTTTTTACCAATTTTCCTCAAGTCGAAAATATATATTGCCTCCAATATTTTTAGGTTGACAATATCGCAGTCAGAACTACCCATTATGTTTTGACAAGAGAAAAGCCTGGAGAGTGGAGAATATGTTTATTCGCAGCCAATTGTATTATTTTTATCAACGAATATCGAAGACGGTTTCAAGGACGGTAATTCGCGGAGGAGGAAATATGGAATTATTTATGTGGAAACAGGAAGGTAATTATTTGAGAATCCCACCATTGCCAATCATTACAAATTGATTAGGCATCAAATTCCTCTTCGTGCTTCGAGCTGCAAGCCACTAGGTGTATCCCAGCATACGTCCTCAAAATGTCTATCAAAGGAGCAGATCAACTGGAGCAATTCGCCCAAAGTAACCCGGTTTGTGATATAATTGCATTTTTATGTATTTCCACTTGTTTCGTGTTGTAAACATGTAATTTTTGGGCGAAAACGAGTTTGTTGGTTCAGCTTCAATCTCCGGATTTTCACATGCACGAAACGTCATATAGATCTTCCATGTACAGGAATTGTACAGTACTTGTGTTAATTTAGGAGTTTGATTTGTGTTTGTTTTCAAATTAGCGGCTAAAGCGCGGTGTTTTTGTCTCCTTGACTTCGTTTAAGCATGAGTATCAATTTTATTAATAAAGCGCGATCTATAATTTCTTTGTTTCGCTGATCGGCTGATAGTTTATAAATTACGCAATTTGTTTGGATGAGACGACGTTGTGACTCTTGTGAAATATTGAAAAGTGTCGATTGCTAGGAAATCTCTTGTATTGAAATTGTTTATTAGATTAAGGTTCATTTATTGGTGCATTGACAAGTCTTTCCAAGCTGCCGTAAAATTTAATCGCATACTGTATTAGAAACCGACGTAATCCCAGTTATGTAACCTAGAACTGTCGAGGACGTCAATTTTATTTGTGAAAGAGTGTTTGAAATATTTCACACGGAGATGATTGCTGAACTATCGTATTCATATGTTAGATTAGGTATAATTATTATTATTATAGGAGACTGCTGTGAAATTCAGTTCGTAGATTACGTAAGCCTAGTTATGTAACCAGCTGCATCACGTAATTCACGTTCAAAAAGTATTTCCACCTGTATTGAAAATGAATAGCTTGGTAGCTATAAAATAATGATGAGAGCCTTCAAATTACCTTATTTGTGTACAAAAGTATCTTACCCTACCCTAAGGGGGGTCATTGAATAGGCTATGAATGAGGCCTTTTCGGACATGCAGTAAAAAAATCATTTCTTTTCAGATCTATTCGCATCAATATGTTTTGTTTTGTGGCATTGTTTATATACTGAGTTTCCCACACTTTCTTGCCTAGTTTTTCAAGCATTCCTGGGTGGATTAACTCCCAGTCGATCACATTGCGTAAAATTTGTTCAAGGCTTTGTTCTTTAATACATGTGTTTTAGGAGATCTTTTTCAGTGGTTCTAGTTTTTTTCATTTATTGTTAAAATTGGAAATCATAGCTTATTGATTCCAGCTTTGAAGGCCTTTGTAAGGCTTTTGTATTCACAAATAATGTATTCATGAATGTTATGAAAAAATTCGATGAGTTAACAGTTTTGTCTTCCAGAGCAGTTGTTTTGTCTCCCTGAGCATGCATTTGTTTTTTCATATTAGAATCCTGGTAGAGCCACTACAGGGTTTGGTTGCCCGGTTGAAACATGTACAGCAACAATGACCGTTGGCGAACGTGGGCCAGTCTTGATCCAGGATAATTTCTTCATTGATACAATGACCCACTTTGATCGTGAAAGGATCCCCGAACGTGTGGTACATGCTAAAGGTGGTGGAGCATTTGGTACATTCAAAGTGACACATGATATCACAAAATACTGCAAGGCAAAAATATTCTCTGAAATTGGCAAGGAAACACCATGCCTTGTTCGTTTCTCAACAGTTGGTAGGTGGATAAATAATTAATAGCTTCATCAAATAGTGAGCTCTCTAGTAATCGTTTTCAAATGCAGGTGTGTCTTTATTGCAAGACAGCAACACTAAAGGATGCATTCATAGTTGCCTTTGTTTCATCTTAGTGGATTCAGTATGATTTATTATTTGGTGTTATTGCATATGGCACATTCTTCAAATTGCATATGTGTGAACATTCAAATAGCATCTCTAAAAAGTATTTTTTTTAAATATTGCTAGGTGGTGAGTCTGGTAGTGCTGACACAGCTCGAGATCCCAGAGGTTTCGCCATGAAGTTTTACACTGAAGATGGAAACTGGGACTGTGTTGGAAACAACACTCCAATCTTCTTCATTCGTGATCCCATCTTGGTGAGTTGTTGTGCTCTATGTACATGGTTTCCTCATTTACCTATGTTGTAAAAAAAGTCTATCTATACGCAATTTGCAATTTTTTTCTTCAATCATATAGTTCCCAAGCTTCATTCATACCCAGAAGAGAAATCCTGTCACTCATTTGAAAGTATGTATAACAGTTTAAAATGAAGTTTTAGAAAGTAAATAACAGACCAACTAAACTCTAGTACCAAGTATGTTCTAAATTCCGGCTGCCCATACTGAATCCACATATTGATTTGTATTTGACTACTGTACGTGTCAGTAGAGATACCAAAGCATGCCTGAGATGTTTGATTTTTAGGAACCCCTTCATAAGCTATCCCCATATTAGCAAAATAAAAATCTGATTTCTGACGTTGGCCACAGATATTTAACCATTTAACTTATACCTATATGATTACTTCAGTTTATGTGTTTTAAGTGTTTGTTTCATAACATTTTCAATCTTTTAGGATCCAAATATGTTTTGGGATTTCATCAGTTTGCGTCCAGAGACAACTCACCAAGTATGTTTCCTGTTTGCGGACCGTGGTGTTCCAAATGGTTATCGCCACATGAATGGATATGGCAGCCACACCTTCAAGATGGTCAATGACAAAAACGAGGCTGTTTACTGCAAATTCCATTTCAAGGTAAGAAATAGAAAATTGCAAGACCATTGCAATGTCTTCTTACAGGTGTTTTGCATTGCAGCCAGTAACTTTACAATTGATCAACATGGTTTTTAAACTACTCTTGTAGACTGACCAAGGAATCAAAAATATTTTCCAAGCTGAAGCAGAACAGTTGGCTGGATCTGATCCTGATTATGCAAACAGAGATCTTTATGAATCAATCACTAATGGCAAATTTGTAAGAATTTTTTATTGGCATTTATGTGAGATGTGTACACATCTTAATCCCCGAAGAATAAAAAATCCTAGCTAACCTTTTTAAAAGGTGATATCCAGTCATAATGTTAACAAATGCCTTGTTTAATTACATTCTGAACCTTTTATATTTTTGAAATACGAGAAACAGTCTGCATTCTGCACAAAATCTTACACATTCGTTCCCTTGTCTTAAATGAGTAAAAGCTAAGTCCTTGTCCAGAAAAATCCTGCAGAATTTAGGCAATTTTCAAATTTGCAATGAGCTAATTCTTGGAATAGACCCATATTGCACTGACATCATAATCATTAAAGTTGTGCTCCAGATGTCTCCTTGCTTCACGAAAAATAATCGTTATGCAAGCGGTAAAGGTTTCGAAAGAAAGTTTCTCACACTAGTAAATATTTCTGTATTTTGCGCAAAATTTACATTTTTGCAAAATTTTATCTAGGGTAATTTGTTCTCCAGGTTCTTGCTAACGTCATGAGCAAGGGTCTATTGTATACTAAAAAGCTAGGTCTGATCTATTCACAAGACCACAGCGGGAATGGTCAAATCACAGCTTAGATGCAACTTTATTGATTTTAACTGTTGCACAATTAGTAATGACAGTTCAAAATTTTCCCTTTCAATAATCCATTTCTTTCTTCTGTTTTTGCAGCCTTCATGGACATTGTATATTCAAGTGATGACCTTTGAGCAGGCTGAGAAATGCAAATACAATCCATTTGATCTCACAAAGGTGTGTTTTAAAAAAATCTATATCAGCTGCCCTTTCCATAAAAATACTAGTGTCTTGCACGTACACAGAAAAACTGCTCTGAAGAACAACATCTCGTTAAAAAGATTCGAGGCAACATCTGTGATATTCCAACTCTACTTCAGTCATTTCAAAAGGGAATATAAATTGTCAAATATCACCCTAAATTTTCAATATTTAGATTTGGCCACACGGAGATCATCCACTTATCGAAGTTGGCAAAATGACTTTGAACCGCAATGCCGATAACTACTTTGCTCAAATCGAGCAGAGTGCTTTTGCTCCTGCGAACATGGTCCCTGGAATTGAAGCGTCACCGGACAAAATGCTGCAGGGGCGTCTCTTCTCGTACCACGATACTCATATTCATCGTCTTGGCCTGAACTACCATCAGCTCCCTGTCAACTGCCCGTACAAGTGTACACCGAAACATTATCAGAGAGATGGTCCCCAGACGTTCGAAATTCCAGGTGAGTGTGTGTAATTCTTGATCGATCGATGTTGCTGTATGTCGGTGACAGTGGTCTAGGAGAATGTTAGAATGACCTCATCCCAGCGTTGTATTTTCCTTAGATGGTGCACCTAATTATTATCCAAACAGCTTCAAGGGACCAGAGCCTAATGAGAAATATCGCCATCATGTCCAATCGGTTGGTGTAAATGTATTTCTACTTAACATCTTAAGGCCCGTTAACACGATCCAACTTTGGCGGTTCCAATTCACTTCTGGTGGATGTTTTATAGTCTGTTCACTGGCAAAGTACATAGGCAGAAAATCAACTATAGCCATAACAAACAATATTCCATACGTCAGAAGCGATTTGGATTGGATCCGACAAAGTTGGATCGGGTGAACAGACCCAGTCATTTCCCCCCATTACAGATGGGATGGAATGTATCATTGTGCATCATTTCTCCAATATTTATCTATCAATTTCTAGTTCTCCCGGCTCTAATGTTTATCTATCAATTTCTAGTTCTCCCGGCTCTAACGTATATCTATCAATTTCTAGTTCTTCCGGCTCTAATGTCTATCTATCAATTTCTAGTTCTCCGGGCAATGCAAACGGTTTGAATCAGGCGATGAGGACAACTACTCCCAAGTGACAACATTTTACAACAAAGTTTTGAACGATGAATCACGTGCTCGTCTCGTTTCAAATATCGCCGGACATTTGAAAGATGCCAAGGACTTCATCCAAAAACGAGCGGTACGGTTTTCAAACTTTTCTGCATGCTAACAGTGCTAACAGTTATCACTCTGGTTGACGTGTTTTATCTCTTGTTTATTAAATGCACGGCAGGTTGTGTAAACAAGTAAACAAACGTCTAGAATTTCCCATAGAATGTGGTATAACAGCTACAATACCCATGCAATAATATTATTAGACAAAAACACTTAATTAAAGTGCCTTAGTATGTATGAACTTGTGTGGTCGAAATTTCGAGAAATGTTTTTTTGTTTTGGCACATTTGATCATCATAAATCATCATTTTTATACAACACCTAATCATGGTATAGCTATGAAATTTGTTCCTTACATATGATAGCGTAAAACTTTAAAACTTGCTTTAATCTTTAGGTGAGCAATTTTGCCCAAGTGAGCCCAGACTTTGGAGACAGGCTGACAAAGGCTTTGGAGGCTCACAATAAGGTTAGTTACATCGATATAATAATTAGAGAGTGCTAAACAGGGGGGTAGTTTGGGTTTTCCTGTAAATGCAGTTAAAAGCAGGTCTTTTTCCACTATAGCTATGAAAATAGGATAGATTGTGCCAGTATTTGTCATAAGAAAACCTTTTTGCGTGTGCACTTGCATGTCTAAGAGTAAGTTGAACATTGATATTTGGGCTTGGTCAAGCCTGTTCGCTGTTCAGTGCTCCAAGTTGTGGTGAGGAGTGGAATGGAATCTGCTGAATTCCAGAACGGATGGAACTACTTGTCCAAGTTGTTTGCACGACCAATTGTAACACTTCTGTTAAATAAACAAACTTATGGAAAGTTTGCATATGCCAGTTTTAACAACTTAACGATTGGAATGGTTAGAACGCGTTATGCATATAGTGCTGGGATATTATATATGAGCGACTGGAAGAAGAATTTTTTGACTCAAAATAACGTACATAAAGTTGAAAACTGCTCTGTTGTGGAATATTTTAACAGTAAATCTCTTTTTTTGCTAAGGCTCGTCTTTGAACTGTGGATGAGGAAAAAAGACAGTATGGAAAGATTTTTCAGTATTACCGTAGTTCTATAGGCTGCGAAAATCGTATGAATAATCAGTATGAATTAATGATCTAATTAGCAGTAAAACTATATATGTAATGTGATTATTTAGGATTACTCAAATACCGGGTGATTTATAACGTTAAAGGGAATTATTATTTGCTTTGCACCGCTTTGGTAGTTTAGCCACGCTTCGTTGCATGTAATGCTTGCTACACGAATAAGACAATTTTTACTTCATTTTTTTTCTCAATTTAAAAATAAAATATTCAATTCGTATAATTTGCATCTGTGGTGTGATTTAATATATATAAATATATATATTGGAAATTTTTAAAATGCCTACTGTGAAAATGGCAATTAGTATATGGATATTTGTAAACTTCCGTACTATTTCCAAACTAGCATCCATACTATGTCCATAAAAATTTCGAGTGGAAATGTACCCACCATTATACAAGTGGTTTCTCTTGAGGTGCGAGCGTGCATCATTTGAAGAATATCACATAATGTTATTTACATCCGTAGTATTCCAATACGGAGGCCATGACTCCCTTCAGTAACAACCAAGTCTATAGTGCATAATTCCATAGACCGCGACTTTTTCTATAGCTTGCATTTTTCTTGGTGCCGACACCGAGTATAGAAATCCGCTATGTTTTTCATGTTACCGCAAACTTGACTTGCCGAAGCAAAATTGTCGGTAGACTGTCACCTGTTGGAGTCCCATCGCTTCGCTGATCTCGCAGTGAACATGTAATCGAACATTCTAAATCGTACCGTATGGCTAATACAATATGACAACAATGCCCTCTTATTTCAACCCAGAATATTGAATACATTAGATGTCCTCGTTAGAAATTTTCTTGCAAGATTCTTGTTTTGTGGATGTGTATTTTTTCGCGATTTGCCTTGCGTAGCGATTTTTCCCGCCACTTTTTAAATTAATTAGTCTCGTCTCTAAAACTTTGTTGTTTTTAAAAGGTTTTACTAGCATTTCCTTTATTATTCGAGTTATCTTTAAGAAAGGGTTGAATGTTTTCAATTTAATATGGGAAAACTGAAAAGGGGGTGAGTTTATGAGTGTTTTTAGGTTTTCAAAATTGGGATTTTGCCGGTTTACTGAATATTGCCACCTGTCAAAGGGCATGCTCGTCTAATGAGCTCATACATGTGTAAGCTATGCCGTAATTTTCGCTCACTGAACCGGCTCAAAGCTAAGACTACAGGACAAATATATTCCTGATAATCTTACGCGCTTTTTGAAAATTCGAGCCAAAATATATATCTTTACAAATGACTTGAAATTACGTACATTAACCATTGGTGCGGGTTGTTTGTATGGACTGACATTTTTTCATGTGAATTTTCGTTGTAGAGAAGGGAACGCAAGGTATGGTGTTTATATTTGTTTTTTTACCTGTTCGACTTCACGACATATAATAGACTATTATAACAAAATGCCGTTATATTCTTCCAATCTGAACATTTTCATCTTTCCCCTGGCTGAAGAGTTTAAAATCAGCCTAAACGAGACGTAGGAATCTGGCGGTCAATATAGGACGCACTGATTACTGGATGTGCTCGGGTTTGTCAATCAGACGTCAAGAGACGTGGAAGATAGTTTGGATAAGACATCAATGAAAAGCGGAATATTTTATCTTCCCTAAAGCCTAGCACATTTGAAAACACCGTGGAATCATTTGCGATAGCCAAATTTCTTATTTCACCCAATGCAATTTACACATATGCAATAAAGGGTGTACCTTTGTCCCACAGTATTCTCTTGGACACAAGTTGTCCTGTAAGTGAATGCAACTAAATGGTAGTTTCAAACTTAGGGGATTTGGATTGCATGCACTTGATTGTCCAGCAATGGCGGCACTATAACTTGCACGACCATTTTCGATTACCGTCAGTAAACAACGGTTTATCCAACGAGCTAACGTCAGAAGATTAAGTTGGGGAACCGATTGGAAATGTAATATTACAGGTGCAAATGATTCGGTCACTGGGCCAGCTTAAGGATCACAGTTGGAAAACAGGAAAAGTTTCTGAATTTGATATAGGGCTTGGAATGAATCCGTAGTCTATGCCTCAACTGCGGTCCCAGGGCTATAGCTATTAGTCCATATGACAGAAAAGGCCAAATTTTGGAAAGCGCGTTCTATTGTGGAATAGTTTTAACACATGTCCCAGTAGTTGTGACCTGTGTCTAGACCTGTACATGACCTAGCCTTGTTCAGAAAATCCTCGGGCCTCGATTTCTTGACCTATCCTTGCCAAAGTACTTTTACACAAGAAACCTAGTTCATAGCTAGCGAATTTTAAAGTTGGCCGTAATTGGTTACGTTTAACGCTTACTATTGTTTTCTTCCAGGTTTCCTGTGTAAACAAACTATGAGAAAGATATTCCTTGTTATATTTTTATTTACTTTATGTTCATCACGCAGGATTCATAGTAAGTAAAAAGAACTTTACTTGATGCTATTGTCTTGCAGTAGCCCCATCATATATCCTATTTGTTGCGCCTCCTTGGACTTTCCGTTCTGCGATCTTTACATTGCGCTGTCGACTTCTTTTTTAGAACGGTCAGAAGATGTAGATCCATTACTAAAGGAACTTTTTAGTGAGATCAATGACCCGGTACCTAAAGACCGTAGGGACGGACAAACATCCGCGGATCAAGATGCCGGTACTGCCTCCACGACACCTAATAACGAGGACGTTCCTAACGATAGCGACGTGCCTACTGATAAACCTGAAAAATCCGGTAGTGATAAGTCCGATGACTCCTTAATGCTCAACGCTGACTCTGCAGATAAACAAACTACAACAGCGCCGGGGACTGAGGCTAAAACTACGTCTAGCTCGCAGGATAACAGTATGGACGAGAATGCTAAAGAGACTGAGGCGGGTAATGATGACGCATCCATGTCTTCGTCAGATAGTGAGGGCGAGGCTGACTCGTCATCAACTGATACTAAGGATAATACCAAACCCGAGTCTTCAAACAAAGAATCAGCGGATGCTCCCAAAGGTGAGACTGCAATAAATGAAAAGCAAGATTCAGCGGCAGCGCCATCTGAACAATCGTCGACCAAGACTGAGAATGCGGATAAAGAATCGCCGAAAACTGCTGATGCCGAAACCGCAGGTAGTAAAGCAGAAAAACCAGCGGTCGTTCCGCCGCAAACGTCATCAGATAATTCTGACGATTCAAGCAAACAGTCTGCGGAAACCACCGAAAATGAACCTTCGAAAGTTGCGCAGGATACTCCTGCAGTCGTTACTCCAGAAGAGAAGACTCCAGAACCATCTGAAGATCAGGCAGCTAAGGCTTCCGATAATAATTCTCCAGTCAGCGATGAAAAACCAGCTGCTGTTTCATCCGAAAAGGCGCCAGCCGATTCTGATACGTCCGGCAAACAAGAAACCAAAACAACCGAGGAGAAACCTGAAGTCACTGAGAAGGAAACTTCAGCAGATGCTTCCGCGGAAGGAAAAACACCGGAGCCTTCTGAGCAACAGGCCGAGGAAGCACCTGCTAAGGAGCCCGCTGTCAGTAATGGCGAAAATTCCGCGGTAGCTTCGCCATCTAGTGATGCTTCATCTAGCGATGCTTCATCTAGTGATGCTTCATCTAGCGATGCTTCATCTAGTGATGCTTCATCTAGCGATGCTTCATCTAGCGATGCTTCATCTAGTGATGCTTCATCTAGCGATGAAATGGAAAACAAAGAGCAGACTGATGCTCCAAATTTCAAAGACCAGCCGGAAGAGGCTGCCATGGGCGAGGTCGCTAGCGAAACTGCTTCGGCTCCTCCGGAAAGCGAAGAAACACCCAGTACTGACGCCAACACAGATAGTGAAAATGACAACGCAGCGAATCAAGTAGTAAGTTCGCCAAGCTCGGTGGAAAATACGGTCGGAGATCTCCCAGAAGCTGCTGCGAATGTTGCTCCAAGCAATCAGAATTTGGCACCACCATCGGATAGTTCTGGTAAGAATTCAAAGCATATGATACCGTTACTAAGCTTAAATCCAATACTATATTGCTTTAGGATAGATCTCTTGAAACATCACTCTCCGAGACTCCTTATTACCGAACTATCAGGTGGTATATACGACACTTTGTAAACACCGTTCAGACATTTGCATGGAACATCGTGTATATGTACTGGAAAGATAACTAAATTCCATTTCTGTAATTTGTTCTTCTTTTAGTTGACGTGCGCAGCCACGTACCAGCGGCACCATCCACGTTATCGCAAGCTGCTTGGTCTGCGGCGAGCCCACTTTCGGTCGCGCCTCAACCTGGAAGTATGGAAACTAACGAGAAGAGGGGTTCGATCAGAAAGGATAGTATTCCTGGTCCCCCAGCGCAGGCTGGGGGTTCCTCCTTCCCACTGCAACTCAACAAACATTCCCCTGGGGCAGATCTAATAAAGAGATTCTTCATCGCGAAGAAGCAAGGTATTCGAGATAACATAGACAGTTTTGTTTAGTTCAGGTTTCTTTCTGTATATGAGTTGAACGGAGACATTAGGACATGTTACTTAACTCACTTATAGATCTATGAAGTTTAGAGTTGATAGTGATAGATGATTAGCCAAATTTAGGTTCCTGGAACGACAAAGAACATTACTTCCTGGCCCTTGTGTAATTCTGCAATTTGAATAGATAATTTTCTGCAGTCTTCTGCATTATTAGAGAGTACAAGGAAACTGGTTAGAAACCACTGTTAGTTTAGTTTACGATTCACGAAAAAGTATTTGGATAACCTTTTTGCAGAGTTGTTAAGGACTGCTATGGCGCGTGCTAAAAATACATGCAGTAAAGCTTGGAGCGTAGCGGACATCCAGGAAGAGAGGAAAAACCGTTTGTTTCACGATTTCGTATTTTTCTATCCAGCTAAGCTGAAAAAAGAAGAAGACGCAAAAATGAAATCTTTGATCGGTGATGGCAAATTTACTGTCAGCTCCAACAACGGTGGGTCTATCTTCCTTTCAAGTTTAAAACACTTCTTTTTATTAGGTTTCGATGTCTAACATTATTTCCTGGTGTTTTTCTAGGTTATTATAATTATGCTGCGGCACAGCCTCAGCCCCAAGCAACTCCCACAGGTCTTGTTGACAACGGCCAAGAAGGTAAATTGCATTTGAACTAAATATTATTTTGTGTTTCTTTGTACGGCATTTATGACCTTTGCCAACTCGTGCATTTTTGTACGTTTAGGTGCATGTGTCGATAAATACGACAGTTGTCCAGAATTCGCAAGGAACCACTACTGTACAGACTACAAGGCGTTGATGAAAGTTCAATGCAAAAAATCTTGCAAATTCTGTGGTGAGTTGACCATATGCATGTTTACTATAATTTTTATTTCCAATGACCACTTGAATTTATCTTATCGATCCTATCCTTCTGTATAACTTCGGATACTCGGGAGTAGAGTTGGTCCCGAGATTTTTCTCCGCGTGCATCACCAGTGTCCCTTCTTGTCCCGCACGTGTGTAATAGATCTAGAGCATTGCTTTGAAAATGCGATGCGCACATCATACTACTTATAAAACCGCCCAATTACTGTATTTCTTTGGGCTCACGGTTTGAACTATTGGTCCTAATAATAGACATGCTCAAGGTATTTTTCGTTATCTTGCCAGAGTTGCAAAGACAATAAAATTCATTTATGAGTGATACTTATACCATTCACGAATATGGCATTTTAAGTTTATATTGTCTTATCACAACGTGTAAGAGGGAAAAGCGTCCATTCATTTGTTTTGGTCGTGTTTGAGCTGTTTGTTTTCGTAGTCGGTCACTAAAAAGCTCCAAATGGAAAACTTGGTGTTAACTATTTCGTGCCATGATTCTAGATGGGGATGAAGAAGAAGATGATGATGATGATGACGATGAAGATGCTTTTAAAACAACCGCCAGCCCAAAAGATAAAGACGATGACGATGATGATGAAGACAGCAAAGAAAAAGAAAAATCTGATAAGAAGGCGGATGATAAAGGTAATGATATACCGTTCCTGATACGACCTGCGTGTGTGTCCTTGCGTTGTGCAGTTGAACAAGTTTACTTGGGTTGAACAAAGTTGAACAGAAACTTTATAATATAGTAACATACCTTGTGTATTTATTATCAGGTAATGTTGACCACGATATGTAAGAGAACATTTGGGAGATGACTCGATTTCAAATCCAGCTTTCTCGGTCCTAGGTTATAATTCTTTCATACGGAATATTATTGTATCTAAGAATAAATGCCCGTTTGCCTTTATGGGAAATGGAGTGCCGAGAATCAGAAAAAAGTTCTCACAGAATAAGCCAATTGAGTCGTGCGATGGTTTCGTTCTGTACAGTAAACAAAGTTAAACAGCTGCATGATTATTGTACATTTCGTAATAAAACAAGTTGTTGTTTCCTCGTGAGCTTCCATATCGCAAACGTCCAATATCCATTGTATATATGCATATATATGTATATCTCTACCAAGTTTGTTAGACGTTACCTAACTGTGACGTATTTTCTCGTTATCTCTCGTTAGAAGAAAAGAAGGAGTCTAGTGGCAGCGAGGATGAAAATGAAGATGAAGATGAAGACGACGATGATAAGCAGGGTACGAAGAAGGTTGATGACGACGATGATGATGAAGATGGTTTGGATGCTGTGTTATCCGATGATAAGGAGGGAAGTTCTGGTAAGCTTTGCTGCTATTGGCCTATAAAATCTGAGAATGATGGTCATCATAAGTAACCTACACACTGTAGTATAGATGTAGTATAGAAACAGGGGCTCTAGTTATAGCAAAACAGCTCAGAGTCCAACCTTTTTCCAGCAAATAAATAATTATCTTGTGATTTAGATGCTAAAGACAAAAAAGCGTCGAGTACCAGTAAGGATGTTAAGGTCCAAGACTCGGGCTCAGGTACCTCCGACAAAGGTTCCGGTAAGGATGAAGATCTCCCACCAACCGCTGAGGAATTTGAGACTGACGATGAAGATGATAAGGAAAAAAACAACGGGTCTGGAAGCGAAGGGGACGAGAGCAAGGAGGATGATGATAGTGACGAGTTGGCTAAAGGTATAAATATGGTTGAATAGGAAAGAAATATCACACGCTCGCATTGAAGAATGCCAAACCACAGGTGGAATAGCGTGCGAGATGCTGTATATATTTATTGTGTGGTAGTGCGGCAGATAAAGTTCGCACGAAAATAACCTCAAGTTTCAACGTTTAATGAGACTTTTATCAACATTCATATCATGATTAAATAAGAAAACAACACGTTCTGAGTGCAATGACAATATGTAGATGGCAACAGTCGCGCCTCTAGGCCAGTTCACAAGGAGGACTTTTGCTGCAAGATTTGGGTGCGATTCCTTTCTTTCAACAGATGCGATCGAGTGGATAGGTTACATATGTTCAAATAAATGCAGTATCCACAGAAAATCCATACCCTTCGCTCGTTTGCGTTGCGGGTGTCAAAAAAAGAAAATCGCACCGTGTTGACCATAACTTTTTTTGCCCACTCTTTCAGATTTAGCTGAACAAGAACTGTTCAGTGAACAGAAACCTAAGAAGAGCACTATCCCAAGGCCACAACCCGATTTGCCTGCGGCTTACCCTAAAATTGATCTTAAGGACATCGCCCGTTATGTGTCCTTGTATCGCAATGTCGCGAAGAAACTCTTTGGAGAGGCTTTGAACAGCGCAAAGAAAGGTAGATTCTGTCGTTTTTTACATTAAATCTTTTCAGCATGCAATGTGAGATCGATGCGTTTTGCCATTAAAACGAATGGTCAAAATCACATTTAAAACTAATAATATGACCAGGTACCCATATGACTACCAGTTTGAGAAGAATTGCAAGTCCGTAGATTCCCTGTTTTGTAAAATGTACTTGCCATTAAATTTCGTTGTAAAATCCTGAATAATATTTCGAACTTATCAAAATGAGGGTAATTTTAGAAGACATACGAAAAACCCACTCCCAACTGCAGGAATGGCTGAAAGGGGCAAAAATTTATGCCATATTTCCACTAAACCGATGCTTCATTGTCGCATATAGAATTCGTCGCACAACAGTCTAAGAGGTCTGATATCCCAGTCCCCATCAAGGAACGACTGCGCTCCGAGAAGAACTCTGGAGATTCCTTGGAAGGCTTCTACTCCAGTCAGGATAAAAAGCGGGATCAAATCCCAGCAATGGATCCAAACAACGCTCAGTATACTCAGGTGAGTCACCGTGAGTGATGAGTTCATACATAACAATTAGCAAAACTAAAACTTGCATTACATATTTGTTGTCATGTTTTTGTCGGACAGACTGATGAGCAATGGGCGAACAAGGCTTACCAGGAGGCAGAGAGTTATCTGAGAAGTAAGATTCCAGAGTTCAAGAATTACGCTCCGCCTGCCATGTTCAACTATCCATTCTACATCAACGATCCGAAGAAGGCCGCGAAACAAAAGGAGACAAACGAGGGAACGACATCGAAGAAATCCGAAATCCCGGAAAGTCCCGAGCAGCAATACAACAAGACGCTCACGGACATCCTCAGACGGGACCACGTTGAAAAGAAGGTCTCGGATCCATACGAATACCTCCGTGACATGATCCCCGGCTCCTCGATGAAGCCTATCGCCAGCAAAAATGGTATCGAATACATTCCCGATACTTACTCGCGGCCATTACAGCTTCGTACCAAGAGTCAGTGGTTCGATGTGGTTGCTAAGAAAAGGACCGGAATTCCAAGGGCCCCAGCGCCAGGTAGGATAAAAAAGACACTTGGCCTCTTTTTTATCATCTAATTTTGTATTGCCCAAACGTATGTAATAGAACCGCTTCTCCATGTTTAGTCTTTCAAAAATGCATCTTCGTGACATGTAAAATATGTGAACAAGGTTTACCTAGTTAAAGATAACCTCCAACTCTTCAACAATCAAAATTTATTGTGGCGTGCCTACATGCAGAAGCTGCCACGTTGCTACCCGTCTTCCCAAATAAATATTTGAGAAGAATGGTTTATGATATTCTTGAAATTTTCACTCCCAACAAGCAAAGCAGTTGGTTTTGTTTAGAGTAATGGAAATTAAAATACCGGTGTGTTTTTTGTTTAGCAGCACCTGCTCGCAATAATGTAGTCCGACCAGCAGCGGTTCCACAAATGCAGACTGGTCCGGAAGCGCTTGCCGCCCAAATGGCACAATACAAGTCAACTGTATCAGGTACTACATCAAGTCCTGACGCTGAGCAAGGCACGGCAAGATCCGACGTGTCACAACCTGAACTCCAGCAGTTACCAGAAGGTATGGCATGAACGTTTTAACCTTGTTGTTGCAGAGCCATTGATATTTTGAGATCATGGAATGTGCAGTTAACACAATTATCATAGTAAAAACATTACTATATATTACTGGTTACTTCCCCAGTACTGCATGTATATTGTCTCATTTTGTTTGGCCTACTGGCCTGGGTATAAACGTGGCAAGCAATTTAGGCAATAAAAATGCAGTTATAACACAAAACACGATCCGAAAATCAACATCTTGGAAAATCTAAGATTAGACTAAATCAAAGACGCCAAAAGTGAAGTAGCAATATTTCGATTTTATTTCAAAATCATCATCTAGCTGACTTCTAATCATCGTCAGATTATATATGATGCAAGACATAGTATTCATTGTTCAGTGAAATAAAACAATGAATGTCTTCAAAACATTTAAGAATTGATCATCTTGGTTTTGAGTTCTTCTGCATTTTTTTCTTGTCAAATGCATCATTGGATGGATACTGAAAATTTCATTGCTTTTTTTAAAGCGATATTTCTTTGCTGGATAGAATAGTTCAACAATATCGCTAATCAATCACGATAAATGCATAATGACCGAAATTATCAAAAAGCTGTTCTTCTTTTGAAAATTATAACTTTTGTGACAACCTGCTGGAGCAGTATCCGTTTTTTTGCGAGTTTGTTTAATACGTGTATACCTAAGCGCATTTTTTTGCCCAATTTTAGCTGAGAACGTTAACTTCTTGCAATCAAACCAAGGGGTTGAACAGACACCATCATTCCAGCAAATTGACTCCAGAAGCAAAGGTAAGCACATGCATGTTTTGTATCCATAAGATAACTAATCGTTTATCAAATAACTTCCAAATATTTGTAAATCTATATGCATCTTCTAACTTACTAATATCAAACTAATTAAAACCGGTTAATGAAATTTTAACCTCATTCTCAAGAATGTTGATAAAGGCCACCTAATTCTGCACAATATGGCGTGTACCGCACGGCAACACAAACTTTGTTTACATGAAGAAAAACATTTAAAACACACAAAGGGAAAAATACTTCAAAATGATTTTATTTTGTTTACAAACTGAACGAGAATATGTAAAACTAAAAACAAAAAAACTAAAGTTACTAAACCTGACGAAATTTCATAACGAAACGAACATAACAATTATTATATCCATTCACTTTCAAAAATCATTTAAAATCTTTTTTCTCTGTACTGAAATCGACATGTTTTAAGCAATAAGGCCTGAGTTTAAGAACTATTTTAACTAAAACATACTTAGAACAAAGAAACATCAACTGAATGGATTTGCAATTGACTTTATACACATTTACTTTACTCTAGCATTTTCTTTCGATGAAAAAAATTGTAATAATTTTGAACAATACTAACCACTGATTAATTTTTTGCACTGGTCAACTGTATAACTTCCATTCACACTAAAACCACAGATAAAATAATTAACCAATCTTACCAACTGACTAAAACCTCAAAACTGTAACCCGCAAACCTAACTGCTGACATGACAAACAAACAACGAAACGACTTACGTGTAACAAAACGTGTTTTTGAACTAACAATTTTCTAACGAGTTGATTTAAAACGTGTGTCGTTTGACGCATATATTGGGCAGAAATAGATGCGCTTATTTGCTAAATTAGCCCAAGACATTCAGTTCATTTTACTTCAAAGGGATTTAGGGGAAAATATCAAAAATCAATCACAAATTTCTGACCTGACATGCTGACAAGACACATAACAGTTACGTCACGATTACCTGATATCGTTAGGTTATTGAGCATGTGACAATGACGTCACGCCAACTAATGAACATGCGCTACACGGAAGAACATCGTGTTGATCGCAACATTGATCAAAACTGGATGGATCAACGAGTTCTACCCAGTGACTGGTTCTACGAAACATTGTTCAGTTGTAAACATTATACTTTATCCGGCTTAGGATCTGACTAGCTCGAATGATATTGTAAACAACTGTACACAAGTTCAACACATAAGGCAGCACAATATTCAATCCTGTTAAGCTCAGAATTTTTGTCTGTGTGGCATCTTTTAATGTCAGCGGTCAGGTTTGACGTCAACACAACACTTTATATAAGGACAGGTTTTTCTGCACACTATCAACATTCTTGAGAATGTGATGATGACATATTCTAAATCACACATTCTCTTCGTTATAGTTGCTAAGCAACCATCGCCACTGGCTCGAGTGAACCGACAGGCTCAGCATAAGGGCTAACCACGCATGGAAGTCTCGAAGTTAGCGCGTGACGCGTGTATATATAAGAACTCGCATGTCTGGGCTAATTAGTAAAATAAGCGTCTCTATTATTATATAAAAAATTAGAAAGAGAAAATTTTGATAAAAACATTTGCTTTATTCTAGCCGAAGTATGACTGTTCGTTGTCTATTTTCACTTAAGAATTCACCATCTGTAGCAAGCAGGTTTCCACTGTCAACAGTGTATCATTAGATCTGCACTTTAGCAAACGTGATCTTTTTTAATCGGTTACAAATTTTGAAATTTATACGAAAATAGACAATGCAGCTGATCGTGCTTAAATGCGAAGAATAGCCCTTAAATCTAGCCTAAACAGCATGAATAGTTAGCAAAAATGAATTTCCCCCAACGAAACGTGCTTCAACTATTATCTAACTGTAAAGTTGTATATATTGTGTATTTGACGTTGATTTTCATAAATTCGACCTATTTTCAAGTGTGTGCTACAATTGGTACCTTTTTCACATTCAACTATGGTCTACCGAGTCGATAGAAAAATTCTATTATTTTCGAGCACATATAGAGTGATAATATAAAACGGGTCCCACAGATTTTATCTCTTGCAGGTTTTATGAACACGTTTTCACAGGTCGAGTTAACGCCGGAAAGTTTGAACAAACGTTCCGCTTCGATACGACGATAGTGTTATTAAAATGATTTTATCTACAACACAACCTCTTTTATACGCCCTGGGACCGGAGTGTGTACATTGAGTATTCATGTTGCAACGACGTTGATCAATGCCACGTGGTATTCTTTATACGCTGATTAGTGTATCTTGAGTAGCCCTTCTTCTGCACGCCATTTGAGACTGCCATTACGAAATATTGCAATTTGCAACAATTTCGGTAGAGCATCGTTTCGAGTGATCAAGTTTCACAAGAAACTTATCAGGTTGCCATGCACTGTGCAAAATACTCCCCAACTTCGCTAACCTTTTAATGAGCTTCCAGTTTAATGAATTGAGCAGTGGTTGTTGCGTTCACAACAATTAACTGTAGCATTTGGTAGTGTTCCCTATGGAACGATAACTAGATCGCCATCTTTGATTTTTGAAACCAATTTGAAGCATAGCTAATTGGAAATTGGTAATTTAAAGATGGAGGAGTTGTAGAGGGTGTGCAAAACCTCAGCATAGTGAGATCTGTGGAGAAAATACCATTTATCACTGCACATTCTACTTTTATCACAACACAAATTGGTTATCACTGCACACTAAAATTAGGTGTGATTTGAAGCTCTATATTGTAGGACCGGCGCTAGGATATCTTTTATTTTTATTTACTTTTTATTAATTATTATAATATAAGAACGTCTTTACGGCTAACGATGCTGACACTGGTCCACAATTCGCTTCGCAATAGCTTCAAGAGAACGCCCATATATCCTCAGTTATCGTTCCAATTTTCATACATTTCTCTGCATGCTACTGGCCGAACACTTAAACCAGCAGCGTTTTATCTTTATGTTTGGTCGAAATTTATTTTTAAATCTCATTCATTAGTTGTGAATAAAAATGTCCCGCAAGCTTTACCCCCGCTCTTACATGACGTCCCCGGACATAGCTCGCAGAACACAAACACCTTTCATCAGTTACCACCCCTGAACCATGGCGAGTTACCCCCGTTAAACCACGCTGATCTACCACCGTTGCATCACGGGAATACAAATAATCCGTCAAACTTGCTGACGTCAGAGGTTAATAGAGGAACCAACAAAGGTGAGAGAAGCCCTGCCTTATTGAGCCGTATGAGTATAGTTTTGTGTTCTGCTTTTAATACTTCGTTGGACCGTGTCCAACTTCACAGTCCAAACGGAAGGTTATCAAATGGGTCCAATCAAACCTACAAAAACAATCAATACATAGAATCGAATATCCCTGACTGCATTTCCAAGAAATATACATGTTGTTGGCTCGAGGTGAGAATCCAAATCAAGTAAAAGATTTCAAAAAAGAAACTTAAAACCTAAATTACTATAATATACGGTGTATGAGATAAAGTCCTAGGCGTAAATTCACCCTATAATAATGGTTTTAGCACAAGTACTGTGGTTAGGGCTGAGGCTATCCGGTGAAGTTATTTTATTTCACAATGTTTCTGTTCTTTAGGTGCATCATTTACAGCCCAGTACAGTAATCCAGTAGATAAAACGTCAGATAAGCCTTCACCTCCGTTGGTCGGTAAACAGAAGGATCCTTCAGCTTTGAAGGATAGAGTCGCTCCAGTGCAAGATATGCAGATTGGAATTCCCACTGCATATTCAGATCAACGGAGGACAAAAGAATCGCAGGGTTAGTGCTGTTGATGGTAGTATCACTAGATTAGGAAGGAATGTATCGTCAAACTTTGCTGACTCGACAATATCAAATCCCATTCAACACATTATCGCTCGTTACGAAGATATGAATGACGTTACACGAAACAATGTTATAGATGATGCTAGCCTAAAGTGTTGGCCCTATTACCAAAACCTGAAGTTCGGGCAAGTGTCTGTACATTTGTCAGTACATCGATGCAATGTACAGTTGTCTGAAGTTCTGAACATTACTTTACCTCGTTCACAGCAGCAAAATTACTTCCACCATTATTATGTAACGCAATAAGGCTTAACCTACGTTGCAAATTGGGACTGCCATAATTGACACTCTTGCCCCATAGCGTTTACCACTATAGTATCTCTTCCTAGTTGTTCCGCGTTTTCTCCATGTAGTAGGTGTTAAGGAATGATTTGGTATAGACGAGGGGGGAATGAAGGCTATCGTCATAAATTTGAGCTTCTATTTTGTTGTTTTCTTCAGCTCCAACGCGATTATTTTCTGGGGCACAAAATGGCCAAAGCAGACAGGTATTTGTTTTTCATTCATTTCTCATGAATATTTGTTCGAAACCGGTGTGATCCTCAAGCTGTTGTCAGTGCCTGCATCCACGCCTGAACTAATCTAGAATAGTCGAGTATAATTGGCATTTATTCCATGAGAAATCATCGCACAGATCGTAGCTCATCACTCGCGCAGATAGAGTTTCCCACCCAGTGCCTCTGAATAGGTCGTTCTCATAATGACGTCAAACGCGGAGAGCCTGATGTTATACGTAAGAAATTTTATTGGCTCCGCAAAACTAACGAGCCAATCAAACTTCGTATAACATCAGGCTTTTCGCACTTGACGTCATTATGAAAAATATCTATTTGTTATTGTTTTTATCTCATTCTTAAGATATAGTCATCACTGTCTTTGAAATTGTCTACACTGTGCCGCTTGATTTAAATGTTTTACTTTCAAAACTCGGCGGGATGTCCTTTCAACATTGCCTCTATTTATAGTTCCCTTCGACCCCCGGCGATCCTTTTCCTGTTCCCCTCCCCCCTGAAGGCATGTCACAAGATGCATCGACAAATCAGGTATCGTCTACGAATCAGGCACCACCTCCAGCAAATCAGGCCTCTTTGCCCGCAGTTCCGGCACCTGTGGCACAGAATGTATTTTCCACAAACCAGAACGGCTACCAGCCTGAACAAAGCTACGTCGTCCCGGTGTTAAAGAAAAACTTGATCCGTCCACATCCAGGTATTAATTTAGATTGAAACTTTTTTCCCGTGCAAACCTGTTTGTGCTAGAAGCTGAAGAGGTTTCTTAAAGATTTACTTCTGCGGTCCAGTATCTTCATAAAAAGTTATGTTTACATTTTGGCGAATTCATATGACAACTAAAAATACGGTGTACAGGCTTACAGTTGTGTTTGTTTCGGCCCAACCACTTAAAAATTAGTTGATAAAGAAGAATACAGGCCCCTCGAACGCTGGCATTTTTCTAAAGCTGGGTTTACACTTCAACAAGTAAAGTACTACAAGCGGTGATTTTGATTTTTAGACTTGCAGTGCGACGAGGGATGGAGAGGAGCATCAGGTGACTTTGGAAGCTTCTGTTACAATATCATGTACAAGCGCCTCTCTTGGAAGAACGCACGAGAATCGTGTAAAAATTTCGGGGGAGATTTGTTCAGCGTTAGGAACGCTTATGAACAACGGTATGTTATAGCAAAGTAATGTAAATTAGACTTACCTAATATCTTTTCCCAATCGCTTATAAGTTGTAAAGTGGTCTTCCTGGAGTAAGTGCAGAACTGGTCACTCTTGTCCCACCCATTATTCAGTAAAAGTAAGGATGCGCTCAGACGGCCAAAGTCAAAACTCAGTGTTGGGTAAAACATGCTGAGCACAGTCCTCTTGTTGAGTACTCAGTCTGGAGATAGTGCCCGTTCTTGAGCACCATGGCTAATTTCATTATGAAGCGTCGTAACATTGATATAGCAGTTCTATCTAAAATACCTTTCCTCCCACAACCGAGAATTCCTTTTATTTCTAAAAGATTCCTCAATGGTATTGCAAACTCTCCCCTGTGGATTGGATACCAGGACAAGGCTAGCGATGGCACGTGGTCCTGGGTCGACGGCAGTACCACCGTCTACACCAACTGGGATACCACAAGCGCTCAAGATCAAAAGCAGACAGATTGCGTCATCTTGGACTCTGAGGAAGGGAAATGGCGCGATGTGCCTTGCAATGAAAAGCATAAATTTCTCTGCAAAAGGACTGGAGGTAAGCGTATTGAATGAAATAATAATAAACATTACCACTCCTGCTTTTTTTGCGAAGTTTATAAATGCAACCCAGTCATTCATACTCATTCTCAATCCGTTCACTTCTAAGTGCAATGAGACTATATCTTTATTATGTGTCTTTATCAATCAGAACAGCCTTATGGCATGCACGGTTGCCTTTTCTTGCGACGAGCGAAGAGTGATCAATTTATACCGGATTCAATTCATCGTTTTATAATGTTGTATTTTTCTTAGATTGTGATGAAAAGAGTGGATGGAAACTTCTGACATTGTCATCACTCAAAGGTTGTTACCGACTGAGCGACAAAAAACGAGCTTGGGACGAAGCATCACGAACCTGTAGCAAAGACAACGCAAACCTTGCGAGTATTTTGAGCGATGACGAGCAAATTATGATCTCACAGGTAAATAACCTACCATACGCTATCTATTGCGAAGCGACGCAAAATAGTTCCTGCGTTGTATAGGCAGGAGCAACCATTTGACGCAGTCGTTCCTCATTGATCAACTGCGTTTTTTCAGCGAGCTGACAGTGTCCACCATGAATAGATATGTTAGTTTTTGACCTAGACAACGTCGGTGTAATGATTGCAGTAAGGGTACATGATTGTTAAAGAAAATAACGAAATTATTCCGTCGTAGGTATATAGTTCAAAGAATAACGTCCCCCAGAGCATCTTCATCTGTTCTTGATAAAGAATCAGTAGTTCGTCTGTTCTTGATAGAAAATCAGTAGTGTAGCCAGTAGTTAGAAAGGCGTTTAGCTTAAACGGTCGATAAACCAAAGTTCAAAAATACTCTCATAGATCTTGTGAATGACTGAAAGTGCATCTTGCGCATTAAATATGCACTTCCATTGAAAATTAAACTATTTATATCGAAATATTTCAGTTCAGTTGCTCAATAAACAATAATTTTGTTTTCCATTTTGAACTTATCCACCTTAACGCCTTTCAAACAACCGGCCCCTGACGATGTAGTCTTGTTATGCTAATATTTTGGTGTCATTGATTGAGAAAACAACGAATTTCGAGAAAACAACAAATAAACAATGTCTATAATTTCTATGGTATTAGGCTGCATTTTCTGAAGCGCAATAGTATCAGGGGTTATTCTAAGCTGGAGTTGCTACCACTTTTTGAAGTTGTACGAAAATTTCTGGAGAACGAAATTAGTAATAATTGTATGTCTACAGCTATCCATATAATAATTTCCATCTCCAAAAATTTTCTTACAGTTTCAAAAAGTAGCAGCAACTCCAGCTTAGAATAGCCTCTGGCCAGTATGTAATGGGATATTACCACAAGTGTGAAAGTAAACTAAGCTAACGCTAAAGCTCTACTTTTAAAAAGGTGGCAGCAACTCCAGCTTAGAATAACCTCTGGCTTTGTATGTAATGGGATATTACCACAAGTGCGAAAGTAAACTAAGCTAACGCTAAAGCTGCACTTAAATAAGTCAGTTCATTCCAAGCTGCCAGCCTTCTCATATGCAAAGTTAACATCCAACTCATCTCTATGCATGGAGAGTGTACTGGATGAATAGGTCTGATTATGATCTTCCTAATCGTGGATTACAACTATAGTGACAATCATTTCTCTTCATCATTTTAAGGTGTACTCCGACGACAACATATGGATTGGTTATAACGACCGTGAAAGCGAGGGGGATTGGACCTGGACTGACAAGATGACGTCGTCATATACGAACTGGAACGACGCTTCGCCGAACAATGGTGGAGTTTCATGCGCCTTGGTTACATCGCCCAGCGGTTCTTGGCGTGACGAATCGTGCAAAACGTCGCATGATTTTATTTGCAAAAAACGTAAGTTGATATTTTATTACTCCTAAGAGATTGTATACAGGTGTCTCTAATGTGCACTGTGATATATGCACGTGTCGTTTGCTACACGTATTCGCTGATCAAACTCTTTCCTGAAGTGAAAGAAAAGAAAAATCCTTTCCTAAAAATATTAGAAAGCAGCTAGGTTTCTTTCGGACTGGTATGGTCATTGGAGCTGGATAGCCGTAACTATGAATGCCTTTTTCTCCAACGATTATGGTGAGAAGTTTTCAAAAAAAAAAGTAAACTCAGAATTGATTATTTCAATTATTACCCAAAAGTAGCACAGTGGAAGGTTAGCTGTAGTAATATATTACATTATCGCCTAATCTAAATAGGTTAGAACTGGTCGATAGAGCTCTTCGATGTTCCAAGCAAAGAGCTGTTTTGAAAGAAGGTAGCAAAAATAGGTAGCAATAACATTTGTGATATATCTCGTCGTATCTCATCATATAAGTGCATCGTTTCAGCGCCAAAAGGTGCAACACAAGAAAAGATGAACGAGGAAATTTCTCCTCCTGTGGCGGCTCTTCTTCAAGGCAAGACTCAAGACAGTTTGTTAGAAGATGTTGCTCCAATTGGTGGGTCTTCGCCAGGTAAAGGCTAAGAATATGTATTAATTTCGAGTGGAAATATGCACACGTTTAAAGTGTGTATAATTCCACTCGAAATTAATGCCCTTTAAACATGCATCGAGTGAAGTGCCAAAAATCACAATTGATTTAAGATTATGTATACTTATGTTTGTCTACAGGATAAGCAACAGACACTATACTGTTTTCAGCCATACAATGCGTCTTTTATATTCTCTGCAACTTGCTGGAAATGTGTCTAGGTTAAAATAATGCACCGCCCAAAATGACCCATTTAGGGGATATAGGCATATAACATGAAGTAATATATGAGACTGTACGTACGTCACTATAACGAGGGGACACGTCAAATCACAGATCAAACATACGAATTCTAGTTTCATCCTGAGTCGCGCTTTAATTGTTAATCTACTCTCTTTAGCTGTTCCAGTGTATTTCTGGCCTCTTCTCAAGACAACCGCTGGTCATACGCGAGGCACTGATCACGCAGAACCTCATGGTAATGTTCGACAGGTTCAGGATGGAATTGAACTAAATGGCATAGATGCCTGGTTGGACGGAGGCGACTTCCATGGTAAATGTTTCTCAGATCCTGAACGGTGTATAAAAGGGCTGTCTGTTGCGATGCAGGTTAGTGTGAGTTAATCCAGTTAAGTTAGGTCCTCCAAGTGCTCCTTGCCACATGCACAGCTTTTTTTAGTCTTCCAAGTTTTCCTAAATCAATTACTTTCAGGTTTTCTTGGTGCCCCCCGTCATCCAGTTTTGTCTTGCAAGAGCTATGGTGTCTTAGGTTCCCCAACTTCTTCTCTTTTATGATATTCTCAACTTCTATTGTCCCTATTCCTCGTTCTTTGGGTCTTTCTCGTTTACTATGCCACAATCTGATCTTTTAGATCCTAGTCGTTGAACAACACTCCCAGGCATTGAAACATCCTAAAGATCCTCTAGGCTTGTAATCTGTGTAATCTTTGCAATCGGACTTAATCAAAAGATTACAAAACATCCGCAGATCTACAGATGTTACAAAATCTTGATCTAGGTTTTCGTATCTTCCAGCATTTCCCTCGATAATCATATTTGGAACTTGTCATGCATCCTCTGTGAACTGCATTGTTGAGCTAGTTTATTTGTTTCAGATCAACCTCGATGACAAATCGAGATCATACAAAGATAAACATGTTGTTATCGATACTAGTGGAGGTAAACGAGGAGTGTCTGTGTACATCAGGGACAACTCGCTACATTATCGTGTCAGCACGGGCTCCAAGGCCTGGGAGCTGGCAACGGACCTAATGACAAACGAATGGCAAGATGTTGTCATGACATGGAAACGTGCGGATGGTCTGGGATTGTATGTAAACGGAGCATTCAAAGATAGGGTTAAACATGGGTTCAAAATCTCACCCGTCAAAGATGAACAGACGCATTTGTTAATTGGAAAAAGTGTTGACGACGTATGATAAGAATGTATGAATTTGTGGTAACGACATAGATAAAATATTTTTTACTTCCGAATTGGCACTAGGCAGGGCCGTAACTAGAACGATAATTGGGGGGGGGGGTGTTTATTCATATATTCAGTTCTGCCCGACGAATTTCTTCTGTAAGTGCAATAGCTCACAATGGAAATCCGTCGGGCAGAACTGAATATATAAATAAACACCCCCCCCAATTATCGTTCTAGTTACGGCCCTGGCCCTAGGCTATCAAAAACGTTTTAACTGCCATGGGTAGACTACGATTTGCATTTGGCCAACCACAAAAGAATGGATTGTTCAGGACTATATAACAATGACCAATTTTCCACTGTCCCAACTAAAATTGAAACCTGCCTTAAGATATTATCAACGGCAAGAGAATTGAAAAGAATTAGTAACCACGCCGTTGCTTGAATGTATTTTAAAGATCGACTAAGCAGCAAATCCAAGCAAGATACATGTTTTTTGTTTGTGTTTTCAGGATGTATATCAGTTCGATCTCGGTTTATCCTCGTGTTTTGAGTTCTGAAAATATTCCTTTCGTCTTTACCTACGATGATACAGGTATAGTGCAGTCAAAATTTATGATAATTCAAGTAAAACCTGCACCAAATTTCTAACACTTTCCTCTCTCTTTCGCTGAACTAGTTTTACCAAGTTACAGATGGCTTCTCTCGAAACTGGCACCTTCGAAAAAGAGGTATAAGTTTGCTCTGCAAAAGGTTCCAGAGATTTTTCGTGCCTTATCGAGATCATACTAACATGTAATATGCAATGAATGATACTCTTGTATATACTTAGGGCTATCATTCCAAACACTGGCGCGATTCGAGTGAAAGGTTCAGTAAAGCCCGTCGATGGTGGGCTGTTTGTTAGCTCAGATGAGGACAGTTTTATCGATGCCGGAGATTTCAATAACGAATGCTTGACCGACCCAGCGAAATGCCAGTCTGGATTCAGCTATAGCTGCAAGCTGAAATTTAATAAGGTATCCTCCCTATGACCAACAACGACTTCATGTTCAAAGAAAACTAGACTGACCCTTTTTCCTGTTCAATTACAGATTGTGCGTTCCTATATTGATCCTAAGTACATTCTACACAGCGGAGACAAAGCCTCGGGTATCTCAGCGTACATTGTGAACAACAATTTGTATTTTGACGTCACAATGAGTACGAAGGAAGACACATTGAAGTGGACTGTCCGAGCACCTCTTTACACCATCAGGTAAGCGACACTGCTGACATATTTCGTCGCTGTGCTTTCCATTATGCTGTACAAACAAGAAAGGCAACCATTAAACAGTTTCTCGTTGTCGTTAAGAATGCATCGAAGGCTCAGGGTTATATTTTCCAAGGGTGTAATGGAATTATTCAGAGAGAAAGACCATTGCCAACCTTTTCATGCACATAATTTCATTCACGTTATTGCTGCCTCATTGAAATCACTTCGGAAATGTTTTTCTCAGATGGCAAAGAGTTGCACTGTCGTGGAGTCTTGCTAAAGGCTTGACACTTTACATGGACGGTAATTTCCGAGGATCCACGAAGCTACCGAAGAGTGTTCCGATTGTGTCTCGAAGTGGAAAATCAGGCTTCATCATTGGTAAGAAGATCAAGGACTCGAAACTTGGTTCGGCCGAGTTCGCCATCAGCTCACTAGCTATATATGAACGTTATCTGACCGACAATGATATGGGCGGCTTGTTTGGAGACAAGGGTACGTTATAGAATATTCAAAGTATTCCAAATCCCCAAAAATGCCTATGGAAATGGCTAGTTTTAAAAACTTAACACGTTATTTTCAATGTCCATAATTTTTGACTCTATTCTCATAGGCATGCCATATCCGGGAATGATACGAGAAATTTGGCGCAACGTTCCGGGGTCGAAAATAAGCGATCTGCGTTCCAGCGCTTATTACCCCAACGATCCCTCAGAGATTCAAATAATCGAAAACTTCGACGCGCCGTTTGATTTGGACAAGGATTATGGGACGAAGATCAAAGGTTACTTTGTACCCCCGGAGAGTGGTCCCTACACGTTCCAATTGGCCGGTAGCGAATCCGCCGAGCTTTGGCTCAGTGAAAACGGGCAGGAGAGCGGTTTAAAGAAAATTATATCGTTCGCAAATGGAGGCTCTCATAATCAATGGAATAGGTAAGGGCCTGGCAGTATTCATTCCATGAAGATTCAGGGCTCAATAATAATACTGCATGCTTAAAATATGTATTGTACCGGTCGTGGTGACCGCTCTGTTCCTATTGTGACTGCGCAATCGCCACTTCCTGAGCCGTCAACGTTCACGAATATCCATCATCAATTCTTCTGAAAACTTGAGACTGAATGTCAAGAATTTGATGAGTTTTCCAATGCAAGCCCTCAATTTTGCGAATGTACTGGATCGCTCACCCTACACTTTAACTGAGAGTTCACTGATACACAAACCACTATAACTTTTATTCAACTATGTACCTTTATAACTTTCGATTCAGATCACCATCGCAGACGTCTAAACCGGTCAACCTTGAGACAGGACGGTACTACTTCGTAGTCGCTGTTCAGAAAGGAACAAGCTCGACCGATAGTCTTTCTGCTGGGGTTAAACTGCCAAGTGGTAGATTTATTCGCCCATTAACGAAGGAAACATTGCAGTGGAGACGGCCAGGTAAGGTTTAGCTTATTTTATTGACTGTTCTTTGTCGCGGTTCGGTAAAGTTTAATTTTACTCACCTGCGTTACTACTGGAACAAACCTTATATTCATGTCCCAAAAATGTCCAAACTATTTCACCCCAATTATAACCAGGTTGGGGGTATTGCTGTTGCATCGACTGAATTCCCATCACTTCAGTAAAAAGTATAAAGAAGGCAATAGCTCCGCTTCTCAATATTCATCGCTTCACTCGTTATTTTTTCCAGGTAATCATTATACTGGTCTTGTCCGCGAAGTCTGGAAGGACATGGGGGGATATCAGGTTGCTGACCTTACTTCGAGCCCCAACTTCCCTAATAATCCCTCCAGCGTTGAAATAATTGACAACTTTGATGCCCCTTACAATGTTGAGGATAACTATGGATCACGAGTGCGCGGATTCTTTGTTGCTCCAGAAACTGGGGACTACAGGTAGGAAAGCTAGCTTCTCATGAAGATGAAACCATTTGGACGTGCTACCGTGTAATGCCTATATGAACTGTGTGGGGGATAATTCCTCTGTTCCTCTGATTGCGCTATACTAAGCTGGTTGTACTATTGGTACTCAGTTGATTACTATATTGGTGCGCTGGTCCAGTTTATTTAGGATGAGATTCGACCGGACAGTTCCCTATAAAATAGTCCTTTTACTAAAGATTGTGTTATTACTTTTCAGGTTTTACCTTGCTGCTGATAGCACTGGGGAACTCTGGGTCAGTTCTGATGAAAGTGAGACAAATCTTCGCAAAGTTGTTTCAATCACTGGATGGACCGAACACAACGAGTGGTTGAAGTAAGTTTGGTTTCTGTATGTGATCTTTTTGTTATAAGCTATCATATTCACTCATGCCCCCGCGGGCTTGTTGCTAAAGTTTCTAGAAAGGAAACAGATGGGGCCAAGAAGAACTGTACATTTTCAAATTATTTGAACTTGGTTTAGTTTCGTAAACTGGCACAATAGCTGGCTCGTTATAGAACTAGCATTTATCTAACTTCACCATAATCAATGAAGATCTTCAGTTTAAATGTCCATTCTATACATAAGGTATGCTGAACAAAAATCTGAGAAGATTCCAATGAAACAAGGGAAGTTCTACTACATTACGGTGTATCAAAAAGCAGAGAAACTTGGAGACTGTGCCTCGGTCGCTGTGGAGATGCCCAGTGGACATTTCGAGGGCCCCATTAAGCAGAAACACTTGAGCTGGAAACTTCTTGGTGAGTTGTGAAGTGCTTGAGTTCTTGGTAGTTCATAATAAACCTTTCACATGATGACGTCAATAAATTAAATACTTGTGTTTTTTTCATACCATTAAGATGGCCGCACTGGACCGGGTCCTTCATCGGAGTCTTCAGGTAAGTTAGCCTCATGAGAAAAACGAAAGCATATTTAGATTACAATAATAATTAGTTATATTATTTGGAACCGCCACTCTTTTAATCTGAACTATGTCCATGCAGAAAGCCTGCATGTCCTATATTTAACTGTATTTTAAACTATTAAATTGAACAAGTTAATTTTGTGGCGAATCAACAAGATGGCGCCTAACAACAGCTTATTGCCTCCTTCATAATCAAGCGAAAAATTCGTTGCTACTTTGCTTTATCAGATGAGCATTGTTAGTTTTATTTTTCTTTGATAGAAAATAATTTGTTGCTTTTTTTTTGTATTTCAGTTTTACCTAAGCCAGTCGGCTTGTTCCCGTTGGACAAGACGTTTGGTGCTAAAGACGTCGTGAATCAAGAAAATGTCGTACTTAAACATGTCCAATTGACCAACGGCCCAGACGGTAAACGCTTTCATTGAGACATAAAGTGACAATTGACCTGGGGCTGCGAATAGAACATTTGACTCCTGTCAATTTGGACGGCCACAACGGCCACGACACTTTGGCTTGACACATGCCATCTTCCATTTGTTTAGAACGTAAAACTGCATACGAGTTCACTGGATCCGAAGACTCTTACATTGAAATTCCACAAACCAACCACCTGGACACTCAATACTCGATGACTTTGCTGGCTTCGATATTCCCCACTGGCAAGAACGGACCAATAATGCATTATTCCGCCAAGAAATGGGGCGTTCATCTCTGGCAGTACAATGAGAACCAGTTGTTTGTCCGATTTGTTAAACGAGATGGAGTGTTCACGGAACCTCTAGCAGCCAGAGTATTACAGGTACTGACAGTAAAATGATTTATTTGTACCGTAAATCTCTGTGATTTTATACTATTTCCACTTTGAATCTATTGAGGGATCCTTTTTTTCCATATTTCTACAGGAGGGTAAATAAACCAACGATAGCTCTACCAGAGAATGTCTGCATGTTGAAATACTCAACATTAGTGAGCTTAAGCAAGTGACATTTTTGACAACACGTACGTTGACCGAAAGTAAAGTTCTTGTTTCTCAACAATCACAAGCCTTGACCCAGTCTTTTGACGTTACTCATGCCGTTAGTGTTGTCAAAAACGTCTTGCTCAAGCTCGCTATTAACCATGTTTACCAACTTTTGAAATACCAACCCATTGGCATCTCGCAAGTCTTTTCTTCATTTTTTCAGCCTAACAAATGGAATGAAGTCGGTGCTTCTTACGACCATCTGACAGGCGTTGCACAACTTTGGCATGACGGCAAAATGGTGGAAAGTCGTAATATTGGTCAAATTGAATTGCGCACACAGTTTCCAATCAGAATTGGTGCAGACAACCGTGATAAAAGGCGGTTCAAAGGAAAAATCTCTTGTTTGCAGATCTACGATCGAGCTTTGACTTCTGAACAAGTTGGTTCACTACGAAGCTGCCCCGTCAAAGGTAATATTTCTCGGTGTGCTAAATTCAGACGACAATGGTTAGAATCCATCCAAAAGATTAGTTTCAATTTGAACAAGTTTGAGCTTGTTCTGCGATCCACCCCATTAAAGAACGGCGATCAGTACTGGTCTGCAGCTTGGGCTAGTTAGAATTACTATTTTTGTATGAAATTCTGTTTTTTAAGTTTGAATTGGCCAGTCTTCGACCCCCTAAGTATAACAAAAAGACTTTTTGATGAAAATTAATAACAATAATATTTAAATCCAATCTTCAGGATTTAAAGATGGAAAAGAAAGCTCGAAAACAGGTACAGAATTTTTCGCCTCCTTTAGTATGATACACATTTAGTGCAGTGTAATCAAATCTTCTCTTAATTTTTGCCTGAATTAAAGGATTCACTGCTCCAGTTTCCTCCGTGAATCAATTGCAAGAAGAGGACACGGAAGATGAGATTCAGGGTAATGTATTACATTATATTGTAACGCCTTTCTGTTTTGCCAAAATTAGCCTGCACCTTAGAAAGAGGCAATACGTTCATCAATATTTTTCTTTCCATTCTAGGTTCAGAGGTCACATCTGGTAAGTTGAGTTTTGAAAACCATCATTTAGCAAGTTTCCTTGCTTACCTCTGTTGTAGTTCTTATAAGAGATTTAGGATTAAAGAACAGTTTAAGACGCGGATAGAAGTGTCCGATAAGTTCCAGGTTATAGGAATAATTTTAAAATAATATCGTATCAGGAACTGCATGTAACTCAGTTTTCAAAGTAGCTCTTGAAAAATGTCTCCTGGTGGCAGAAAATGGTTTATTAATGTTCATTTATCTTTAGCAAATAAGTGTCGTCCAAACCCTTGCCAAAATGCAGCCCGATGTTTGATTGATATGAAGAGAATGGATGGCTATCGTTGCAAGTGTACTTCAGACTTCACAGGACATCACTGTCAAGGTAGGCAGATTATCTATCCTCTATATCAGATAAAAATATGCATAGAGGTATCAAAAGTAGTACTATTATATACTCTGAAATGGTCGAGGCATTTAGTATTGAGTTTATACGTAGGTCAGTTTAGTTTTTCTCGTTTCTTCATTACATAGATTGCTTCCAAGATTCTTCAATACATAATATATTTACAAATGCATGATTATGTTTTTTTTCAATTTTCTACTCCTCGTGTAATTTCAGTTTCCAAGCCAGAAGCTAAGTCACCTATCGTGAAAAAGGCCACAATATCTCGTCCAGAGGTGAAAACTGAACACAAGAAAAAGATTACCGTAACAAAATCCTTCCACGGTATGCAAAATATCTGCATGATTTATTATAATTCTATTACCGTAATTCACTGCAAAGGGATAGTGTCTCGAGATCTCGGTATGAAAACGCGTGCTGCAGGTATAACGGAAACCTGCTTGAGACATGTCAATCCGGCTAAAGATATTATATTGTGTCGAGTTTTTGACTTGAATAATGCACTATGAAACCTGTGGCTAACGTATGTACTAAAACATCAAACTATCACAAAATGTAGCTACAATAAATAAATTGGTAACGGTCTACCCTTGGAGTCATGAATATCTCTTGGAACCTGAATATGCTCATTTTCGAAGATGTAGAGCAATAAAATTTCAAATCGTTTTTCTGGATCCCGAATCCAGATCAATAAATGAGATCATTGATGGCAATTGACAATAAATTTTGCTTGCCTTTCAAGATAAAATCTCCAAGGATAAGGATGACGTGTATCTCTTGTATCAAAAAGTTGGCTGCTACCATGACAACACACAACAACGCGATTTGCCCACGGGCACCTCCGTCGAATCTGTAACCCAGGAACAATGCGTGAAAGAATGCGCAATGAAGGATGAGACGTTCTCGTATTTTGGTCTTCAGGATGGAGACAAGTGTTTCTGTGGAAAGAACTACGGCAAATATGGCCGAGCAGAAGATGGGGCTTGTAATAAGCGCTGCAATGGAAATGAGGACGAAAATTGTGGTGGAAAAAAAGATAACATGATCTACTTCTATGGAATTGGTACGTATAGATTAATCTGCGTTATATTAGAGATGCAAAAGGCGAAAGTTTACCTAAAATATAATCAAAACCTATTGCTATTAAAGCAAGTTCATTGGGTAATTTTGTTTTTATTTGTTGGTACGATAAACGTCAGTAACAAATGTACCTCTGTACTGTAGTTTCTATTAAATGTGAATATTTATTCTAATACAGATTATCGTACCCATTCTTTTATATGTAGTCTTAATTCTCGATTTCGAAATTGTTGCGCCGTATTTTTATTTTGTGCATTGCTCCTCATCAGGTACGAACTACACCATCCGCACCTACACTGGCAACGCCCCGGATGCTGGAACCAAAGCCAACATATACCTCACCCTGTTTGGAGACAAAGGAGACTCTGGGTTCAGAATGTTGAGTACGGGGAAAAAGAAATACCAGAAAGGAAGGTATGCATCTTGTAAAATATGTGTGGTATGAAGGTATGCATGTATATGTATAGAACCAATGTTAATAATATTAGAACGTACATGCAGATAAGGCTTAACCTTATTATAATTAGCCAGAAAGTTATGAAAACTTTCTCATGTTGAATTCCTCCCACTTATTTTCTGCCTTTTTTCAGCGTGGACACACAAGTACTCTCTCTACCAGAGCTCGGTGCCTTAAGAAAAGTTCGAGTGCTTCACGACAATACTGGTGATAATCCTAGCTGGCTCTTAGATAAGGTATACTCAATACATGTGATCCCAAATTTATTTTCTCGTCTTTATCATGATTAATTATGTACAGGTAATAGAAAACTCTTGTCGCCGAGTTTTTTCTTCAAAATTCGTGCAATTCTTCAAAAAGCAAACAATAGATTTTTGTTGATAGTAAATAAGTAAAAACTTTATTTCGAGATGGTGACAAATGACATACTCGGGAGTATTCCCGTTTACTTATATATTATGAACTATTGAACCTTCATGACTTCGGCTTCATCATTGAAAGGAATCCAATCAAACTTTTTAAAAAGATCAATGCCCCGATCCAAGTTGGCATACCACGGGTAGCCCGATACCAGGCGCGCACGCCGTAGTAAAGACGTCTAGAGATTCTTCCAGCACGTTTCTGTAATTTGAGTATACTCTGTCAATGCTCACTTTTGAACATGTGGTCCAGACAGTGATACCATAAAGCACCACTGGATTGATCATGACATTGCAAAATTGTAAAAAGATAATATCTTATTCTAGGTTGTGGTTGAGGACGAAAATGGAAAGACCTATGAATTCTCTTGTAATCAATGGCTAAGCGAGAGTCGAGGCGGTGGCCGAACAGAAAGATTACTCACCTTAAGAAAGAGAAAGCGAAGTCACAATTAAGTAAGTATGGCAAATTCAACTATAAGATTACGCAGAAGCCAGCTTCGATTTTAGACCCCCAAGGCGTGTTTTCAGTCAATGGTATTTGACAACGGTAAAAGGATGAATTGATAAACACCACTAACCCCTTCCCTCAATCGCGGATCCGATGTTTGTAAAAATAATCTTTCCAGCACAATTTTGAATTCAGTGCCTCGAGTTTGATGCAATTTAAAGTTATGAGATTACCATTTTTTTACATAATCTTTTGGAAGTGTGAATCCACCAATAAACAGTACTTTAGAAATATGTTAATCAAACCATGTGGGCTACAGTAATTTATGTATTTTTTTTAACTTACGATAACTTTTTTAAGAGAGCATTTCAAAATATCTTGAAATTGTTCAAACTAACAAGAATTACATTCCTCAATGAAAACAATGCATTTGGACACATAAAATCATACTTTCATGAATTTCAAAATTTCAGGAAAATCGGTAACGGGGGACCAAAGAAAAATTCGTAATTTTGGACTAGTTTTCGAAATTTCAAAATTCTACTTAAAATACCTCGAAATGGTTCAAAACGTAAGGCCATGTTACACGGTGAAATTTTTCTTGCAACTTGCAATGCAATTCTACTTTTACGAGCTGTAAATTAGTGAAGACTTTTCAAGTGTAAGTGTAAGAAACGCCATGGAGTGTAATAAAGACGAAAGTTTGGTAGCTGCCAAATTTACATCTCTCGAAAGAAGAATTGCATTGCAAGTTGCAGGAAAAATTGCACCCTTAACAGGGCCTTTTACCAACAATTGCCGTGAAATCAGCCAACAATCCACTGAACTGGACCAATTTTTTTTAGTTTTGTTAAACCAAAGAAAGCTGTGAAAGTATGTTAGCATTTCTCGCTCTCATAACTTCTGGTAAACCACATCTCGCGCACAAGTAAGAATATATAGATGGCAAATTCCATCGCAGCTGTTTCACCATAGGTTTAACCTTACTCTAAAAGGACATTATCTATAGTGACCATAATTTCAGTAAAGCTAATGGAAAATTATATTTCAGCGCAGATATAAAGCGGATGTCACCAGAGCAATACACTATTGAAACCATAATGGTTTTTAATCAATTGAATTAAGTATTTGTTTATCATTATGAAATGAATTTTATGTAAAATAATTATTTAATTGGAATTGGTTATATATCTATGATAAAGACAAGAAAATTCATAACCATTTTTGTTAAACAATTAAATATTTCCATGATGGGACAAACATGAGTAAAATTATGTATTGATTAATCTTAATTTCGAGTAAAAACTAAATTGACCAAAATAACCAGGGAGCAACGTGGCAGCGTCTTCAATCAACTTAGCATCAAATGTGGTATAACAACTGCCTAAAATAGACAAAAAACTTCTCGACGTTTCGACCTGAGGGCCTTCGTCAGGAGAGTTAGTATGACGAAGGCCCTCAGGTCGAAACGTCGAGAAGTGTTTTGTCTATTTTAGGCAGTTGTTACACCACATTTGATGCTAAATTGACCAAACTATAAGTTTTCAGAATTCGAAGAGTTTTGTGTAATGCATGCAGGTGCAAATTTTTTGCAATAATAAAACATAGGCATAAGTATTATTCAATATTGCATTAGAGCTTTTTTCCACTATAGACGGGATATTTTTTGCGGAGCTGAATTTTCCTTGGTCTTTCACCTCGTGATTGTTTCGCATGAATCTCACAACAAATCTGTTGGCAATCTCTTGGAAAGCATTCCTTTTTTTATTCCTATAGAGGCGTTTTATGTGTATAGATTAATTGTTCCATGTAACAGGATCTTTAGTAGAATTACATTCCTTGAAAACAATACATTTTAACGCATAAAATCATACTTCGATGAATTTCAAGTTTCAGGCCAGTCGATAAGGGGAAATCAAATTTCCAACAAACGATATAGAATTTAGCTTGTAGGTACACCACGTAAGTATTTAATACTGCAAAGCTTTCAGTCCGTTAACCCAGGCCTTCATCAGTGCAATATTGCACAAAAGAAGGCACTAATTATTGTAATTATTATTAATATGTAGTGAAAGTGATTTTTTTCCCGACTTTTTAATTTTCAGTCTTTAGGAGACATGTTTTGAGCAATATCACATCCTCGTCCCCAGGGCCTAGCTCCGTTGCTCTCCACATAGGCCCAGGGATACGCTGGTTGATCCCTTCATCCTGATTGGCTCTTTTACACTAAAAGAATGTTGCGGGCGATAATTTTATTGCGGTCGACAACAAACATGGCGGCTGGTAAAGAGCGGGCCTTTTACATGCTCTTTAGAATCCAATGTATAAAACAGTAAACTGGGGTATAAAAGCGCAAGACGAATCACATTTATTTAAAAGACATACATAGGAACTAGAACAAGTCGTATGTTATTCATTTTGAACCTAAAAGAAAGAAATCACTTGGTTAAACATGCCATAAAACAGCTATCGAAGTCAACGCCAAATGATTTCATTGATTGGATTGATTTAGGCGGTGAAATCGCCAATCAACGCTAAAATTTTTACTAGTCCGACAAGCTGATCGTCTCAACAACTGCTAAATACAACACATTTATTGTCATTGACAATATTTATTACCATTTACGACGCTCTTGGTCCATTACAGAAAATATTTTTGTTCATATCTATATGAAACGACGTTTTTTAAAACTATATTTCTAAACTTCTATATATGGGTCCTACTAATAACCGACAACAACCGACAACCAGCTAAAAAATACTGACAGAAAGCTTATAATCATCGATAAGACTCTAATATTGTGTTTCTTCGAGGACCGCTGCCTTAGAGGACTGCCTGAGATGACTGCTTAAGATGACTGCCCGAGATGACTGCCTGAGATGACTGCCCGAGATGACTGTCAATTTACATCCTGTGGACAAGTGCTGCAAGGCCAACGCCATACAGAATATGGAGTCCTAATCATTTTGTTCTATTATTGCTAGCCAAGGAACTGCCAACGATGACCTTCTCGGAGCAGAACAAAAGCTATTCGGAGGCATGTCATTTAGTGTTTATCAGTTAACTGGACTTTGTGAGAGTTTTCTTGCAAAATGTTTGCCAAGGTAATTATTATAAGAGATCATAAAGGCCTTTTAATGTTTCTCATGGTATACTGATCTGTGTTTTAAGTGATGTTTTTCTTCATGTTGTTTATCACTGAAGCTAAAGAATTGAGATACAACAATCTTAGCCGGACTGACTTTAGCCGGTAAGACGTTCGCCCAGCTATTGTAGACCGCATGGAATCGATTCAAGTCCTTTAAAAATTTGTGAATCAAGATGAGAATGAACTTAGTGAATCTGTAATTGCTGCTATATGTTTTGGCTAAAACATAAAAAAAACTGTTGTATGTCTCCAAAACAAAGGAGCTTATATTTATGATACCAAAAAATACAGGATTGTTTGACATCAGAAATACAAAGAATTCGGCACACAGCGACAATTCACCTTTTAAAACGAAACCAAAAAACTAGAAGCAAAAAACAAATTGTGCTTCAAAACAAAACTAGAATGCACTGCTTTTGAAATGTTGAAATGTTGAAATATAGGAATGGACAACTTTTTTCTAGGCTTTTAGTGATTCGTTTATAGTAACATCGCTCACGAGTTGATTGGCATGTTGTCGTACATTATCATACCACGTGATCTGCCATGATCACATGGTAATTATCGCCTATAAAACTAATCTCAACGTTAAAAAAAATTTCTTTAAATAGGTGGCGATCGAAGGTGGACAGCAAGATCGAAGCTCAACAAGATAGAAGATTGTTCGAGGAAGAAGGAGTTCGCCGTTGACTAAAAGGTGGGTTCCGGCGATTATATGCGTAATCTGCGGTTGCTTTGTCCGACCCCAGTAGGGGGACCGTTTGCCTAGGGCGTTTTGGTCCCCCGCACGCTGCTAGTTCCCACTTGTAGGCCTTTACACTAATCTACGTGAAGGCCGTAGGCCTTCCTTAAGGAGTACAGTGTAGCTGAGCCGAGCCCTTTTTTTTCGTTGTATATAGGTTTATCTGAACAGCTAGTTGTCAAGATGAAGGTGAAGACTCGCCCGGCCAAATTCAAAATGGCGATGCCAAAGAAAACCATCCACGTGGACCGTTCGCCGACCTTTCTGAGCAAGATTGTTGTGCTGTCTGGTCAAAGTTAAGTATTTTACTTTTATGTTTGTGTGCCTTCTGCTAATTGTCGGCCAGAAATAACAAAAAACCATATAAAATATGAAATATTCTGCGTATAAGGTTATCTAAAGTTTCGAGCTTAATTCTGCCTGCAATGATAATAATTTTTTACTGAAAATTTATGTCATGAGCAATTTCCGCACCCATAGACTGAAGCAGAACTGAACATTTTGTCATTAACGTTTATCTCAACAGCCAGTTATCAAGACGAACGTCAAGAGAACAGTTGAAATAGAAATCAGTTCAAGACTCGCCCGGCCAAATTCAAAATGGCGATGCCAAAGAAAACCATCCACGTGGACCGTTCGCCGACCTTTCTGAGCGAAATTGTTGTGCTGTCTGGTCAAAGTTAAGTATTTTACTTTGATGTTTGTGTGCTTTCTGCTAATTGTCGGCCAGAAATAACAAAAAACCATATACAATATGAAATATTCTGCGTACAAGGTTATCTAAAGTTTCGAGCTTAATTCTGCCTGCAATGATGATAATTTTTTACTGAAAATTTATGTCATGAGCAATTTCCGCACCCATAGACTGAAGCAGAACTGAACATTTTGTCATTAACGTTTATCTCAACAGCCAGTTATCAAGACGAACGTCAAGAGAACAGTTGAAATAGAAATCAGTTCGAGACTCGCCCGGCCAAATTCAAAATGGCGATGCCAAAGAAAACCATCCACGTGGACCGTTCGCCGACCTTTCTGAGCGAAATTGTTGTGCTGTCTGGTCAAAGTTAAGTATTTTACTTTGATGTTTGTGTGCTTTCTGCTAATTGTCGGCCAGAAATAACAAAAAACCATATACAATATGAAATATTCTGCGTACTGACAAGGTTATCTAAAGTTTCGAGCTTAATTCTGCCTGCAATGATGATAATTTTTTACTGAAAATTTATGTCATGAGCAATTTCCGCACCCATAGACTGAAGCAGAACTGAACATTTTGTCATTAACGTTTATCTCAACAGCCAGTTATGAAGACGAACGTCAAGAGAACAGTTGAAATAGAAATCAGTTCGAGACTCGCCCGGCCGAATTCAAAATGGCGATGCCGAAGAAACTATCCACGTGGACCGTTCGCGGACCTTTCTGAGCAAGATTGTTGTGTTGTCTGGTCAAAGTTAAGTATTTTACTTTACTGTTTATGTGCCTTCTGCTGAAACTAGACAATAATTAAGATAGTTGAAAATGCAATTTTATATTAATCATGTCTTCTTATGTTCAAGATTTTCCTTGGTCAAGAGTGCAACATGAACTGTGGATATGAACTTTACTGTCAGATGAACATTGGAAGTGAACAAAATATCTGCGCAAAGGTAATTCGATTGTTTCTTCAAAATTTATATTAGCCTTGCAGCTCAAATTCTTGTCACTACCTTGTAATACATATCAACTGCCCGGGTATATATTTTGTTATTTAGTATAAGGGAAATTTGCTGCAACTAGGATCTTTTTTGGAAAATCGTCAGGCAGTCACAAATTTTGTTAAGATTACTAAGTTAACATTGCTTCTATGCTCACTATGTGTCACCAGTAATAAATTCCTGTGGTGGTCTTTAAATAAATATAGCAACCATAGTTATGTGTAGAGGGATGAACTATGAAGTATAACCATAGAATACCTGACCAAAAACTAGACAATAATTAAGATAGTTGAAAATGCAATTTTATATTAATCATGTCTTCTTATGTTCAAGATTTTCCTTGGTCAAGAGTGCAACATGAGCTGTGGATATGAACTTTACTGTCAGATGAACATTGGAAGTGAGCAAAATATCTGCGCAAAGGTAATTCGATTGTTTCTTCAAAATTTATATTAGCCTTGCAGCTCAAATTCTTGTCACTACCTTGTAATACATATCAACTGCTCGGGTATATATTTTGTTATTTAGTATAAGGGGGAATTTGCTGCAACTAGGATCTTTTTTTGGAAAATCGTCACGCAGTCACAAATTTTGTTAAGATTACTAAGTTAACATTGCTTCTATGCTCACTATGTGTCACCAGTAATAAATTCCTGTGGTGGTCTTTGAATAAATATAGCAACCAATATATAGAGGGATGATCGAGTAACCATAGAATGCCTGACCAAAAACTAGACAATAATTAAGATAGTTGAAAATGGAATTTTATATTAATCATGTGTTCTTGTAATATTCAAGATTTTCCCTGGTCAAGAGTGCAACATGCGCCGTGGATATGAACTTTACTGTCAGATGTACATTGATTGGAAAGTGAACAAGATATCTGCACTGAGGTAATTCGATTTTGTCATGGATGGTCAGCATTTGATTTTAAAAAGCCACTACATTGTTGAGATGACAACTATGAAATTGAAATTTGCTTCTATGGTGTGAAACCAATGATGAAACTTAATGCTATAACAGCTGAACCAGTCTGGCTGATTACTAAAATTCCTGTGGTGGTCTTACAATAAATATCCACGAAAAAGACCAGCAATTACTATTTTAAACTTGGGAGAATTTTTCATGTGATTTATATTCTGTAGTACTCAGAAGGGTGATACCCAGTTTTTCTGTGTTCAAATTAAATAGTGAGATATATCTGGGTTGAATATATGCATGTGACACATTCTTTTTATTGAAAATGGCAAAAATATAATTGGCATAAAACAGAATGCATTCATGAATGTATTATTAATAATGATGTCAGGTTAAAAATACAAACTTTGCTGCCACTTTTTGCCTAAAAGGATTGATGAAATGCTTTTTCTCTTTAGAATGAATGAAGTTGAAGAGAGTTGAAAGGCACCCCTGAAGAACCTGAATTATTTTAGCCCTATCCTAGATTTATATATTTTAGTGTGTGATAACATGTGTGAAATGTGATCAATTATGTGATCACATTTTCAAAACTTGGATTTATAAAGAGAAATTTTTCTTTGTAAAGTTTAAGAAGTAAACCTTTTTTGTCTGGTGGTGTTAGTGTTTTGATTTTGCATGTTTTTCCGTGTGCTTTCACAATTGAAAATACTTTGGCAGTTGCTTCTAAATGTTTTTTGAAAAGTTTTAAGAAGAAACTTGATTTTTGTCTTGTGGTGTTTGTTGTTTCTATTTTGCATGTTTTTCCGTGTGCTTTCACAATTGAAAAGATTTTGGCAGTTGCTTCTAAATGTTTTTTGAAAAGTTTAAGAAGAAACTTGATTTTTGTCTTGTGGTGTTTGTTGTTTCGATTTTGCATGTTTTTCCGTGTGCTTTCACAATTGAAAAGATTTTGGCAGTTGCTTCTAAATGTTTTTTGAAAAGTTTAAGAAGAAACTTGATTTTTGTCTTGTGGTGTTTGTTGTTTCTATTTTGCATGTTTTTCAGTGTGCTTTCACAATTGAAAAGATTTTGGCAGTTCCTTTTGGGTTTTTCTTATACTTCTTTTCTCTTTAATTTCTTCTTAGTATTAGTTTTTTTCTAAGTATATTTTCTCTTATTATTTTTTTGATAAAATTCTTTTTTTCTTTAGTGTTGAAGAAAGTTGAAGGGTACCCAGATTCATTAATTAATATATTTTAGTGTGATGTCATGAATTATGTGACAATTTTCAAAACTTGGATTTATAAAGAGAACTTTTTTCTTTGTAAAGTTTAAGAAGTAAACCTTTTTCATCTGGTGGTGTTAGTGTTATTATTTTGCAAGTTCTTCTGTGTTAGTTTTTTTTCTCTAGTTTTTTTTTCTCTCTAGCTTTTTTTCCTAGTTTTTACTTCTATTTCTCTAGTTTTTTTCTAGTTAGTTTTTTTTCTCTAGTTATTTTTTCTCTCTAGTTTTTTTTCTATTTTTCTAGTTAGTTTTGTTCTCTCTAGTTTTTTTTTCTAGTTTTTACTTCTATTTCTCTAGTTTTTTTTCCATTTTTCTAATTAGTTTTTTTTCTCTATTTTTTTTTCTCTCTAGTTTTTTTTTCTAGTTTTTACTTCTATTTCTCTAGTTTTCTTTTCTATTTTTCTAGTTAGTTTTTTTTCTCTAAGTTTTTTTCTCTAGTTTTTTTCTCTCTAGTTTTTTTTTCTAGTTTTTACTTCTATTTCTCTAGTTTTTTTTTTATTTTTCCAGTTAGTTTTTTTTTCTCAGTTTTCTAGAGAAATAGAAGGAAAAACTAGAAGAAAATTTTTTTAAATATTTCCTTTCCAATTTAAGTCTTGAAATTTCGACACCAAATGTAACTTTTCAATAGCTTTAATTTGACACACAGCCCAACATCTGGCGTCAAGTATTTCGTCTCAAAACTCAGAAAAGCTATTTTGGTTTCAAGCTAAATAGGGATGTTTGTCAGGAGTTATCGTTCCAGTTGTATAGAGTTCACTGGGATAAACATGCAAAATCTAAACACTAACACCACCAGACAAAAAAGGTTTACTTCTTAAACTTTACAAAGAAAAATTTCTCTTTATAAATCCAAGTTTTGAAAATGTGATCACATAATTGATCACATTTCACACATGTTATCACACACTAAAATATATTAATTAATAAATCTAGGATAGGGCTAAAATAATTCAGGTTCTTCAGGGGTGCCTTTCAACTCTCTTCAACTTCATTCATTCTAAAGAGAAAAAGCATTTCATCAATCCTTTTAGGCAAAAAGTGGCAGCAAAGTTTGTATTTTTAACCTGACATCATTATTAATAATACATTCATGAATGCATTCTGTTTTATGCCAATTATATTTTTGCCATTTTCAATAAAAAGAATGTGTCACATGCATATATTCAACCCAGATATATCTCACTATTTAATTTGAACACAGAAAAACTGGGTATCACCCTTCTGAGTACTACAGAATATAAATCACATGAAAAATTCTCCCAAGTTTAAAATAGTAATTGCTGGTCTTTTTCGTGGATATTTATTGTAAGACCACCACAGGAGTTTTAGTAATCAGCCAGACTGGTTCAGCTGTTATAGCATTAAGTTTCATCATTGGTTTCACACCATAGAAGCAAATTTCAATTTCATAGTTGTCATCTCAACAATGTAGTGGCTTTTTAAAATCAAATGCTGACCATCCATGACAAAATCAAATTACCTCAGTGCAGATATCTTGTTCACTTTCCAATCAATGTACATCTGACAGTAAAGTTCATATCCACAGCTCATGTTGCACTCTTGACCAGGGAAAATCTTGAATATTAGAAGAACACATGATTAATATAAAACTCCATTTTGAACTATCTTAATTATTGTCTAGTTTTTGGTCAGGCATTCTATGGTTACTCGATCATCCCTCTATATATATGGTTGCTATATTTATTCAAAGACCACCACAGGAATTTATTACTGGTGACACATAGTGAGCATAGAAGCAATGTTAACTTAGTAATCTTAACAAAATTTGTGACTGCGTGACGATTTTCCAAAAAAAGATCCTAGTTGCAGCAAATTCCCCCTTATACTAAATAACAAAATATATACCCGGGCAGTTGATATGTATTACAAGGTAGTGACAAGAATTTGAGCTGCAAGGCTAATATAAATTTTGAAGAAACAATCGAATTACCTTTGCGCAGATATTTTGCTCACTTCCAATGTTCATCTGACAGTAAAGTTCATATCCACAGCTCATGTTGCACTCTTGACCAAGGAAAATCTTGAACATAAGAAGACATGATTAATATAAAATTGCATTTTCAACTATCTTAATTATTGTCTAGTTTTTGGTCAGGTATTCTATGGTTATACTTCATAGTTCATCCCTCTACACATAACTATGGTTGCTATATTTATTTAAAGACCACCACAGGAATTTATTACTGGTGACACATAGTGAGCATAGAAGCAATGTTAACTTAGTAATCTTAACAAAATTTGTGACTGCCTGACGATTTTCCAAAAAAGATCCTAGTTGCAGCAAATTTCCCCTTATACTAAATAACAAAATATATACCCGGGCAGTTGATATGTATTACAAGGTAGTGACAAGAATTTGAGCTGCAAGGCTAATATAAATTTTGAAGAAACAATCGAATTACCTTTGCGCAGATATTTTGTTCACTTCCAATGTTCATCTGACAGTAAAGTTCATATCCACAGTTCATGTTGCACTCTTGACCAAGGAAAATCTTGAACATAAGAAGACATGATTAATATAAAATTGCATTTTCAACTATCTTAATTATTGTCTAGTTTCAGCAGAAGGCACATAAACAGTAAAGTAAAATACTTAACTTTGACCAGACAACACAACAATCTTGCTCAGAAAGGTCCGCGAACGGTCCACGTGGATAGTTTCTTCGGCATCGCCATTTTGAATTCGGCCGGGCGAGTCTCGAACTGATTTCTATTTCAACTGTTCTCTTGACGTTCGTCTTCATAACTGGCTGTTGAGATAAACGTTAATGACAAAATGTTCAGTTCTGCTTCAGTCTATGGGTGCGGAAATTGCTCATGACATAAATTTTCAGTAAAAAATTATCATCATTGCAGGCAGAATTAAGCTCGAAACTTTAGATAACCTTGTCAGTACGCAGAATATTTCATATTGTATATGGTTTTTTGTTATTTCTGGCCGACAATTAGCAGAAAGCACACAAACATCAAAGTAAAATACTTAACTTTGACCAGACAGCACAACAATTTCGCTCAGAAAGGTCGGCGAACGGTCCACGTGGATGGTTTTCTTTGGCATCGCCATTTTGAATTTGGCCGGGCGAGTCTCGAACTGATTTCTATTTCAACTGTTCTCTTGACGTTCGTCTTGATAACTGGCTGTTGAGATAAACGTTAATGACAAAATGTTCAGTTCTGCTTCAGTCTATGGGTGCGGAAATTGCTCATGACATAAATTTTCAGTAAAAAATTATCATCATTGCAGGCAGAATTAAGCTCGAAACTTTAGATAACCTTGTACGCAGAATATTTCATATTGTATATGGTTTTTTGTTATTTCTGGCCGACAATTAGCAGAAAGCACACAAACATCAAAGTAAAATACTTAACTTTGACCAGACAGCACAACAATTTCGCTCAGAAAGGTCGGCGAACGGTCCACGTGGATGGTTTTCTTTGGCATCGCCATTTTGAATTTGGCCGGGCGAGTCTCGAACTGATTTCTATTTCAACTGTTCTCTTGACGTTCGTCTTGATAACTGGCTGTTGAGATAAACGTTAATGACAAAATGTTCAGTTCTGCTTCAGTCTATGGGTGCGGAAATTGCTCATGACATAAATTTTCAGTAAAAAATTATCATCATTGCAGGCAGAATTAAGCTCGAAACTTTAGATAACCTTGTACGCAGAATATTTCATATTGTATATGGTTTTTTGTTATTTCTGGCCGACAATTAGCAGAAAGCACACAAACATCAAAGTAAAATACTTAACTTTGACCAGACAGCACAACAATTTCGCTCAGAAAGGTCGGCGAACGGTCCACGTGGATGGTTTTCTTTGGCATCGCCATTTTGAATTTGGCCGGGCGAGTCTTGAACTGATTTCTATTTCAACTGTTCTCTTGACGTTCGTCTTGATAACTGGCTGTTGAGATAAACGTTAATGACAAAATGTTCAGTTCTGCTTCAGTCTATGGGTGCGGAAATTGCTCATGACATAAATTTTCAGTAAAAAATTATTATCATTGCAGGCAGAATTAAGCTCGAAACTTTAGATAACCTTATACGCAGAATATTTCATATTTTATATGGTTTTTTGTTATTTCTGGCCGACAATTAGCAGAAGGCACACAAACATAAAAGTAAAATACTTAACTTTGACCAGACAGCACAACAATCTTGCTCAGAAAGGTCGGCGAACGGTCCACGTGGATGGTTTTCTTTGGCATCGCCATTTTGAATTTGGCCGGGCGAGTCTTCACCTTCATCTTGACAACTAGCTGTTCAGATAAACCTATATACAACGAAAAAAAAGGGCTCGGCTCAGCTACACTGTACTCCTTAAGGAAGGCCTACGGCCTTCCCGTAGATTAGTGTAAAGGCCTACAAGTGGGAACTAGCAGCGTGCGGGGACCAAAACGCCCTAGGCAAACGATCCCCCTACTGGGGTCGGACAAAGCAACCGCAGATTACGCATATAATCGCCGGAACCCACCTTTTAGTCAACGGCGAACTCCTTCTTCCTCGAACAATCTTCTATCTTGTTGAGCTTCGATCTTGCTGTCCACCTTCGATCGCCACCTATTTAAAGAAATTTTTTTTAACGTTGAGATTAGTTTTATAGGCGATAATTACCATGTGATCATGGCAGATCACGTGGTATGATAATGTACGACAACATGCCAATCAACTCGTGAGCGATGTTACTATAAACGAATCACTAAAAGCCTAGAAAAAAGTTGTCCATTCCTATATTTCAACATTTCAACATTTCAAAAGCAGTGCATTCTAGTTTTGTTTTGAAGCACAATTTGTTTTTTGCTTCTAGTTTTTTGGTTTCGTTTTAAAAGGTGAATTGTCGCTGTGTGCCGAATTCTTTGTATTTCTGATGTCAAACAATCCTGTATTTTTTGGTATCATAAATATAAGCTCCTTTGTTTTGGAGACATACAACAGTTTTTTTTTATGTTTTAGCCAAAACATATAGCAGCAATTACAGATTCACTAAGTTCATTCTCATCTTGATTCACAAATTTTTAAAGGACTTGAATCGATTCCATGCGGTCTACAATAGCTGGGCGAACGTCTTACCGGCTAAAGTCAGTCAAAGATTGTTGTATCTCAATTCTTTAGCTTCAGTGATAAACAACATGAAGAAAAACATCACTTAAAACACAGATCAGTATACCATGAGAAACATTAAAAGGCCTTTATGATCTCTTATAATAATTACCTTGGCAAACATTTTGCAAGAAAACTCTCACAAAGTCCAGTTAACTGATAAACACTAAATGACATGCCTCCGAATAGCTTTTGTTCTGCTCCGAGAAGGTCATCGTTGGCAGTTCCTTGGCTAGCAATAATAGAACAAAATGATTAGGACTCCATATTCTGGGTAGCGTTGGCCTTGCAGCACTTGTCCACAGGATGTAAATTGACAGTCATCTCAGGCAGTCATCTCAGGCAGTCATCTCAGGTGTCTCAGGTAGTTATCTCAGGCAGTCATCTCAAGCAGTCATCTCAGTCAGTCATCTAAGGCAGTCATCTAAGGCAGCGGTCCTCGAAGAAACACAATGTGATGCTGTGAAATTTGCTTGTTCGCAAAAATGATATTTAGTAACAATATTTACAATTTACAAATATGGATAACATTATTTAAATGTGCATCTCAAGGACCATGACCTTCGACATGTCCCCTTTCTCTAGCAACACAAAGCATTTAGCATTTTATAAGTTGCATTAAATCCCCACGGGCTGAAATTCGTGAACACGGCATTCAAATTTTAACAATGAGTGATTTAAATAGTTTTCGTTTTTTTTGGGACACCCTGTAGAATTGCTTGGCAAACATATATTGATGCAGATAGCAACAATTTTTAAAACACATTTTTAAAAACCTGGCTAAAAAATTTAGAATGATTAATGGAATCATGTCAGACCAAAATGTAAATGTTATTTTGTAATCAGTGAAAAATAGGAAATGAGGTAAGGTTGATTGTACAACAGTTTAGCATGCACATTTCAAAGTGTAATCGATGCATAATATAAGCAGGCAGCAAGTTCTACATAGCATTAACTCCTAGAATTTCGATTTGGCACGTATTCTATAATTGCATGCTTCATCCTTTATATAAACTATGTTTGCTATATTTATTGCAAGACCACCACAGGAATTTTACTGGCAAAGAAAGCAGTCACACTGGTCTTGTTACAGCATTAAGCTATATTTCTGGTTCAACACATGGTGACCATAGACTGAGCTGAGCAAATGACAACAGTAATCTTAACAAAATAGTAGCTTTTTAAAATGAAATTGTGATTGCCCTTACTATCTTCATTCCCTAAAAATATCTTCAGGCAATACAGGCAAAGTATCCTAGCTAAACCCTTCTATGGTAGTCTATACTAAGCAACAAAATATATAATTTTCCATTCAGAAGTTAAATTATTCTAGCTTCATTCGTTATATCAGGAGAGTTGATATATTTAGGGCATTAATATAAGGACGCACAAAGTCAGTTACAAAGTTGATATGTAGAACTAACCAAGTACAATTACATTCTTCCAAAAATACATCGAAACGTATGAAATCATACTTTGATGAATTTCTAAATTTCAGGCAAATGGGTGGTAACCGGGGACCAAAGGAAAAGTCGTAATTTTCTTAAATTTTTCGAAATTTCAAAATTCAGTTTATGATACTTCGAAATGGTTCAAAACTAAGTATAATTACATTCCTTCATGGAAACAATACATATGAACATATAAAATAATACTTTGATAAGTTTCTAATTTCACAAAAATCGGTAACGCGGGACCAAAGGAAAAATCCTAATTTTCGTCAATTTTTTGAAATCTAAAAATTCGGTTCAAAATACTGTGGTTCGAAATGGTTTAAAACGAAGTAGAATTACATTCAATCATGGAAACAATGCATTTGAACACATAAAATCATACTTTGATGAGTTTAAATTTCCGTCAACTCGGTAACGGAGGCCTAAAGGAGAAATCGTAATTTTCGTCAATTTTCTCAAATTTCAAAATTCGGTTCAAAATACTTCGAAATGGTTTAAAACGAAGTGAATTACATTCCTTTATGCAAATAATACATTTGAACACATAAAATCATACTTTCATGAATTACAAATTTCAGGGAAATCCGGACGAAAATTGGAAACCTTCATAAATCTTTCGAAATTTCAAAATTGGTCTCAAATACCTCGAATCGTTTGAAAACCAAATAGAATTGCATTCTCTCAAAAACAGTACATTTGACGACACAACATCCTACTTTGATGAATTTCATATTTCAGGCAAATCGGTAACGGGGGGCCAAAGGAAAAATCGTAATTTTCCTCACTTTTTCGAAACTTCAAAATTCGGTTGAAAATACGTCGAAGTGGTGCCGAACTAAGTAGAATTGAATTCTTTCATGAAAACAATACATTTTAACACAAAAAATCATACTTTTATTACTATCAAAATTTCTAAGCCTAACTAAGTAGAATTGCATTATTTCATGAAAACATTACATTTGAACACATAATATCATACTTTCATTAATTTCAAAATTTCAGGCAAATTGGCAACCAAAGGAAAAATCCTAATTTTTGTCACTTTTTCGAAATATCAAAATTCGGTTGAAAATTCATCGAAATGATGCCGAACTAAGTAGAATTGCATTATTTCATGAAAACAATACATTTGAACACATAAAATTATACTTTCATGAATTTCAAAATTTCAGGCAAATCGGCAACGGGGGACCGAATGAAAAATCCTAATTTTCGTCACTTTTTCGAAATAACAAAATTCGATTGAAAATACGTCGAAATGATGCCGAACTAAGTAGAATAGCTTTCTTTCATGAAAACAATACATTGAACACATAAAATTATACTTTCATGAATTTCAAAATTGCAAATCGGGAACGGGGGACCAAATGAAAAATCCTATAATTTTCCTCACTTTTTCGAAATATCAAAATTCGGTTAAAAATACTTCGAAATGTAAAACGAAGTGAATTACATTCCTTCATGAAAACAATACATTTGAACACATAAAATCATACTTTGATGAATTACAAATTTCAGACAAAGCGGTAATGGGCGACGAAAAATTGAAACGTTTGTGAATTTTTCGAAATTTCAATACTCGCGGTTTCAAATACCTCGAATCGTTTGAAAACCAAATAGAATTGTATTCTCTCATGAAAACAGTATATTTGAATGCATAACATCATACTTTAATGAATTTCATATTTCAGGCAATTCGGTAACGGGGGACCAAAGGAAAAATCGTAATTTTCAACAATTTTTCGAAATTTCAAAATTCGGTTCAAAATACCTCGAAACGTTTCAAAACTAAGGAAATTTTTTTAACGAAAGCAATACGTTTGGATACATAAAATCGTACATTGATGAGTTTTTAAAACTTCACGTAGATCGGTAGGTCCAAAGGAAAAATTGTACCTAATTTTCGTCATGTTTAATTTTTCATGAAAATAATACATTTGAATAAAAAACATACTTTGATAAATTTCAAAATTTCAGGCAAATCGGTAACGGGGGTAACAAACTCACCAAAGAAAAAATTGAAATTTGAAAATTCGGTTAAAAATACCTCGTAATCGTTCAAAACTAATAGAATTACATTTTATTTATGAAAAAATACATTTTACCTGACCACGAGGAAGTGGTTGACTAGAATATAGTTGTCCAGCACCACCGTAATAAGTGGAACCAACACCATAATACAATACCTCTGTTCTGCATTATACCTAGATGACATAAGAAGATTTATTTGTTAACTGGATGTGATATGCGTTGTGCCTCGGTTCCCCTTCTACCCGTTTTGCCCCTCGACCTGAAACAAGAAATTCGTTTTAACAAAAAGATTCTAAAAAGTTTGTTTCCACGTTCCAATTTTGTGGGATCCAATTCAAAACTGCAGTTTTTATACACAGTTGATGTAGTTATATTTGAGGTGTATTATAATATTTGTACATGCAGTACTATTGGGATGGTGCTACATCATTTACCCCATATGGGGGTTATCCGAGTGTCAAGGTTTGAACGATGGTGAAAATTTTAATTCCAAATCACCCTCATTGAGCTTAACATAGAGTACGAATAAGAAGAGATTTGTTACTAGAAAACTTGCATCATAAGTGATAAAATTGGAGGAAACCACATCACTTGTGAATTCATTGTCGGCCTAATATCAGCGTTTTCCGAGAAATTCTGCCATTTCTAATTTCAAATCAAAGCCGACAGCAAAGTAAAGTCCCTTGGGAGACAGGCCGAGTTCTACATCAAAAGTAGAAGTTCCAGGGTCTTCACCACTGAGAATGCCATCGGCAAGTCACTTTCTTTAATTTGACTATGGGGAATTCCCGTTTCCCCTTCTTACCCTTATAAAGATACCAAAATTACTGAAAATTTTCCGTTTTAATAGCTGATAAATAAGGTAAGTTTAGTTGGGTTTCTTTCTGTAGTAGCATTGAAACAAACAAGACATGATCTCTACTGGACCTCTAGAATGAAGAGTTTAGGGCCCCGTTTACACTATACCGGATTCATTTGTCAAGATATCTTCGTTTGCCTTTAAAGGGCAATTAATGGTTAGTAACAAATGTTTATTAGTTTGATGGATTTTGTATTTTTATTTCGATCTGTGACATTAAATTTTTTTGCCTAGCCCAGAGAGTTATCCAGTACAGATTCCTGCGTACGGTCCCGGGGCCGGTTTTATCAAGCCCGTTTAGCTTAAACGGTGGATAAGTTAAAAATAGAAAGCAAGTCTATCGTTTTATTCAATAAGCGAACTAAATGTTTTTAACCTTAATACAAAGATACTGTTTATACAACTATACATATTCAGTGCATAATATTCACGTTGACTCATTCAAGAGAGATATAAGAGTGTTATTTCATTTTGACTTATCCACCGTTTAAGTTAAACAGGCTTGACACAACCGGCCCCTGAAACCGTAGAAACCATAGAAGCAGTACCAGAATATGCAATGTTTGATGCGAGAATTTTGATCATGCTGGAAGGAAAAAGATGTTATAGAAAACAGTTGATTTATGAACTCTTGATTGAGTAAAACAATTAGATCTAGAGTATACTAATATCCTTGAATGTTTCATATTTCTCCTCATATTATTCCCATTTTTAAACACTTCCCTTGGAAATTGCAGTCTGCACAAGTAGATTAACCCTGTGCTCAATATCATGATAAATTCAACCAAGCTGGTTGATCTACCGTGATGTTAACAGCCCTTTCATCAGAGACAGCAATTGATAAAATGTCGCCAGCCTTTAAAGCTTGAAGCCTGATTAAACCAAGACCAATAGCTCCATAAACACTGATTAATTTGCCAGCACGTTTGCCCTCGTTTGTCAGAATAACTGCACCCCTGTCAAAGTCTAGTCGTTCCTCGCGGGAGGTAGGCAGTATTTTGATAGGCAAAAGTCGTTTTCGTATCACCCCAGTATGATAGCTTCTTGCAGTTAACTCTTGTCCAATGTAGCAGCCTTTTTGAAAGGACACTATAAAAGCAAGAAGTCTTTACTCCTTATACCTCAAAATCTCTACCAGTTGGATTAACATAGTGCTGTGAGAATTCACGTCCCTGGTAAACAAGTTGCAAGTGCCATGCAATAATTAAAATGAGTAAAGAAACTCACTCACTCACTCATTCCCAGCTGACAATTGTGTAAATTATACATATGCAGCGTATGAAAATTAGATGTGTGAGTGAATTAGATGTGACTCAACTTGTGGGGAGCTAGGAATTTGTGTGAGTTTTGAGCAAATTTAGATTTTTTAGAAAAATCTACAAATTTTAAAAAATTGATTTAAAACCTGCTGCTGCATGCCCTTTGATGAATTCACATTCCTGATAAACAAGTTACAAGTGCCATGCAATAATTAAAATGAGTAAAGAAACTCACTCACTCACTCATTCCCAGCTGACAATTGTGTAAATTATACATATGCAGCGTATGAAAATTAGATGTGTGAGTGAATTAGATGTGACTCAACTTGTGGGGAGCTAGGAATTTGTGTGAGTTTTGAGCAAATTTAGATTTTTTAGAAAAATCTACAAATTTTAAAAAATTGATTTAAAACCTGCTGCTGCATGCCCTTTGATGAATTCACATTCCTGATAAACAAGTTACAAGTGCCATGCAATAATTAAAATGAGTAAAGAAACTTGCTCACTCATTCCTAGCTGACAATTGTGTAAATTATACAATGCATTATGAAAATTAGATGTGTGAGTGAATTAGATGTGACTCATCTCGTGGGGAGCTAGGAATTTGTGTGAGTTTTGAGTAAATTTAGATTTTTTAGAAAAATCTACAAATTTTAAAAAATTGATTTAAAACCTGCTGCTGCATGCCCTTTGATGAATTCACATCCCTGGTAAACAAGTTACAAGTGCCATGCAATAATAAAAACGAGTAAAGAAACTTGCTCACTCATTCCCAGCTGACAATTGTGTAAATTATATAATGCATTATGAAAATTAGATGTGTGAGTGAACTAGATGTGACTCATCTCGTGGGAAGCTAGGAATTTGTGTGAATTTTAGATTTTAAATAAACTTTTAAAAATTGATTTATTAAAACTTGCTGCCGCATGCCCTAGCTTTGATACCCTCTATTTCATATCATGAATGTATGTAATCACAGTGACTTTTTCGTGATTTTATCTTACTTCTGAGGAAATTGCAAAATGTTCAAAAATTTATGAAAAATGCCATGGTATCCTGTGGTCCCCCATTAGCAGAGGTTTAAAATTTTGAACTTGAAAAAAAGCACTGTTCTATATCATAAAATGCATTGTTGTGATGAATGTAAGTGACTGTGGTCGTATGTTTGTAGTGATTGGTCCAACCATTTTCAAACTTGTAAAAAAAACTGTTCTATATAATGAAATGCACTGTTATGATGAATGTAGGTGATTGTTAGTATTTCCAGGCAACTTTGGAGAAAATTCCAAATTTTCAAAACTGATGAAAAAATTGATAAAAATCCTGATGGTACCCTGTGGCCTCCCTTTGGCAGAAGTCTGAAATTTTGAACTTGTAAAAAACACTGTTCTATATCATTATATAATTGTTATGATGAATGTCGGTCATCGCAGTATGTTTTTAGTGATAGAAAAATTCCAAATTTGGAGAAAAATTCCAAATGTTTAAAACTTGATGGAAAAACTTAACGATGTTCTGCATTTTTTTTTATTGCAGATGTCTAAAATTTTAAGCTTATAAAAAAAGGTTTATATCATAAAATGCGATACCAAATACCTCACAAGGCTCCCTTTTCAACAATGTGAAAAAGAAATTAGAGCAACAGAATTACAATATAACTGGCAAAAACTCACTACAACATCGATGTTTTAACAGCCACATGGTGAGCACACTGACTGCATAATTACTCAATATCAAGCGTGCACTAACCTCCATGTAGTTCAGCAATATTAAACTCCAAAGGCAATGGTACACCTGGTTCAATATCTTTTATCCCTTCACAAATGCCAAGGCTTACTCTATGATTGTCATATACATTTTGATCATTGGTCGCTTTAACATTACTGAAATACTCAGTGGGACATCTACCATTTGCCAAAACCAACCGAGACCCAAGTGACAGGACTCTTGGGTCTTTAGCTAAAATCACACCCTTTGAGTCATTCTTGGTTCTCTTTAGGCCAGTTACACTATCTTCTTCAATAACAGCCCACGAATTATAATCCTCGCTGACATCATCGAACGTCACCTTGGACCTCAATTTATATGGCTTGAAAGTATTTAATATGCCATCAACAGCATCTATATCACATTCAATCAAAAATTCCTTTGCTTCATTCTCCTGTTTGTACAATATAAAATCATATAGAACACGACCTTTTGTACTCAACATCATCGTGTACAAGGAGTTCATTAGGTTATCGCAGTGAAATAAGTTGACATCGTTGGTCACAAGATTTTGCAGAAATCTAACTGAATCTTCGCCCACAACTTTTATATGGCCTCGATTACTCAAACGAACTGTCGTAAAGTTATCCTCTGGTTTTGTACAAAAGTACATCTTCTTACAACGTACCTTTCGCAAGATACGGTATGAGTATTTGTAAGGAGAAAAGTTTCGCCCTATGTAGGACGCCATTTTGAAACATTCTTTAGTTGGTGACAGGTTGGTGAACAACTGGCTATACTAATGGTTCTTGTTGACCAATGAAATTGCGTTATTTTTCGCCGTATTCAGTAAAATATTTTCCGGAATATACCTGTAAATCACTTTTGTGCTCTACTGTACTCTAAGTTTTCTACTCGAAATTTTCCACAAAGCTTTTGCACTTCTTTTGCACAGGATGTGACCAAAGGACCTAAATGACTCACCCATACCAAAAGATTTCAATAAAACCACTCTCACTGCACATAATGACATAATAAGGTTGGTTGATGTGAAAAACTGGGTTTTGTCCATCCTATCCCGGTCTTTTCTAAGAATGAGGTTGGAAATGACAAGGAAGCATTTGAAAAGTTATTTTATGGTGTATTTAAAATAGGAATTTAAATGCTACATCATCTCTGTAATTTTTGAGTTTCTAGCTGAATAGTGTGATCTCTACATTGCACGATTTTAGCATTAAAGCCTCATGTTTGTAATATCTCTTCAAATTAAACACAGCCACACATATTAAAAATAAACTAAACATATTTGCAAAATTCTACTTCATAATGTAGCATAATTTAGTTCTGTGTTGAAACAATGTAAACGCTACACTCTTTAAATATAAGTTTAATTATAATTGGCAGTGTGGTCATTTTCAATTCGAAAAAATATGAATTATTTTAAAGATAGTTGAGCAACATTTGCATCATAATTTTGTAAATCATTTGAACAGACCAATGAAGGTGTGTATGGTTTGTCATTTTGGACTTGATGCAGGAAAGGGCTTGACTAATTTGAGACTCAAGATGGACTGATCTATGCCCGACATAGCATATGAATATACATATATAGTCAGTAGCTGACTAGAACCATCTAAACTCCTCTGGCTTGCTTTCGGTGGGCTCAACTTGAAGAGGTGATTTCTTTTCTGACTTGACAAACATGTCGGGAAATGTGAACTTGGTGTCCGTCTAAAACAAACACAGAATTTTCTTTGATTCTTTTACAAGCAATAAAGGCCAAAAAAGTTGTCTGAATACCAGTACTGTCTGCCAAAATGAGATTTTGATCATGATCTCACAAAAGTGGATACCTATATATTGTCTACAATCATTGTTGCGTATATACATTTTAATTTCATTGAAACTTTTATTACAGTAGAGGGTAAATTTAAGAAATATTTTGTTATTAAATTCTTTCTTAGTTCCTTTGTACTTTTATAAAATACTTACCATAGTCACATAAGCAATCTTTACATCAGGATGTTGTTGTAACTTTACAGCCCCATTTTTCATCATCACTCGTTGAGCTTTGCCTGCATTAATAAAATACTTCTAAAGCACAACAGAAACCTGCAGAATATACAGAAATACGAAAGAGACTCAGTGACTCACCTGTCTGTATTCTAATGTTAACCTTTGCCACGTTTATTTTATAAATGCTTTCTAAGTAATTCTTAACATCAAAGCGAGACATTCTGTAAAAGAATGAATAAATTGAATACACATTTTACATTTACACATATGATAAAATGATCTGGAATGATGAATTGACGCCGCTATCAATATTAAAGACAAAAAACGTAAAATATTCGACAAACATCAAAATCAACGTTTCAAAACTCTCTTGTTTGTTCGTCTACGATGAAACAAGACCCAAACACTTTAGAGTTTACTGAGTGTCTGAGTCCAGCAGACTGTCCCGATTACCCGATGAGTGATGGCTGATGTTGGTACTGTACAGTCTGTACTATAGACATATTGTACTAAAAATCGTCAAAAAATTGTTTTGAAACTTACTCCATCGGAACATGAAATATTGCCAAGTTATCAGGAACAGCTTTTGTAGGGCGAACAACTTTCATGAACCATTCTGGTAGAAATATTCTTGCTTGCAATCTTGGATTTCTTACAACATGTTTGTACGCCATATTGGATGTGAATATGTCAATACTTAGTGGTTACTGGTAAAGGGTACGCAATACTTCAAGTTACACCCCCACCTTCATTAGGATCTTCCAGTGACTCCAGTGGGTCTTCTATTTCTCCTCTACAAAACGGGAGGTAGAGGTCTGTCTTTTAATGGCAAACAGCATATGACCATATTTTAAACTGTTAAACAGGGGCCGGTTGTATGAAAGACGGATAGTGGTATCCACCGGATAGTGGATTAATCATCGCTCTAAACCTTAGTGTTCCTAAATTGAGGATCCTCTTTAATAATTGTTGCTTCCAAACCTAAAATTTTATGTTGCTTTTCAAGCATTTTTAGAACGGTTAAAAAAATCACTATCCGGTGAATAGCGCTATCCAGCCTGTTCCAAGCAGGGCGCTTGTATATATAAGCGCCCTGGTTCCAAGTGGTCCAGATGTATTATTCCAGTCAGAGCCAATGCTCACCGGATGTGAAAGAAGGTTTTACACGTGCGTTTGTTTACGTAATGTGGCATTTAAAAAATTTAATATCAGAGGAAAATCTTTACAGGTTGTATACCTTTCTTATCGTTGAGTGATGTTAAGCATACATTTGCATAACGTCCTTGGACACGGTTGATTGCTTAATAGTACGTTAATTGAAATACTCGAGACAAAGGACCAAGATTTCCATGTTATATTGTACTATTGAACAGTACTCAAGACGAATCTTATTTTGTACTATAAAGTGTGAAGTCTGTTCTCGCAACAAAGACTTTTTGAAGATTACGATTTCAAATTAAAAACTTTAAAAAACAGCTTTTACTTTTGCTTATACAAAACTTCCTTGTTCACTTGCTGCTGCCCGGCGCTCTATTGTGTGGTTTTTTACAAAAGAATAATTGTATTGAAAAGCTTGAAAAGCTACTACAAGATTATTGCAAGAAGATTTTAAAGCGAAAATATTTATCTCGTCCAATTACAGCAATGTCTTTAACTATACCAAATATCATCGAAACGAAACGAGATGGCAAACCATTAAATGATGTCCAAATCGACTTCATGGTCAAATCAATCGCAGACAAAGATATCCACGACGTTCAGCTCGGGGCATTTCTCATGGCAGTCTATTTGAAAGGCATGAATACGGAAGAGACTGTCAGCCTTACGAAATCGATGATTAAACATGGGGAAACACTAGAATGGCCAAAAGAGTGGAAGCATTTGGTTGTGGATAAACACAGCACAGGGGGAGTTGGAGACAAAGTCAGCCTACCCTTAGCACCAGCCCTAGCAGCACTGGGTTTGAAAGTACCCATGATTTCTGGCCGAGGTCTAGGTTTTACAGGTATGTTGGATCTCTATCATGTTTACTCTTTCCAATTATAAAAGCTGTTTAGCTGGCCAGTGAATGAGTACTGTATTATGATGCACATAACAGTGGTATCACTGGTATAACTATCTTCTTGGTAATGAATTTATTTTAAATTAACATCTCAGGTGGCACCCTTGATAAGCTTGAATCAATCCCTGGCTTCAATATCAACTTGACTACAGCCCAGATATGCCAAGCTGTCACAGAGGTTGGCTGCTGCATTGCAGGCCAAACAAAAAATATTGTACCTGCCGACAAGGAGATGTATGCAGCACGTGATGTGACAGCAACTGTTAGCTGTATTCCCTTGGTTGTCGGTTCAATTATAGGAAAAAAAGCTGCAGGTAGGTTATACTAGGTTAAGAATCCCATTCTTGCAGTCAGTTTTCACAATGTCTGTTAAAATTTTTCTCTTTGTCTGGGACAAGTTGTTGTTTATTCATGGAACATTATTTTTCCAGAGAATTTAACAGCTTTAGTGCTAGATGTCAAATGTGGGACTGCTGCTTTTATGAAGAATGAGAAGGATGCTCGTGAGCTAGCTGAATGGCTGGCAAACACTGCAAATGGTCTTGGAATTAGAACTACAGCAGTTCTGACAAAGATGGATGAACCAATAGGAATGATGATAGGCAACTCTCTGGAGGTTATTGAGTCAATCGAATGTTTACAAGGCAAAGCACCAAAGGATTTGGAGGAGCTGATTTGTACACAGGGTAATGGTTGTCTTGTAGTAAATAAGTCCATTATTCTAAATTACTACCTGTCAAAACATTCATAATTCTTGTTCATTATGAACAAGTCCAAACTATTGTGATCAGAGTTACATTACTTCAGGAAAATATGTTAATTAAACACATTCTTAAAAAAAATTTGTGCACCAATCAAGAAAACAACATACCAATGTACTGTAGTTTCATTTTTGTTCTATCACCATGTGGTTAATACGGTTAATGTTAATCTGGATATGATGTTCTTTCTCTTCAGGGGGAAATTTATTAGCCTCCAAAGGCAAAGCTGGCAGTCCTGATGAAGGATATACTATGATAAAGCAATCTCTAACTGATGGCAGTGCATTACAGAAGTTTCAGGAGATGTTGGTAATGCAAAATGTTTCACCAGAAATTGCAGAAAAATTATGTAACCCAAATGCAAACCTCTGGGAAATTTTGCCAATTGAAAAATGTAAAACTGAGCTGCTGGCTCCAAGTAATGGCCTAGTTGCTTCGGTAAATGCTTTAGCTGTTGCAAACGTTTTAACACAGCTAGGAGCAGGACGCTTGAAACCAACAGATGCTGTGAATCATGGTGTAGGCTTGTTGTTGAAAACTTGTAAGGGAAATTATCTGCAGAAGGATCAGGTTTGGGCTGTGTTGTACCATTCAGACAAATTGGTGGGTGAACATCTAGCTGCTTTGAATGGTGCTTTGAAGCTTGAACCAGGAGATAGTAAGGAAAAGTCAATTGAATCAAGAATTATAGACATAATAAGACCAACAATACAATAAATTAATTTTCAAATTTGTGGATTTTACCAAGTGCTACATGTTATTATAGCACTTGTTGGCAAACATTCAGCATTGATTGGAATTTTAAATTTATATGTTGTAGCAGGAAAGGAAGAGATAAAATGAACTTAAAATTGAACAGATGATATATGAATAAATTTGCTTATGACTGTTTATGTAATCACACATAATTCAATTCAGCACTTGTAATCAAAACATCACATAAAATTGTAAATTTAATATATAGAGAGCACACGTCTAACAATTAACTTGTAACAGTTATAATAGAGTGGAAAAAGTTCACCTATGCTGGAGCCAGGGTTTTTAGTTCTTTTATACACTGAGTGATTGTCTGTTTTTCCTACAAAGATAAAAAAATAGTAACAAAAATGTAATAGATTATAGAAATAATGCCAGATTGGCTAATTTTTGCCAGAGGAAAATTATCATCCTTTGTTAAAGAAGGTACAGTAACTAAGAAAAATGTTAATTTCTCTTGGCAAAGGCAAATTTCTAGGCTGAAAATCACAATTTGTATGATGCAGTGGGAAAGACTATGGGGAAAAAAGGAATGCAGTTAAAATATAAGAAAAGGCGAAGTTTCTAAAGACACAAAGCTTTGCTTGCATTGAGGAACGAAATATCATGGTGCAAGGCAACTGCCAAACACTCTTAAGATAGCCTATATTGGTATTAAAGCACAATTACCTGCTGTGGTGTAATACTCTTAATAACAGCATCTTTTACCCAAGCAATTATATGTTCCTGTTCCAGGCGCTTCTTGAGATCTTCCAATTCTACTTGATAGTCCTATAGAATTATATTAAAATATAATTATAAGGGCTTGATTGAAAAGTAGAGCTTATGCTGATCATAGATGCCAACAATTTATTGCTTTGATAAAACTTGTGTAAAAATTAAGGTTTGTTTTCTTACCAAGCGTTTTTTGACCTCATTATGAACATGGTGCAATCTACTTCGGAATTCATGCTCCAACTCCATAGCATTGTTTTCCTACAAGATTACACAAATTTGATCGAAAAAATAATTATAACCTTTCCAAATAATCTAAGGACCTAAATCATTAACAAAAATCTGTGTGGCAAAGAAAATACAAACCCGCAGGATTTCAAAGACATCTTTTCCAACTTTAAGCATGGGCTCTACACTTTCTTGTAACTTTATTTCTTCCTCTAACTGAGCCATTTTAGCAATACGACCTTGGTTTAGCTGATCTAAGATTTCCTTTTCAAAAAAGAGTACATGCAATGATTATAATCATAATATAGAAATAGTTTCTTGGGTGGTAAGATTCTCAGCTGTATATTTTCCACATGGTATTAGAATATGCAAAATAAGTCACAGAAAAACTTTCACATGAACAAAATGTTTTGTAGTAGTTGAAAATGAGATGACATGTAAACTTTATGCAACACTAACAATTTTACCTGTGCATAATTATCCAACATTTGACTTATTATTGGACCAACTTTCTTATATAGCCAAGCCATGGTAGACAGCAAAACAGCAGCAAGCAGTGTCTAAAATTAGAAACAATGTTTAATATAATAAATCATGATAAACACACTCATTCCTTCTTCACAATTCTAAAGCATCACTCCTCTACTTAATTAGGACAAATTCAATTTTGGCCAAAATGATAAGGGGTCCCCTTAACAGTGTGTGAACCAACAAGAAAATTTGAAACAATATTGATACCTCCTCATGGATTATAAGATATTCTTTAGAGATGATGTAAGCTCCAAGTCCAATTCCAAGACCCCATGTTCCTGAATCCCCAGTTTTTTTGTAAAGTTCTGCTCTCACTTGTGAGAAAAAGTCTGTGGGCAGGACTTTGATACCTGGTAAATTATGTTGTGGTATACAAAAATTAACATTAAGATGTTTATATAAAAGGTTTTCAATTGCTAATAGTACCAAACATTTCACTCCATTCAGTTCTGTTTAATTTATGGAGCACTTTTCATGTGAATATATGTAACATACAAGTAACAAAAAATTTTCATATTTGTGTTCAGAACATACATTTTTAATTTTAATTAATGTTTATACATTTGTAATGAGTAATATCATGCAAACACTACTTAGGGTGAAGAATTTCAAATAACTGGCTGCATGCTTGTACCTGTTGGATCAATTCCAAACCGATTACGAGAATCACTAGTTGAAAAAGATCTTGACAATGCAATTGACCTGACAAAAAAATTACATTCAATGACTAATATTCAAAAGCATCCTTATAAAAAGGTTTTTTTGCATGCAGTGGCTCATTAAACTTAATCAGCAGAATAATAGATGGAATGCCATCTGTAACCAGGAATCTTAAGTTGAATTTTCACATTAGCACTAAGTCATATGTATTATAAATAGAGGGGTAGGTGTGCGTAGCACAACCAAATGCCATATCAAACACTCCAGCCTAATTTATGATGAATCCAATCAGCAACCAGGGTTGGAACATGTTCATTTGCAAGTAACTTTCAAGCAGTTCATAAACCCTGTTTACACTACACTCAATTTATAGGCAAGGCACAGCTAAAATGGTTACCTGTGCCCAGGCGACCAATACCAAGGCTAAAGGCTGAGCACGAATCACAGACGAAAGTACCCATTTTAGCCATGCCCAGTTGATAAATTGAGTTTAGGGTAAACAGAGCTAAACAAAGGCAGCGTCTATGATATTTTGCTGAGTAGCGGCGTATATATTTTGAAGGTCTTGTTCAAAGTTTCAAACAAACACATAAATATATGAAATAAAAACAAAATATTACCCTGGTCTTGCAAGACATTTTAATGGTAAAGCAGCCTGGCCACCTTGAAATGAACCAAAATGAAATATTATTACATTTATTTATGTTAAATAGGCAGTTACAACAGACATATCTATAAACTATATCCAACCGGTAAAAATAAATGCATCGAAAAGAAAATATTAAATGCATAGTAAAGCCTGTAAAGGCATATTAGTTTTCCAAATTTTCGGTACGCTAAAATAGAAGACAACTACTATTCCTAGTTAGTAAACATATTAATATACCTTTTTGCAAGAGAATACTAGCACGAGAAAGCATTCCTGTAAAGCAAAAATTTCTTATCTTCCCGAAAGTTTCCAAGATGGCTGACCAAGACCGAAAGGGTTTATGGTATATAACTGGTTAATTTATGTATAGAGAGACTGATTGATAGAGAGAGAATGATCCTCTATGCAGAGATCAGTTTCGAATAAAACCTTAAATGGCAATGGTTGCCCACTGCCCAATGGTTGCCCAATTATAAAAAGCCAGCGAGCTTTTAAGTCTGCTTTTTAAAATTATTTCATCAAACGTGGCAGCGTAATTAGTATTCGTCCCCGCACTCAAAGTAACTGGTGGATGATCACCAATTAACTTAGACCCCATTCATCCATTTCCATTTGGACTTTTCAGGAGTCTCGGGACCTTTTGATTCGACCAAATCTTAACTAGACGGTCTAGACCTGTACTGAAAGTCTGAAACTCAGATCATATACCAATGAAAGTGTACGCGTATGGTGCTTATCTACAGCTGTATTTAAACGTTTTGTATTATGACACTGTACAATCAAAGAAAAATAATCCTCCAGACTGGATAGCAAATAGTATGGTTTCTTTTGTTTTTAAAACAATTAGTTTTGATTGAAAAGACATGGATAAAAAAACTATTCTGTCCGAGTGTCCGATACAGTCCGAGGAGGATAACTTTCCTAACTGGAAACCAGCCTGTAGCTTAGGACCACGTGCGTCGACTTCGGCGTTATTTCAGTTACGAAGTGTGAGGCCCAGTTGACACTGCCAAAGTTTCGGTGATCACAGCTGCTCCAGGTAAATTGAGGTCTTTTTAGAAGTCATCCTCACGTGTCACTTCAAGAAAAACATCGTATGCTTCTCTGTTGCAGTTGCCATCAGGAGTGAAGATATACTTGTGGAAAGTCCCGTCTACACATATCGCTGAAAAATTCGCATACAATTCAACATCTTGAAAGAAAAGCATGGATAATGTCCTGCTGTACTCACTTCCAGACTAAGACCATTATATAGTGCAAACAGTAACAATCGTCCAGTGCAAATAATAAGAATTTTTTTACCTATCACAGAGTTGACAGGTCCAAATGCACACATACACGGACATTCTGAGGGTACGGTAAAGTTAGCTAAAGCCCACTGAGACTCCACATACTGTCCAAGAAAGCTCATCTTTGAAAGTCTAAAGAGTCGGAAAAAAATTAATGATTTGAAGATGCTTTTCCTAGCTGTAGTGTTGGATTCTTCTGGTTTAGCTAAAAATTTAGACCTTTACACAGAGTTGCAAAAAAGCTGCGGGTACCACCCAGAAGGTTTGCTTTGAATGAGGTTTGTGAGGAAGGTTCAAAGTTGAGCACTATAATTGATCACATGCATGTACCACAAAACCAAATATTTCTTTATGTTGGTTGCCACTTGATTCAGTGACGTAACGTCATTTTGAGGAAGGTTTTCAAAACTTGAAATCCTACCGAAGGAAGGTTGAACTCTTTTTGCAACTCTACCTCTTTTTACAAAAAGTCTGCATGATTGGTAAATGCACCCAGGTTTGTCTGCAAACTACATCACAAACTTTGGTAAAGGCATATAGCTGAAGAAGTCCAATTTTAAGGCCAGTCAATAGGTAGTTCTTAACAGATACGTCGCCCTTATCTGCATGTACTGTAACTACAAACTAGTATATATATATATGACAATCTCTATTTTGCACAGAGATCTATTGTCTTATAACCATATACACATATTGCAATCCACACACAACAGCATAGTTTTGGCTGGCAGACGTGCGTAAAATACTTACGTCGATCGTTTATTTAATGAGGTGTCTTTCAGTGCAAAAATATGCACAGTCCCTTTGTCGCTCGAAGCACACAGATATGAGGAATCGTGGCTGAAGTTAATGCTAAAGGAAAAACATTCCTAGAGACATTTGACTCCCTGGTGACTCTAATATGAAGATAACATTATTTGTGGTATAGCTACAAATCCTTGCCCTTGGGAACTCTTTTAACAAGAGAGATTACAGAGACTTAAGGAGTTTAAAAGACGATTTTTTATGACAGGCATTGCTTTTACATATTTTGCGTGTCTCCAATCAGGAATTTTCATGATAAAATCTTTGGAAATGTTGGCTAATTGTATATTGAACTTGCTATCATACCAGTACAGGGTGGCGTGGTCCGCTCCTCGTCTCAGCTCCACGACCAGCTGTCTACTTTGTGTGTCGAAGACGCGTATCAGCGTGCCCTGTAAAAACGAACAGCATGATGGAATAATGCATGGTAGTGAACTTAACTGTTTATTAACTATTAACACATTATGGCTCGTTTTCGTGTAAAGTATTTTTCTTCCTTCGTGCACATTATGGAGGTAATAATGAATGTACTTTTAATTATTCCACCATACCTTGTCAGAGGCAGTGGCGACCATAGTTCCTTGTTGATTCATAGCTAGGCAGGCAATTTCACCTTGATGTGCACTGATCATGACCGGAGATGACGACACTCCTGGTTGGACCACTGACAAATCCTGAAGACAACAAAGGAATGTTATGCAGTAAGGATAGGAAAACTCTACCTTCAAACAACAGGAAAATAAATTCTTTTTTCTGTTTTAACTTGTATGGAAATTTGCGTTCACTCAGTTGGTTGTTGGGGGAGCTGTAATAACAGTTTCTCTAAGATTAATTAAAGGACTGAGATTGCCAGCCTGCATGGTGCTGGGGATTTATAGGCATTACATACTGTACGGCATATTGTGAGTCAAAAGCACTCTGACACACTAGATGTTTTTTTGGCTGAACTCTGCATGACATATGTTCTCCAATAAAGCTCTGGATATGGGAACAAGTCTGAAGGTAAAACAAAACTTACACTAATTTCAATTGCCCCACATTTCTTTGCTGGGAACACAATTAATGATTTCTCCTGGTTTGGACACACTTCACATAAACCTATATAGAGCAAAAACTGTGTAAACATTTAATTCAGGAACTTAAACTGGATTTAATTCACATTTGATAGCATAATTACCATATACAATTTAGATATGTAATGACTATGTATTTAAATATGCATTTAAAATTCACCTTTTGGATTTTCTCTTGTTTCAAAGTACAAAATGTTCTTGGGATCATTTGGAAATGAACAAACATATATCCTTGTTCTCATCACAAAAAATATCCTTCAAAATTTGGGAAAACTTATAAGGCCTTAACTAATTTGGCTGTGTGGGCGACTACATATTGATGCAAGCTGATGGTGAATCCTGCAACTAGATGCAACTAGATTTATGAAAGCTGATGGTGTGTGCACTTTCTCATGCTTTTTCCATCTTGATTGATTCTACAACTGAATTTATTCTTCAAATGGTCTGTTGATTCTAAAAAAATTGCTTTTCTTGTTGTTGTAATTTTTTAAACCCAGTTGAGAAAATTGAAAGTATGTTAAAAACGTCATTGTAAGAAAGGCTAATTCAAATCACCTATATGTAATTAATTCACAGCTAGCATACTCATTATTGCTTACATATCATTACGTAATCTCACTCCAAGTACTGGTATATTGAATTTGAATTCCAACACAAATTTGCAGAGTTTGTCATCCCATATGAACACTAAATAAACACAAAACGGAGTACAATGTACCATACAATCATATTGAAGTACAACATGTCATATAAGCAATATATGTCACCTTACTGCAATCTGTTACCTTTGTTACTTGAATAAGTTCCATTGCCATTTCCAACAATTGCAACTAAATTACTTCGGTGTAACATTTGAACCTGGGATACCCCACCAGTGCCATCTAATTCTTCATAGAAATGACAAATATATCAAATAATTTGAATGAAAATTTATAGACCTGTAAAGTCACCCACAGAATTATCTTAATAATTCTCTTTGAGTATAATCTCAATTACCTTTACTTAACTTCTCAGATAGAGGTTCTGTGTTATAGATTTTGAAACCACTTTGCGTTGCACTTGCAAAACATCCTATGACACATTTCAAAGAAATATTATGTTTATGCTGTGGTTTTGTAGATCAAATTGAACTCACGAGTATAATAGGCATTATAATTATGGCTGATCTTGTAATATCACATATATAGTATATGGTATATTTGACATGGATTTTGGAGGAATAGATCCAAAAGACTTTCAGAATAAGGGCAGGATCTCATCAACCATGATGGGTCCATGCATTATGGAGGGTTATATCTGCAAATTGCCAACAAATGTAAAATAATTACATAAAACTTCAAACTGGGTTGGATTACAATTCAAATATTGATTTTTGTTTTAAATTTTTGGTGTACATGAGAAATTTTAACACATTTAACATTTAAAAATATTTCTGATTCTGACAGAGGATGGATAAAATATTCAAATATATTTATATATATATATATATGTATCACTAGTAAAAATATGCTGCTGTGAACTGATTTATAAATTCTACACACCTTGATCTTGGTTGAAACTAATCGAAACCAATCTCTCCATCAGATCTTGAGAGTGAGCTCACCAAACTATAATTATTCTTCATTCATCTTTCATGACACGACATATGAATACTAGCTCGTTTATATAATTTGGAATGGAGGTATTTCAACTATTTCATTTACGCTCTCAACCCAACAGCATACGTACGTCAAGACAATTTATTGTTGCCCTAATTAATTAGAAAAAAATCCGACTAGTTCTTGGTAAATTTTATTTTAGAAAAATTTTCGTATCCGACAATATTAATTTTTGTAGAGACGTACTAGTTGTTTATGCTTACATGACAATTCGAAACATTAAAAATAAAATGAAACGAGTAAACTGATTGGCTGCTGACTACGTATTCTTTTCTACCGAGCGTTATGATTGGCCTCACTTGTCCCCAAGGAATTCTTAAATATGTTTCGTATTTGCATTTAGGGGAAAAATTCTCATTTACGCGTTTGTGAAAGGTTACAGTTTCAACGTCTTTTAATTAAATTCAGTTTCTTTGAAAGATAAAATAATAAGGTAAGTTTATATTGTCTTTTTTTTCTTTGTCGGTTCATCAGTTGGTGGCCGGTCACGAGAATATACCAGGCATCAAATCTGACAATGACTTGCCCATGCAGCTGTGCATTGCTCAGGTTTTTGAGAGTAAACTGATGTCACGTTTATTTTTTGAGTTACCATTGTTTCGTATATTAAACATTGTCTCACTTTGTCATTTATACATGTACAATTTTCATTGAATCTGCCTACAGACATCCATTTATTCTACCTATAATGTATATACTTTGATTACTTTCTACATCATATTAAGTCATTCATGAAATATATATATAGTTTTTAAATCACTATATTTATTTTGAAAATAGATATTGATTGATTACGTATTGATAAATTTTTTCCCCTATAGATTTATATATTAATTTGTATGTTGCATTGCAATTCTGTCAAGATGTAATACAATTTCATCTTTATGGTTATGGTATTTCATTTGAACAAAATGAAAAATAATTCAGCACCTGAAAATATTGCTTACACTGGTTGCTTTGGGGACTACAATGTTACCTCATGCGTCAGGTACATCCTCAAATGTTTGATATACTAATGTATATTCATATAGTTATATATTAAATGTTTTCTAATGGACATCAGTTAGATGTTTGTAATAATTATATTTTCATTGAGGAAATAGCAAAAGTAAACTGCTTCATATGTCAGTGTTGTATGATGGTGATAATATAATTTTACTGCATGCATGCATGTATGCTGAATTGATCATCTGTATATCAATATGCCTGTATTTCAGTTGTCATAATTGCTAACTAATTAACCATAACAACCTTACTCTTCAGGGACTCTGTGCTAAGCAGTTTTGCTATAATCACTGCATTTATTTGTGCTATCAAGGTATTTTAACAGTAGCCATATAGAAAGTATACTATTAGAATTAGTAATTGCAATTAAAACAATTATATTATAGTAACAATTATTAAAGCTAGTGCATAGTATTCATGCAAGTCATGCAATTCAATACAGTAAATATCATCTAATTTAATTATGGTTGTCTCTATCTATTGCCAGCTACACCATTTGATTAGGAATCAACATTCATTGCCTAACCAGTACATTATATTTATCTTTGGATTGGTTGAGTCAATTCTTTGGTGAGAATATTTATGATGTGCAGCGATGAAGTATATTCTAGTCCATATAAAGCTTATTTATTTTACCACTTCCAGATTATTTACTATCCATTGTGGGACTTTTGTTCAAACTGTAATTGGATATGATTTTCAATTCTAGCGCCATTAACTGGATCTACCTTTGGGAATATCCAGTCGTATATGTCATTGAGTTTCTTAAAATCATTCAGGTACCTTTGAGTTGAGCATTGCTCAACTAATAAATCAATAATATTTTTAAAGACATGCTGTAGCGATAATTCATTTTTGTAATACTGTACATTTTAGTGTGTGGTGGTATGCAGATTTTACTGTGCACTTGCCGCTCAAATATACAGAATGGACAATCTAGCCAAGTATTTACCTTTATCCTTTAATTGCCCATTAAATGAACCCCGTATTAATTGCCCATTAAATGAACCCCATATTAATTGCCCATTAAATGAAGCCCTATACTTGCTTTAGTTTTCTTCTGTTTTAAGTTTTAACAGATGAATTAATTTATTATCTTTCCAAATTCAAGGCGCTTTGTCCCTCTGTTTGCTGCAGCATTTCTTCTTGTTGTGTTTGGAATATGCGTGAGTGGCTGGGCAACACGAAAAAATAACCATGTCGACTGTATAGGTATAGAATTCTGCACAATATTGCCTGACAGTTCAATCCTGTTTCCACCAATGTTGGCATGATAAAGCTCCCCCACCCCCTAGCTGACCCCTAACTCACTTAGGCAACTATCTCCTTATTTTTCTTCCACCTTAACTTGAGGGCTGGCAAATGAGTTGAGTTACTGTAACATCTGCTTTGGCAAGTTTTTCAATCTTCACTGCTGGTTAAAATATTCTTTATCGTAATAATTAAGATTAATCAATGAAGAATTACGCAGGCTGGCTGCACTTACCAAAACATTAGTAATTTGCACTCTTAGTTAATAACCATGAAAGGCCTTTGCCGTAGGATATGTAGCGTTTGGAATAAAACTTTCTTTGAAGCTTGTCTTTGGTTACAATATAACGTTTCCTTTACTCGCTAATTTTCCAAAACAGCCGTTTAATTTTAAATGTTCCTAAAAACTTTATTGGGACACATCATTGAGCATTCTGCATAATGTTCTGCAACTCCTTTCTTGTCATGTTATATCCATAAGTACAATAACTTTTCATTCTGCTTAGAAATGTTCCAATATGCTGCATGTTCTTTTTAGCTGTCCAATGGATTCTCTTGTCCTTTGCTGAATTGGTGAATGCCCAATTCTTCCTGGTCGCCGGTATCTTTGTTACAAAGTACTGTATATAAATTTCGCCGTCTTTCGTAATATCCTTAATTCCATTTGTGAAGCGACATCATTTTCAATACTTAAAATAATAAAATTACCTTCTATTCTAGGAAATTAAACGATGTTAGGACATTGGAAGATATGAGGAATTCCAAGAAACGCGAGCTATGGGGGTGGGTTTTCTGAAAAATAGATGGCAAATTATATTAGAAAATTATGCTCTGACTATTGACATTTCAACCGTGATTACACTAAAAACGCGTTGCATTATTTTTAAGGAGTATCGTCGTATTTGAAATATCGGCGATAGCAAGTATCATCCATGATGCCATATTTAAAGCTCGTAAGTTGGCTTTGTCATATAAAGGATAATAAAACATCTTAAATGAGCTGTGCTTCTTGCTAAAAATTTCTCTACAAATTGTCTCGAATTGTGCATCAAAGTATCAGAACTTCAAGTCTTTCATCTTGGATCAGAACTTTCAAGTCTTTCATCGTGATCAATTGTGGATCATTCGGAAACTCTCCATGCATATGTTTCTAAATGCAAGTGATGCAAATCCGCTCTTCTTCGCCAGAATGACTTTGGAGTTGGTGCATGTGTTATTTTCTTTCAAAAACGAATTTCTACATAACCAACGGGAAATTACACTTCTTCTAAGAACGAGCTAATTTTCGAGACAAAAAGTCAAGCAGATTTGGTGTTTGTGATACTCCTGAGGATTATTATTGTACGCTGCATGAAAAACTTTTCAGGACCACAGAACTAAAAAAAATGAAAGAATGACCCCTGGCTATACCTACCTCAATCCAAGTCTGGTACAATTCACGTATTAGGCCATATTTCGTAATCATATGAACCAAAACCATTAATGATCGTCCCACTAGGCCAGGCGTCTGGGTAACAGCCAAGCAAAATTATCTTTTTTATTCTTTTTTCTAAAAACTCACTGTCATATCTCTCCATGTCATGAAGTCATCGTGTATTTTCTTTACCTGTTTTGAAATCTTGTTCTTCACCCCCTTTTCCAGTCACTTTTCAGAGAACTGTTCTAAAGTCCTTTCTCCATTTGTAGTTGGACCCGATAATGGATGTCATGGAATTCTTGTAAGTGATTAACCATCATGACTTTGCTACTGACCCTTCCCTCCCAGTCTTCCAGCGAATAGCACCTTAAAAACTGCTGTAACTAGTTACAAGTTACTGTTTCAAGATCTGATTTCGCAATCGCCGCGATTTTAGGTGCGTTCTTCGTCTTTTAATAGATGCAAACGAGGAAATGGTTATGAATTCTTAGATGTATAAGTTCCTTTCTTTGCATAAGCATCCGTAGGAACTTACCTAACTGTTCACATCTATCAAAAGAAGAAAATTGCATCTAAATTCGGGAGGGCCGCGGATGTGAATAACTCCGGTGTTCCGTTCAGCGGTCCTAGTTAATTTCATGCACTTCATTTGTTGCGTTTTTTCTCTATCATTAGTCGACATCTGCCTCAGGATACACAGCCGTTTATATTGCATTTAAGGTTTGTACTCGACTTCTAGAAAGTCTAGGTTTGTGCTATGGTTTGGACTGCATGACAGATGTTTAAAATGGTGTTTATAAATTCTTGAAACCTATATATGCATGTGTGAATGATAATTATAAGCACTAGTACTATAAACGTTTTGAGAAATTATTTGTTGTGTATGTACTACTCAGGTGACCCGATGGCTTTTGCCAATATGGGGAATGGCAGCATTATTTGCGATCGAGGATAACAGTGTTTCCCACGAATCGCTCGCGTTTCTAGCCGCGAGGACTCCCTCGGTATGTGCCTTTTATGCCCCTTATTTACCTCATTAACCGCTTAGAGCCTGTTCATAAGAGACGCTTTCGCTGGCCTGCTTGATGTTTTCATATGAGCCTGTTTTAAAGGTGAGATCTCGCCAAAGCCGGGCTAGCCTGGTTCCATATGTGAATGCAATTTTACAAAAAAAGTGAAGTAATATGTGAAGCAATGTGAAGCGGGATCCCGGATCCCGGCACTGCCGAGCTGGCCCGGTCTCCCCGGTCTCATATGAACAGGCCCTTAGAAATGATAGAGCTATGTCTACTGTAAATAGAATTATCACGGTGTTAATCACGATTATTAATCGGCAAAAGTGCAATTTTGACCAAACCTGACCAGACCTGTGAAGAGAACTGTTTTGAAATGTCACAGAGCTTAATAACGAAAGTACGAATCACTACACAAGTATTTCAACGGTATCCATAGTAATTTTAAGCTTCAAATTCAGGGTTTCAGGCCACGTTTCTACCCTTCTGAAGAGCAGAACGCTTTCGACCAATCAGGAGAGAGCACCGCAAACGATGGCCAATCAAAGCGCCTTCTGCTCCCGCCATTTCTTAGAACTGCTAGAAAATATGGTTCGATTAACCGACCTGCGACACCCGTTGTAAATTCTGGACAATTTGACGAGAACCCTGCATCGTAATTGGTCGATGATCAAGATCTACGATGGTATCTCTCAAAGTTCACGAAAGATTGTATAAACTGTGTATCATGATATTATTTATAAGGAAAATCTCACATTGGCCATGCTAAAAGCCGTTCAAACGGAGCTTAACCCTTCAACACTTTTAGTTTTAAAAATATATATGCATGGTGACTATGCGTGGCAAACACTTGAAATTAGGGCCGGTCGAGTTGTTTAATCGTATAAATTAAACTCTGAAATACACCATTTTGATTGGATAATCCTGCATGCCACAAGCTTTAAGTGTCTAACTACATTTCATAGAACCTGTAGCAGAGCTTTTTGAAAGTTGCATGCGTAAACACAATACACGCGGTTGGATATTTTTTAAGTTGTCTATGAGGATTAAGAAGGATATGGTTTGTAGTTTTTGATACACCCACATGCAATGTGTGGGTTGCTTCCAATAACATTGGTTTTGTTTGAATGGTTCTTAATCGTGGTCACGCTGTTAAACCCCCTGGAATCACATATTATTTATATAACCTTTTAGTCTCGCGTGGCGTTATATCTTTGTTTTGCAAGGCATGGTTGGGCGAGTGTGAGAGGGTGTCCTCCAAAAAGCCAAAACTATTAAAATCACTTTACTGTTAAAATCGTTAGAATTACAATGCCTATAACAGCTGAGCTGAACGCAAATATGTGAATATGCGCAAGGTGGTGTTTTAACACCTACGTAATGTTTGACTCCATTCTGGTCACCCACCCACAGGTTTCTTTATGCGCTGGAAGTGGAACATTTATTTTCTACCAATTGCCAAACTGTTGACTTTGGTAGCTATATTTTGATATTCATAAAAACTGTACGAAATGTATAAGATACTGTAAAAAAAACTCGCACATGCTTAAAACGCACTCAAGCACTTGCACCATGTTGATAAAATAGGCAGTATATAATTTGATAAAATAAATAAATTGCTTTGCTTACTTTGACGTATTATTGTTTGCGCGAATTGGGATGTTGTTATGTCTTTGTACAGACTAAGGGTGATCGGCCAAAGGGAATTCGTTTGGAGAGCTAGTATATATTGATACATACCATAACTCTCATATACTCCGATCCTGACGAAGGCCCTTAGCTTAGGCTTAGATCGAAATGTCGAGAAGTTTTTTTGTCTATTTTGGAAGTTATACTACATTTGATTGATTGACGCGAAATTGCTTTCCATGTGATAACATTTCACCTTTGAAACCGACCAATTTCATTTTGCTGCGATCTCGAATATTGAATATAGCCGCCTCGACGTGGCGGTTGACAAGAAGTTTTTCGACAGTGTTCTTCTGTTTCTCTGCCAACGTCCGGTCACCAAAGGTAATATGTCTTCCCGTTTTGGAGGAAATATAATCATGGTATATAAATATAATCAAAGATGATTTCAAATTTACACCATTCAAAAATATCTCTGCATTGCATACACTTTAAATATACGTCTGCCGTAGTTATCAGATAATTATATATTACATAAAACACATAGTGCATGAAATTACTATTGCATATAAATTACAATTTCCGTGTTTACCTAATATTTGGTCATATAATATAGCACACTTATTCCACCCCTTTGCAATTTTAACGTACACACACATTTCCTTAGTGCTTACTTATCCTGTGATCGTTTCACAATAATTTTATATGCAGATTTACTTGAATATTTACTTTATACAATAGTGCGGTTTTTGGATTTTTAGGTACAGAATAGAATAGCTGCTTATGCAAGTAGGCTGTAGCCCCACACGAACAATAACATCTGGGATGTGTTAAACTTTAAATATTGTGTAAGGTAATGTTAGTGAAATTTTTCTATTAAAATGTCTTACTCTATCTCAAATCTGCCTCGCGGAACTAAAACGACTGGCGCTGGATATATTTCTAGGATTCCTGATTTTCATGTTTTGTAAGAAGCGTTTTTGATTAGATTTTGTATTAAATCCCTTTTTCAACTTCAGCGAAGAGTATGAACTTCCGCTTGGCATTTCACTATAACTGCTATAATTCAGTAAAAGTTGTCCTTTCAAAACTTTGAACCTTGAGTGCGTGAGAGATGATGGGTTATTGCATGTTTAGACTCGAAATTTGTGTAAAAATATCTGAGACAAAAGAGATGAGTCACAACATGCAGATAATAATCTACTTTGAGATATAGATATAATGAGATATAATGTTCTGAACATGAATACACATGCAACAACCCATCACCACTTGGAGTTCAAGGTATACAGCTTTTAAAGGGCAGTCCCTCCTTAAATATCCTGAATAGCTTGCAGTGTTCAAGTAAATTAAATATCTATAACCAGTGTATATATTAACATTATTGGTACGGAGCACGGCAGCAGCCCTAGACTTCCTGGATTTTATGCCATTTTGCGATTGGTCTACGAGGGTTGTTCATCATTTCTGTCCAATGATGAAGTGATGCTCCTGTAGAGCGATAGCTCAAAGTCACTTGCCCAATGGCTTCATTCTGTGTTATCCTATCGTAATCCATGACGATGAAATTAAAACTAGTGTCACGAAGTTTTTCTACACTTACGTTGAAAATGAACGATTCGTTCCAAACTGGATCCCTGTTTCGTTTCTTTATCGTGGTCTTCTTCTTCTCGATTCGCTTCCCGCCTTGCATGAAGTAGATCTTCACGTACGGGTCTACAAAGAAGTCACATACTTTCAACAATGAATCATATATTCAGCAAGCGCCCATGAATTCGTTCTGTCTGAATCATTTTTCCGATCATATACAGGTTAGTCTTTAAACCAAGCTCACAACTTGATTGCACGTTTCTGGTTTTGCATTACTGCAAATGGTGGAAGACAATTGAACTTTTCGTGCAACTAGAAATGTTTTTTTTTCTTTTGTCCCTATCACTGTCACCGGTTCATGCAAATGCACCGTGTGTGCATATGATTTGTGCGGTAAATTTTATTTAAATAGTCTCTACTCTAGTCAGAAGCAGTTATAAAACTATTACAAAAGAGAAACTAAATCACCCCAAGGATGTGAAAGTGGCGGAGATGAGGGAAAATGTATTATTCAAGTTTTGCAAACATGGATACACGTTCGTCTTCACCCTATCTCTATTTGAGTAGGGGGAGGCTCGGTGGAGGGAGGCGGTATACCTGGGGCCCGTTGCTCTCGGTGGGGTTCAAGGTGTGAGAAATAACCCGGCAGTTCGACCCAGCTATGTGTGCTAATCATGATTTGTCCCAAGACCTAAGGCCTATAGGCTAGCTCTCGCTAACTTTGGATGTTTCCCAATAAGGTCTGATTTTATAAAGTATATTTCACAAATTAAGATATGTCGAAAGCTGACAATCCTCGCTCAAATATTGTTAAAATGTACTTAAACAACTTATATACCTGTTTTCCCTGTAATATCCATAGCTTTAAGTCTCGCAGCCTTCATCACAAGAATATTGATTCTATTTGCTGTCGGTTGATAACACATTGATAGTAGTAAGTCACCAAGATATTCCTATGAGTTAGAATGAAATATTATCAATTTATCAAGTTCGAGCTCTTTATATGTTTCAACTATATAGACCCTTTCGATAATTACGTCACAGCATGTTGGAGAGAAACCACCTTAGATGCAACCCAGCAACCACCTTACATGAGATTGATTTCAAGTTTTGCTCTCACAAGCTATGTAAAAAGATGCAAAACATCGTTTTTAAACACATGCATGAAAAATAATTTTTCATTTTGAGAATTGTGGAATTAAGCCATTACCCGAGAGTGAGGCCCTAGGGAAAGGAGTCACCGCGTATTTCCACATTTATGGGTGAAAATGAAAAGTTCTTTTCCATGCATGTGTTTAAGAACGATGTTTTGCATCTTTGCAGATAGCTTGTGAGATCAAAGCTTGAAATCAATCTCATTTAAGGTGACTCTAAATTTAAAACGATAATGTTGTGACGTGTTATCGAAATGGTCTGTTGGCCTAATCAATAGACCATTTCAGCTTGCATGGTTCTGTAATGGTTCAGATCTTGTGATCATGGAGTAGCCAATAAAACTTAGCCATTTCAGACCATGTGATTTGAAATGGGTTAATTTGCATACAAGCTGAGAAGGTCTATTTATCAATATCAATATATCAGCATGTTTTTCAAGACATGAGACAACTTTAGACGATACGTCGATTTAACAGTGCTATATAGTGAATATCGGCTTTCCAAATGAGCATTTTCGCTTATCAAAATACAATGCCAAATTTGTCATATTATATATTCAATTACTTGCGAAAGCTGGATAGCGCTATTCACTTCGATGAAGTTCTTGAAAAAAAACTAAGGATATAAGAATACCATCCAGCGTTTGTATACGATGAATGTTATTTTATAAAGGCTTAAAGCCCCGAGGCTAAGTGGCCTTTTCATGTAAAATGCGAGGTGAACTACGGCGTTTCGAGCAGGGCCTCTTAATTAAAGAGTAATAGTCTTAAACATGTCAAGGTGGTTGATGCATCTCGAATATCGCCCAAAGCCTCAATGTCTGTACAATCAACAATTACCGTTTTGAAAATAGAAATATGCAAATCTAGACTATTTGACATTGTTATCGATGAAAATGACTAGTTTACCAAAACAACGAGTGGAAATTAAAAGCTAGGCTTTGTCTGATAGTTTTTAGCCGGCAGTCCTGTAGATCACTTTACTCGTTCATTATATTGTCATCTGTATAGTTTATTCAGCGCTTTCGAAATCAGCTGTCAACCGCGTGGTCTTTCATAAAGGACCGACAATATTTCATTCTGTCATGACGAAAATTAAGGGACATGATTTCGGTTACGTTTATTTAATTTTTTGCTCGAAAAAGGGATAACAATTTTGTTTGCAGAATTGTCAATTGAGTTGTTATACACATAGCAAGGCGCCCCTCTTTACTGATCAAACTTCACGTGGGAACATGCGGAATTATGTTTACATTATTCATTGTATATTTAGAAGCCTACTTTCATTTTTGGGGCAAAGGGATGTTTAACTTAAAAACGCGTTTGTAAACGGACACGACTTCGCCAAACTAAGGCTACATCGTTTACAACTTTTTCACAAAATTTGAAAATGTCTTTCTCACTGTGTTCCCGGTATATATACTATGAGAATGACGTGAAAGACGGGAAACAATGCACCAAATATGTTTTATAGGGCTGCTTTTATACACACGTACACGTACGGAAAATTTTAAATGCTTTTAACTTTTTATTATTCAACATCTAGGTCAACTAATGCATACTAAAATATGCAGAAAACTATAAGTTCATTTGATTTATTCACTTAGTTTTTTCAAAGGTATAACAAGTATATAACTAAGGATTTAGACTTTTAAGTGCGTGTACGTGCATGCGTATGAAAAACGCGTAAGTCACTAAGTGGAAAACAACCTTTGGCTTTGGTCTGAAAGTCGAAATTTTTTCAAAAAGTTCACAGGTTTTAGGTCAAAATTGAAACATATATATAATTATTTCTAGGGCAAACATGATCAAGTGAATCTGCACATGCAAGGAACGAAACAGAGATCACGGCAATTTTTGTTGCAGCGTAGGCGGGGAAACCGCTAACCGCGTTCTTAAAAAAAACTTTAAAAAAAACGAGGAGTACACGCGAACGTGGCCAAAAACTCGCTATCCCACACTGTAAACAACGCCTGAGAGGTATTTGCAGTAACAAACTTAAATCGAATTGTCAATACTATAACGGCTCTGTTTATCCCGGACACCGACGACTTTCATCCGCATCCGCGTGGTATATAGTCGTAGATTTGACGAATCTGAAGGGGCGTACAAAAATGCCCGAAAAAAAGAGACACATGCAATATTGCACAACGATTCCTTTTGAGTATTATCTACTCCAACGTTCTGCACTTTTTCAAAGCGAAAGAAAGATCGTTTTGCATGCATGCCATAAATTCTATTCATGCACTTTTATTTTTTATTGCTGGTCTCAGATGCACTTCAGTTTTTGCCAATATACAGTAACAACGATACGTGGTTATTTTAACCAACATTACATTTGTTTCTCTCTCAACATTCACTAGATTGACCAAAATTGGTTGAAGATAAATGCATCTGTGATGACCTGCTCTAAACTGGACGTCTCTACGGACTCTACCATAGTAGAAATATAGCGTTTTTACTATGGTATATAGCCAACTATTTCGACAGTAGATGAATCTTAATGATCAAATGATCACATATAGGTGTGTGCATGCGAGGCCACTTACCGCTTTAGACGAAGGCTGTAGTTCCTTTGACAGCACAATTGGTTCGGGTCCTAGGTTCAAATTCTCTAATGATAATCTTACATCTCCTATTGGATCGTTCCTTGAAAACCTATCGTAATCTAACACTTGAAGACACAACGTTCTTTGCATCAACTTATTATACGGAAAACCCTCGAACATGAAATACTCGTTCCAAACAGGATTCAAGTTCTTTCTTTTGACTCGAGTTTCCATTTTATGTTTTTTGTCCGGCAGGAGGCATATCTTTACAAACGGATCGCTGGTGCCGCTGAAATCCTTAGCCGGTAGTTTCGTAGCTTTCATAATTTTCACACCCAAGGTCATGGTTTGCGAATCGTATTTCAACGAGAAGAATATTTGTCCCAAGTACTCCTTACGTGTTGGATCGGGCAAAGCGGGTTCTGGCGGGATGATGATGTCGGCAGGCCTGTGCTTCTCAGGTTGGATGGCCAGCACGTCGACTCCGACTTCCGGTGGGCTCGGGAATCGGATCGTTCTTCGACCATGGCCGGGCGAGCTTAATCGCGAAACGCTGTCGTCCGAGCTAGACAAACTAGGCGATGATCGCACGAGTGAAAGGTTTCTACCTGCAGGCGTTTGGTTCTTTAAACTGTCCACTATACTCTCATCGTAGCTGCCGTTGTTGTTTCCGGATTTTTGGAACAGTCGTCGACACCAGCCGCATACAGTTACGACGCTAACTAGGGATATCGCACTAGCAAATAGGATGATAACATGTTCGACTCCTAGCACACCATGGCCTGTAGAAATAAAAATGATTGAAATCAATTTTGTGCATGATGGACCAGTAAATACAAAAGGGAGGCGAGATCACTTATTTTTGTGGAAATGGATTTTTTCAACAGGGAAAAAAGTTTGAAATTTGCCTTGAGAATATATATATCCCTTCAACACCCCTAAGACCGCGTTCCTCAAAAGGCTCTGAATACTCCACTGCTCGTGGGCGCAGGTGTAGAGGCTGGGCTATGTCGTCAAAAACAGTGACGATTGACGAAAAAATCATTTCACTGCTCCAAAATAGAAATTTCTGCCATCTTGGATCACGCGAAACATATAGTCTTAAACGACAAAGATTGATAAAAATCCTCTGGCTAAATATAACCGTGGTTAAATTTAAACTGGTTCAAATTAAAACAATTAACTCGTCTCGGTTGAGAAACTTGTTTTAAAATCAGTCACATGCATAAAGAAACGAGTCAAGCTGGCTCGTGATAATGCATGTATGTATGTTTAAAGAATATTTAAATTTATCTCAATTATGAAACTTATCAATACATCACAACGAAATGAGAAATTAGTGAGACTAATATCTAAAACCAGACGTTAAAATTGCAGTTTTGAGACAAAATTTTAGGCTTTAAATGGGACTTCAGTCGGTTCCTTCGAACTGTCTATTTACCAACATTATGACTTATGTACGTTCATTCATTGTGTGGGATGTAAATTCAAAATAATTTAATAACACTGTCCTGATAATTATCGGCCATATTCAGTTACACAGCTGCCCTATTTAAAGAAAGATCGCCAATCTGCTTTTTTCTACATATCTCGTTGTGACAGAAATATCCGTTATTAAATCCATGGTGTGTGTGCATGGATGATGTAAATATGACATTAACCCACGCCAAAATTTTTAATTCATAAATAAAATTCTTGATTGTTCCTTTAAAACCTAATTATACTGCTGCTATATTTTTTTGAAATCGAGAGAGTAAAATTTTCATCCTCTTGTAGAGATCCGACATCCTTAATTTCTTTAAAATAGCCATAGCACTAAGCCACTAAAGCCACTATCATGCAGTTCGAATCTAATATAGACTATATATATATATATATATACTTTATAGTTAGTACACTATGCCCATGGTCTTTACCATCGTCCCCCGTTGGCGTTGGGCATGCAGTCTTCCAACATCTGAAACTGGATTTCATTATATCAATTGGTGCAATTATTTTATAGTTTTCCTACAATCTATTCTTCCGATATAGGACTAGTGAACATTCATAATGGGCTACACACAGAAAACACACGTCTGTCAATAAATGCCTCAAATTTCAGTATACCGGCTTGATTTTCTAGTGGGCCATTTCGAAAAAATGTCTAAACCACTACAGACACTCATTAAAATGTTTACTGTTTAGGCTTTCTTAGATCGTTTATAACTATATACTCTCCATGAATATGAATCTTTTTTAACTACGGTCCGGACCAAACTGACATTGCCAATGGCTTTCCATGCACGACAAATCACAAGACATTTTTTTGTTCATTTGAAACAGATTCCATGATTGTAATGTACATGGAGTGTTTAAATTTTAGTGCGAGTAATATTAGGTACAATACTCTCTTGTCGAAGGTTAAGCTCTCTCGATCAGGTCGAAACGTCTAGAAGTTTTTTGTCTATTTTTTTGGCAGTTGTTACACCGCATATGATGAGATCAGCTGTTTGTATTAAAATGATATAATCTACGCTGACTATACTCTATATAGAGAACTGAAAACGCAGACTTTAACTGCTCGTACGAATGGTTTTAGACCAGAGTGTTTGGGAGTTCCTGCTGACTGAGGTATGTAATTTGCTTTAATTTCAATATTCAGAAATACACTGGGCTCAACCGTGCATATATTATGAAATATTTACGTTTCAAAGTTAAAGAAAAACTTAATTAAATAGGGAAGCCGACGCCATCTTCAAATTTAAAATAGAATTATAATTACTATTTTAGGGCCGACATCCTTCAGGCAGTAATATTTCGTGGTCCATAGCTTTGGCGATTAGCAAAATCATACGGGCTATCAGGCAGAAAATTTTTTTGCACTAAAAGTTGCTTATATGGCACGCAATCATACTGAAAAAGAGGGAAATCAATCCTATACTTTTCACCATTGGTCGGGCCGTCATGTGTGATGTTTAGATTAGAAAACAACGCGCTTAATGATAAGTAATAATTAGGTCCAATAACAGAACGAAATGGTTCGTATCATGCATTCTTGGTTTAACCGCTGCTTTCGAAACCAGGGCATGTACTTGCATGCATGCGAGCGGATTGACTGTGCAAAGGTTATTTAAAACTCGAAGCTTAGTTTTTAATTTAAGTATATACTTAGTTATGAATGTCAAAGCCACAAAGCAAATTAATTTTTCCTACTTTGATATTTAACGACATGATTCGGCCGCATTTAAATTAAGGGAACGCTACGATATGAACGCGTGTCTGTTTGTACCTCTATATAGTTTGCGGCAACAACCTCGTTGCAATTATGTTTTTAAATGTTCAAGTTATGCATCCGGAAAATATAGCAACTGAAAACGCTTTTGAAGAAAACATAGAGTTTTTATTTGTATTAGTCTATTAACTTTCCTGTTCCGGCCTTAAAACTGGTCAAAATCTTATATGTAGGACGTGCATAGTTGCCTGTGGTTGCATATGGATTCTGGGGCTCAGAATTTGCGCGTGTGGATGTACCCGAATAGCTATTGTCGATGTTTATGCATGCACAAGTTTTCATATTATTTCGAGCCTTTATGCAAGGATTAACATATATAGAAGTCCCAGGTTTTTGTTAAAAACAAAGAGTGACTAAAAACGTGCAGCTGTTTCAGTCGACAAAAACATAATAAAGCGAACGAAAATACAAAGAAATTTTTAAATTACGTATATATATATATACAGCCGTTTCAAATGGTTAGAAAAAGCGCAACAAGGCCCCGATAGGCAAACACCTAGGGCACAGGAGGACACGCATATCTTGTAGCAGTATCGATGTGGGTATTGTAAACACGAAATGAAATTTGAAATATAAATCTATTAGCGTAGGCACAGCTTCTGACCAGACAACAAATTATGCATGGGGGTTAAGACGGAACAAACGTGAGCGAATAGTATTTGAATTTTTTAAATTTTACAAGTGCAGCGAGCTTTGATTTCAAGTAAACCTATTTCAAACAGAATTCTAAGAATGTACCATTTAAAGGGAATGCGAGCCTTTTAGGTTGATCTCGAATAATTCGTAGGTCGAATTTCAAGTACTTGATATCACGCCGAGTCTTGAACGGTTATTTTGATTATTTCTTGTTAACCCCACCGCAATATATTTCTCGGTATTTGCAATTACGTTTATATTCGCATTCGGTACTCATTAGGCCGGAAAAACGCTTGCTTTTACATCCACAATCTTTAACAACTTTGCACAAATATGGCTCGAATGTTAAATCCAACTGAAATCAATATGGCTACGATATTATGTAAAAATAAAAGCAACAGATTTGAAATTAAGGTCAAAAGATTGGCGGAAAGGATATATAAAACTAGCAAAGCCTAATCACGGTCAATGTGGCAATTTAAGAAGAAGAAGATGTTACCTCTAAACAAAGTAAACTTTAGAGCAAAGTGCCTTATTTCATGCTAGTACACTATACCATCTGATTGAAGCGACCCAGTTCTAAGTCAAAGACTGACAATCACATATGCAACTATCGAAAACGAAAGGTTTTAATGCGCTAATATTAAACCTAAGGATTATAGATGCTCTCGCTTGCTATACACTGCCCTTTACTGTGTGGTGTAATCTGTCTTGTGTCACAACATGAATTTAAGGCTTTATTCTGTCATTTACGTGCAGACTTACTCAGGCAAATATAGATATATCAAATACATGTCTTACCTTCGTTCGCCTTCAAACTAGTATCTACAGTGGCAATCAACATAACTATATGACATCGCCACTTACTTTCTTCCGTGATCAAAGCAAGCCATGTTCTAAAACTTCCCTTAAACACCGCTCACTAATCTCCGATATGCATCAATGAAATCGCTCGTTCATTCTCTTTGTGTTTGATGTCGTTGTGGCTGTTGTAAAAGTGAGAGGCGGTTTGAATTAATTTGCATATATATCACTTTTGAACAACGGATTTTCTGCCATATGTGGCCAATGACTTGTCAAGCGGATTATTGAGTATTATGCGTGGTTGTTAATTTCAAAACTATATAGTATAATTCTCTGCCTTTGGGAAGACAACTGTTGGGATCACGAGTCTGGTGTCATGTTTTGTGGTTGGATTTTGATTTACTGATAGTTTCGCGCTGCTTTACGATTGGTTCTTCATGTCATTTGAAACTATTTCGGTTGCTTCGGAAATTTGAGAGGAACACATTTCGATATGGAATATTAGTTTACGTATTGGCATATATTGCGAGATTATATTGCATGTTTGCGTCGACAGCGTCGTGGATATCAGTGAATCTGGGTGAAAGCATCCGTTGAAAATATCAAAACTTCAAAAAGATGAATGTATAGGCTATACTGCATCTACTCAACCTAGCTAAAATGATTTTTGCACATGTTAGATGTTCCAACGATTAGCACAGCAAAACGAACAATAGGGAATGCCTTTGATGTCGCGCCGACGACTGACAGATTGCATGGAAAGCAGGGTTGCAACCTTGCAGGTTGCCTGAAGCATTGCTGAATAAATTAGCCAAACTTCAAAAAGCTCTTTCAAAAAAACAAAGAAAACAAAAGTACTGTGTTTGACTACTTTATTCACCCCATACGATGATTTAGGGCCGTTTTACACATTTTTTCATTTAACTTGCAATGCATCCAATTCTACTTTCGTGAGATTTAAATTTGGAAATTACGAAACTTTTGTGTTTATTATTTATGGCTAATAGCCATTTGCAACATCATCAAATTAAACGAGTGACGCCATGCATAACTTGGGATACTACTTTTTGCGCACGTTGTTTACGTTAGAACCAGTGGTTATAACCAGTGATGAGTGCATAATAGCGCGTACGTATACGCGGTTATGGTGTCACACCAATTGGGAAAACATCAACGTCCTTATAGGCGGAGCAGAAATATGAAACAACACAATAGCGAGCGAAAAAAGTTGTGATGTTCAATCTTTTAGATAAATATTGAGGCAATCGGTTTTGAATTCGATTTTCACATAACATGATTTCATAAAGAATTATCAAGCCTCGGTTTGTCGGTTAACCTCAGCCTTCATCTTTAGCTGATAAAAACAAACTTCAGCCTGATTTCTTCATATCATGTTCAAGCTTATTCAATAATTGTTAATTATTGCACACTACTGGCAAAATTAAAATGCTTGTATATTCTGTCAAAATCTGACAAAATACGACTAAATCGGACTAATACTGCCATGATGAATCCAATAAGTCAATTTCATCTCACGTCCGATTATAGATGGGCTATTTGTAAGGACGACTCCATTTACCGTTTACTGAATCGGAGTATTTTTTATGGCTTTTGTGACAATAGAATAGAACAGGTTCACACAATTCTATTTCGACTTTTTTTAGCTATTCGTCTTCTTTGAGTATACAGGGCTGGCAAGCCAAGTTGACTTCATCCGAAATTGAGCTGGGATGTTTTGCAAGGTGCACACAATCGAGAAAGCCCGAACTCGCCGAGTTGTAGACTTGTAGTATGTCACCTATTTTTATTAGATGTTTGATGTTTGAAATTAGATGTTTTAAAGTTAGATGTTTGAAATATGTATAGACTACATATGTATGAAATATGTAGTGATTTTTTTTTCTTAATCCTTTATCTGACAGGTTTGCGTTCTTTTATTCTTGCTGACTAACGGACCAACGAGTCAATGACAAAAGCTAACTGGAATTTTCGCAGTACTGAGTCTGATAGCTTATATCCGATATTTCATTGCTATTTAGAAAGTAATACAACTCGACAATATCGAAATTCGTATCTCCTACAAACTTACTGAATGAACCAGGAAAAGAAAATCAACCGTAATCACTGTAAATCACGTATAGTAAAGGCTTATTGCATATAAATAGTTTAATTTTCAATGTAGCACATATAGGTTCAGTCATATACACATGCAAGATGTGTATGTTTTTAAACTTTGTTCTACTATCTACCATTTAACTAAACGCTTTCCCCAACAACCTGCCCCAGGCTTAAAGGCCCGTTTTCCTTAACCGTCAAATGTGGTATAACAACTGCCTAAAATAGACAAAACACTTCTCGACGTTTCGACCTGAGGGCCTTACTAACTCTCCCGACGAAGGCCCTCAGGTCGCAACGTCGAGAAGTGTTTTGTCTATTTTAGGCAGTTGTTATACCACATTTGATGCTAAGTTGTTTGAAGACGCTGCCACGCTGCTCCCTGGTTATATTGGAACCGTTTTACTTTAGACTACACTCGCTTTAGTGCAGGCACATGCAGTACGGCTAAAAGGGTCCCCGTACTCATTCGTCCTCAAACTATAAATACAAAGGCGGAGAACGCGGATGAAAAAGCCATGGCATTTTAGTTAGTGTAAGCAGGGCTAAAAAAAGTATTTGAAATTCGAGTTAGATTACTTAGATATGACCTTTTGTATTAATGTGATAGCTCTATAATCATTGTATGAGGATCAAATTCAACGCACTAGCGAATTTGCGAAGACTATAGCTCTTTTTATGACACCCCGTGTAGTCCTTGAGATAAAAAATTGGATTAATTCATTGTTCCGGAACATCACAGATGATCTTGTTTTGATAGATGACCCTAGCTACAATCGTTTCTTCCACAACGTTCCTCAGAACTAGCTGTCACTTGGACAAACTAGTGTAAAAAGAAGGGTATATATAAGGCGATACTTATAAAACGATTCCGCCTGAATCATTAATACCCCCCAATGGCAATGCATAGTGCATACCCGATTCGTGCACAAGCAAGTATTAATTGCAACTCCCAATATTTACGTGTAATGACACAGCGCTTTTTAGCCTATTTGTATTATTTTTGTATGTGTATGGATCACCTTGACACCAGTAATTACAAACTTTCATTGTCGCGTCTGCATGGGCTTGTCGGATCACTACGAGAATATCATATTGTCTCGAAAGAATGTGCGGAGAGTAATTATTACTATTACAAAATAGATAAAAAATAGACCCGATATCCTATATCATAAGCCGCATAACGAAGAATAAAATATTTTTTAAAAAACTAGTAGACTCTCGAGGTGCTGAAGACAACATATATCATAGCTATATATACTGTCAAAAGTTAACTATCGAAAAATGTTGACATCGACACTGTTTGATTGAGGAGGCTACTAATCTTTGGAATTCAAAAAATTAGCCACAAGTATATTTTAATTTAAACAGCTTACCAGATGAATTTTAATTAAAATATTAAATATGCCCGATTTGAATTTCAACGCCAACGGTTGCCTTTTCGTTATGCTCATGCACACCAGGTAAAAATAAATTGATAATTGGCTATATACGTGTATCTTTCGCGTTGGTAGATGAATTGATCTAATAATAATTCATGATGACTAGAAGTATAAAATCGTAGTCATGCAAAAATTATAACGTTCTGGATACCCACAACTGAGAAGACTAAATACTTTATAAATCTACGGAGGCTATAATCGTTAATTCTGGATAGGTTTTTGGGAGGTATATATATACACGATCACTATATCCGGTGTGGACACCGCTAGATCAGTGTGTAGATGGTAAAATGGCTAGATGAGTGTGTATATGGTAAAGCCATGCTAAAGCACGTAAACCACGCAGCGCACAGCTCTTTGGTGCTTTCGCCCCCCTACTTTGTCAGTGGCACTTAAGAGTTGGAATTCGCTTTTCCGCTTGTATTATAGCACGAGCCACATTAGAACTCGCCATAAAATGAATGATGCACTTTCGGAAGCATCGTTACACAATTAATCTCAGTATTATAATCGGAGGCAAATCACAGGAAAATGTGATTTCTCCTAAAAAAGAAATGATGAAAAAAATTGCCATAAGCATTCCATCGAATTCTAAAAGAAATTCACAACAAGAGGAAAGTTGAACTTTCCATAAACAGAATTGATGAGAAGTTATTATGGTAGTTATTACGGCGCGTAAGCCAGGAGGCAATTGAAAACTCCACAAATAGGAATGAAATATGGATGTTTTTACGTTATCCGCGGTATCATAATAACAACAGAGCTCACCATTAGCAGGTGTTTAAAATATATATATATATATTATGCGGAATTACAGCTGATTATATGTAATAGAAAGCAACAAGAAGGTGAATATAAACTCTTCATAAATAAAAATGGTCGATGAGAATGGATAAGAAATAAAAAAGAACCACAGGAAGCAATTTGCTATTTAACAAATAGATAACATCGAACCGTTGTCTGTTCAGTTATATATAACTGTCAGTTATATAACTGTCAATGGATACACGGATGACCTGTGATAAGAACAAACAAAGTAGCCACGAGCCCCCTGGGCGTTTATCTACAACTGAACAGACCTTTTGTTTTATATGATAAAATCGAAAAATTTCCGAAATTATAAACTGGCAAATAGTTTCCCCTACACTTAGAAAATTGTCAAAGCAGACATTTTGCAGATATCACGCGTACATGATCTATATAGGATTGACGAAATGCTATTGGCTAGCTTCAGAACGTGCTAAAATGTGATTGGCTGACAAAATGAAACAAGACTGGATAACTGATTAAATTCGTTAAAATTATCTGTGAGGTCATTCCGTGCGTCTGTCCTCTTATAGATCATGGCTCAGTTGGCTCTCGGCCAACGAAATTGCTCGAATTCTTAACGTTATTATATAAATATATAGATATAAATATGAGCATTTGAAGAAGTGTGCGTATAGTTCGTTGTTTCGCAGTAAAGGAGAACTAGAAGAAAGATGAACTCTTCATAACGAGAAATGATAAAAAACAGATGTTATAAATAGGATAACTTGATATGGTATCATACTGGAGGATCACAGAAATTAAGAAACTGATTATCAGTCTCTCCATGAACAGAAATGATGAACTAACATCTTCTAGTTTGAAATTAAGGGGCTGTTTACATGAGTCCGGTTACCCGAGATTCAACGAAGCGTGAGAGGACTTTGAGGTATTAAAATAAGTCTTTATGACACCAAACAAGTACATGCTAATCCTATGTTGCGGTGATTATACGATGGCCAGGATCATGTTATCTGCTCATTTCAATACCTCAAAATCATCTCACGCCTCGTTGAATCTCGGGTAACCGGGCTCATGTTAACAGCCCCTAAAAGGAAACGCGATCAGAAAGTTCTTCATCACAAGAATGATAAAAAATATGTTAATACGTATCGCGTGATCGCGCGGGTGTGTCGAAATATTCTAATAGTAGCTAATAATTCATTAGTACGCTGGGAAAGCCCAATAGATCTTTCAGAACAACGAGTCAACTACATATTCATTCGCGATTATTTTAGACGTATTTTCTTATCTTCCACGTGCATGTTCGTATACTCATGCGTTTACCTATCTAAAATGATATCTAAAATACCCATAAAAACGTGAGCGTGGAGATCAGTCCAGTTGCCACAAAGGATCAGCTCCCGGTTTTCAGATTTATTTTTTACACGTACAAAATATTTTCTCCAATTTCTATATTACAAATAAATCTCCCCAATGGAATAAATTATATATATTATCTTATCATTTGCATTCTAGTGTCCTGTATGTCAGTTTAGTACGCATTCAAGTTTCAAGATACCCCAGTTAATAGATTTGTTTACCCATTTGTAAAATATGCAACAAATTAAAGACCTAGGATTCTAGTTTTTTTGTATCATTCAAGCCTATTCGTTGGAGTTATTTCGGTAGAAAATTTAGAAACTTAGTATCTCACCCGTTCCGTGCGTACATGTGTCACGTTAGCCTAATTTAGCAGTGCACGTGGCCTAATTAAGTAGTACACGCTGCGACTGGTTTTAATTAGGCCCCTTGGCCTAATTTTGTAGCATACGCAGCCCTATTTTTTACTGCGGTTATCTCGTATGCTATAACCGAATCCAAAATAGCCTCTGTTTTGAATATCTTTGGTTTATATCGTCCAAAGCGAATTTGAAGTTCCATCTTGAGCTAAGATTCTCATATTTATCGTCAAAATTCTCATAGTTTTTCTCGGAATTACGTGCAGCCGGGAAGGCGATACCAAAAGCCTTCCTTGGGCGACGGCCATCTTGTTTTCTTCGCCGTTTTGAATGTTTTGACTTTTTTACTCGCTTTTTCATCGATCCTCTGTGTGACTGTGCCGAAAAAGAAGAAAGCTAGTTACATATTTTAGACATATTTGTTAAAGACATATTTGTTTCCTATTTCAGACGGTCATACATGTACTATTTACAACTGTTTTTGTTTATAAGTTTAGGTTAAACAGATGTCTTCTGCATGATTGAATATTCTATTTGGCCTGAAAGAAACACATTGCCCAATGATGCCTTACCTGTGTGCTGTCGTCAGAATCAGATGACTTTCTTTTCTTTCTAGCACTTCGATGTTTTTTTGCATCACTTTCGTCTAGCTCTTGCAATGTCAATTTGGAATAGAGTTGTTCTCTGTAAACTATTACGGTAAAGTTGAAAAAAATATATTTTAAATATATTCTTTAGAAATCCATGACCAATTGCGTTGTTACTGAGGTATTTCGAATGAAAATTAAGGGCGCTGTTGAGACTTTTAAAGTTGGAAAATACAACATTTTATTACGCTCCGGCTCTGCTGACTTTTATTAACATTTCCCAAGACTCCTCACTAATTAACATCCCTCAAAATTACAATTGCATTTCAAGTTAATCGCAAGGAAGATAGCATAGTGTAACAGCGCCTTAAACCTTTTAATTTTTCTGCCTAACCCTATAGTTCCGCCACCGCTGAGGTACATGCATATTGTATGAAATAAAGTATTGCATAAACTATTATTAAAATGTTCACCTGAATATCGTTTTCCTTTAATTAGTTTTCTTTCGGTCTCATGAACATGGCCGCACTTGCAAGAGTGGCTGTTCTCTTGGATCTAAAAAGAATTCATATGAATGATTTACTACATGAAAATTATGTATAGCGGTTATGACGATTATAGTGATGAAAATTATATATAGTTATGACGAAAGAATTGCAACGGTATTAATTAACCTACTAAACTGAAGTTATACTATACAAAAATTTGGCACCGTTATGCGCGACGTCAAGTTGAAACGGGCTATACGTTGATATTGTCAAATTTAAGTGGGAAACAATGAAGCTTTAAGCAGTCTTTAAGCGAATCCGGTTTCGTACGTTAGCTAACTAGTGCCACCGGCCCGGAAAGAACTTTGAAAACAACTTAATATGAAAGTTCGTTTTAATGCAAATAACCCAACCTTACGTCATTGTGAATAATGAATAAAAATAACAATAAACCTAATAACAAAATAATTTCAGTGAAAATCAGTTTCAAAATTTGGGTTTTTGTTGACACACAAGACTCACTTCCATGTCTTTATTCATAAGAAAAAAAATATCAAAAAATATAGTGAAACTGATCATAATAATAGATTTAATAATATCATTCTCAACGCTCATTCCGTGATTGGCACTATATTTATAACGAGCTACTTCTCCTGTCCTCATGCAGTTACGTCATTTACTGAAAACGGACGCATCAAAAGGCATGTTTACTCGCTCAATTTTCATTTGGGTTTTTCGATTCTCTATCGATATTGGACATTGTATTGAAAGTGAGCCTCGCTACTGATGAATGTATCATAGAGTCAACTGAAATACAGAAATAGTTCCGCAAATTATAGCGAGTGATGAAATTCCGCGTGTATATATTGTCACTAACGTTGAATGATCGAGGTATCGTTCCGTCCATCTTATATACACGCACGCGCGATATACTGCCAAGTCACCATTTAAACTTTGAATTGCCGTTAACAAAATTCGTATTGAAGTTAGCGATATCGTTCTCTGTCATGCTTTTATTTACTCCAGTTCACAGATATACACATAAGATCGAGTTAGATCAAGACAAAGTACCACTGCACGATATATGATATTCAGTATTTTTTCAAACAATCCTAAAACGCACTCTGAAAATTTTAACGGCTGCATTTTGACGATGACGGCATTATACGCGTTATGTAGGGGGTCGTATCAATTTGGGGATGTAACCTTGATTACGTCACTAACTGTTAATAAAACTATATTGCAGTGCAAAGCGAAAGAACTGAAAATTCTCAGAAGTGCTTTCGTGTATAACTTTTAATTTCATTTGAACGCTTTCGGCGAGCTGTTTCTCTATGCTTTTTACAGATCCCATCAATTTAAACGTCTTTACAATGCATTTCAACCCACGCTGCTCGCGATCACGCTTTGAAAACGTTCTTCTTTTCTCACAGCACTTACTTCTTTTCTCTCAGTGGAAAAGGTAGAAAAACATCGGGCCAAGCGATAGTCTTTCCAAAGCGTAAAGCGTTTGACCACACGCTGCATGCATGGAAAAAATTACTGTTGAACGGTTTTGGAGAGTTGCACTGATGTCTCTCAGTTCGCTCACGTTGAGATGATGATTGTATAAGAATATTATTATACATTAATTACTATATAGAAAAAAGTCAATGTGTAGTTTTCGAATGTGCATAAGAGTTACACTTTCATTTTATCAATGCAGTGATCGAAGGTTTAGAACTTTATTGGCTGCAAGACTATGATTTCTTGTTTCAGTCTAAAGTCAACGCTGGTGCAGTTATATTGTTATACACTACATGCATGAATAGCAGGTACTATTTATCTATAGCCGGCCTAATAAATAAGGATAATATAGGTTAAGAAGGACGAGTTTCATCTACAAAACCTACTATTTATCCGCCCGAAAAAGGCAAAATCTCTGTATTTACCAACTATATACATGTGCTTTGCCTTTGAGCTGCCCTAATTAGGCTGGCTAAATAGAAATACATATACATGCATCATTTCTCATAGGTCACATCAGGTACACTGTATACTAGATTCGTCTCCAATTTCCATATTTACTTCCTCTTGTAAAATCCTACCTCTCTACAACATGATACACAAAACTGTTCCATCGCATATATCGCACTTGATATCAAGTAGACTTGTGCTCTCTTCTTTATGCCTCGTAAAAAGTAAAGTACGGCGTATACGTCTCGCGACTATTTCAACTCCCAAGAGTTTCGCTTTCGACTTCCGTTCGCGTGAAAAAAGGTTCCTAACCTTGAAATGCTTTGTTATGCTTATGGGGTCTGCCGGTCAAGTGATAAATATAGCTTATGTATTCAACTCTCTTACAAGGTGACAATCTGTGGGTAATTCCACGCTTATAGCAATATATCACTTTATTTATCTCTTATACTAGTCCCGGGCAAAAGTTATACCTATAGTTATCTGTATACATATACTTCTACTGCATGTGCTCAGATTTATGTTTATGCATGAAACCCGGTATGTTACACGTGGCAATTTGCGCAGTGATCTCGTTTAACACATGATTTCCGCACTGTATGTCTGTATCTTATCAAAGAACTGGTCCTTGGTCTGTACTTGACTTTCCGCGCGTCAATTTTGCATACCACCGATGACACCATTTATTTGTTTTTATCTATTTTTCAAATCCATGCACGCAATCTGGGCTTGTTTCAAAAGCGCAGCGAACAGCGGCATGCAGGGAGATTCTTCCGTACATTTTTTATTACTCTCATTCTTTCGTGTTAAAAACCTACCGTTTTAAATTTCAGGAAACAGTTACTGATAGGGGTTCGTGTTCCTGCTTGAAATCCTGATACAGCCGCGCACTTACACATACAAGGAACTTAGCTAAAATGCATATTCATAGCGTTTATCCAATTAACCGCGTGCTAGCGAATATGTATTTTCATCGGTTTGTGTGACGGAAGGTCGATCAGCGTGTTTTCTTAGAAAATCAAAATAGGTAACTGATTTCACAATACGGAAAATAGTAGTTAAACCAGACACCATAAGGAGCGTTAAGCCCCCGAGTGATTAAAAAATGACGATGCATGTGTTCGAGAAAAGTCAAATATCTGCATCATGACATGCCTTGCTGCATGGAATAGAGTTTTGCAGTCGAAAGCATGGCGTAGAATAAAGTTCAATAAACACAATCAATAACTGCATGATGAACTACAAGGGTATTTAACTCATGCATGTACAACTCGTGAACACAAGTTACGCTAAAGAAATTAACGAAAAAACTCGAAAAGTTGTGGTTAAAAATGAATACTGAAAATTTAGCTATATGTACGCGGCGGATTAAAACACAGCTGTAATCGGATCTTGCAGTTGATGAACGACAGATTGAGCATGTAACAAACGCTTGTGTTCAAATGAATCCATTGTACATGTAAAAAAATATGATTGAAACTTGATTAATTGATATCTTAACTTACAGCAGGAATATTAAGCTAATTCATATATAGCAATTTTATTATTATATTAATTTATTAATATTAGAATATTTATTAATTTTACTCTCGATTATAAACCGATGGGGAAGACTTCAACGTAATATGACTTTCCGGGAACTCAGTTGGGAGTTGGTTGTACACAACGACAACGTCACTTTCCCTATTTGGGTTTTGTTTTCGATAATATCCAAATCAATTTTTATTTTTGCTTTTGATGCTACTTCGAGTGAGAAAAGAGTTTAAATTTGTGCTGAATTTACTCAGTTTTCTCAGTGAAAAGTACAAGACAACCTGAATGTCAACAGTTACACAGCTTTGCCAGCTGTTAATGCCGACAACTGTTAATTTTGGTCTGGTGATGCCGGTAGTAAATGATCTCAATTCTTGGGAATATTTTCTATTGATCTAATCGAAAGTGTTCATGATGGAACTGGCGACTCGTGCTTGTTCGGTTTCGTAACGGCTCATTTCAATGCCCCCAAATCACTTCACTTTTCGGTAATCAAAGAGTCATGTTCCCAATTAACAAAGAGTATAAATACCGAAACAAAAAGCACTCAGCGAGTCAGCGATGCAATATTTGTTCATCTTTTTTGCAGTCAACGAGTACATACAGCGTGCTTATAGCCAAAAATATCATCGATTTGCTATAGGAAGATAGTGGACAACATGTGTGGTCCACGCTGGTCCACGCCACCAGATGGCAACCTCAACGAGCTCAGATAAATATATACCTCAGAACTCGGACATAATGATAATACTCCAGGCTCCCCCCACATAATTGGCATTTTTCTCATATTTGCGATCGTTATTAACGTACGTCCACTGTGCAATTTGAACGCGAAGCAAAATGGGCCGATTTTCCACTTGACATTTTAAACACAAAATTATTTTCTGAAAGAGCAAACTACAAATAGTTAGAAATTTCTGCGTATTGATGTCGTCAAATGTGGGACTGAATCAACCAAGAGGTTGAAAGAGGGAAACCCCTAAAGGGAAAACTTTGGGTACGAGGTTGGGACTGAATATGCATGATCTCGCTGAGTAGGCGCTGAAATATGCCACTTATCAGTGCTTTAAGCACGTAAATGGCCAGCTAGAACATAGCTTGAATTCCCGCATACGATGTGAAATTATACTTATTTAGGAACTTCGCAATTCGGGTTATATCTTCTGCATTTCTAATTATCTCTAACCAAACCTGCATTTTCAAGTTTCAGTTTAATGTGGTCTTCGAACTTAGCTTGCGCATATCAGATGTTCTTTCCTAGATCAAAAAATCAGCCTAAAATGCAAATTTTCTATTCAAAAAATATAGTCTCCAGTCAACCCTAAGACTATACGCACGTCTATACGTTAAGACTATACGCACGTCTTAAACTATTTTCTATTCAAAAAATATAGTCTCCAGTTAACCCTAAGACTATACGCACGTCTTAAGTCTTTACGCACGTTTTAAAGAAAACTCTGTGAAGCCAGTATACTGCCATATAGTCCACTCATCATGAAGTTCAATACCAAAATTTAATAAGTCAAAGGAATAAAGCAAGCATACTGATAAATTCGTTAATTTGAAAAGCATTTCAGTTCTATTTACTAAATGGAATTGTTAAAATTAAAGAGACAGGAAACTTTAAATTGGCTTCAGTAATAGCGGAACTCAATCGAAGGTCCGTTTCATAGGATTAATTAGGCTGACTTGCATACTAAACTATCATTGTCCTCGGCCCACATTATACATACTTTTTAAGCGGAAGAACTTCGTTTGGAAGTTATAGTATACATTCAAAAACGTAATCTTTTGGTATAGCATGCGGCCTACTATATACTAACACAGATATTAAGAAATTGATTATACGTAAGTGAAAAAGACATTCCTTTAACAATAGGTCATTTGATCACGGCCATGTTAATATTTTATAAACATAGTTCATTTAACATTCATCATTGTTATGCATTAGTATTTGACTTTAAACCGTCAATGGCCTCATTATGACAAACTTCTTGCACTTTAACTCGTCCCCTTTTTGGGCCGATTACCGCCAAAACCTCTTAACCGTTTTTACCCTTGTAACCCATGCAGCTGTTTCCTTTCAGCCGTTGGCTTTGCTAAAGCTATACAAGCTACTTCATGAGATAGCATGCATAAATGCTGTTACATCATTTCATTGAATTCATTCCATGCACTTTCGGCAGTCAATTTCACTTTAAATTGTTCTTTCTTTGCCTGAGACATATCGGTGGCACCACTTTCGACCCAGGCCTACTTCCGTAATCTCAACTTCCTTAATAATCTGTGTGGGAGCTCAAACAGTATATTTAATTCCTCTGTATATTTGCGAAGAAACTGGAGTGTTCATGCAGACAGTCGTTGTGTTTAGTGCTGTCTAGACTGTCTTGCGTGTTAACGATAGTCGATACTGTAACAGAAAGTCAGATAAAGTCGTGGTTGCAAGTTGCATAACACTTGTCGAAGGTAGGAATTTGTATTAACTCGATTATGTGGTAAATAAACGAAAGTATATTAGTAATAATTTGAGTGCTGGGTTTTGATGGACAGTCAGTGATATGCAAGAGGCTGCACGCTGTTCAACAGTCGCCGAAACTTTGCCCCGATCGCTAAACGAAAAATCAAGCATGTTTTTGCAAGTTCTTCCCCGGTCATAACCGTGCACGGAAACCAGTATTGTGGGAGAAACGAATGAATATCACCTGCGTTTGCCGGTTTAAACGAGGAAGCTCTCTGCTAAGCTTTCATCAAAATTTGAACAGGATCAACGTGAACGAACGTTGGCGGGAAACTCGGGAAGAGCCAAACTGCCAAAGCTCTCGTTGACGGCCAAAGTCTCTAGCCAACAGATTATTCGCTCACTTTGTTTGACCGCGGGCCGGTTATTTAATAAAGCTTCCTCGTGGCGGTTGTGTATTTTGGCCGTCATTACCGTCAATGTACTGGTGGCTAAATTATGTTAGATATTAGATAATAATCCGCATGCAGCTTGTTGCATTGTATATCTGTATGCAAATCATTCGTGCCCGAGCCTTTAATCAGTTGTTAGAGGCAATGCGTTTTATATACAACGAAAGTCAGCATTTTAGGGCCTGTTCATATGATATATGAGACGGGTCAGCCCGGTTTAGCCAGGCTATCTCGCTTTCGCTGGCCCGCTCGATGTTTTCATGGGAGCCTGTTACAGAGATCTCGCTTCGTTCAGGCGGGATCTCGCCAGAGCCGCGCTGGCCCGAGTCAAATAATATGTGAAGCGATATCCTGGCACTGTCGAGCGAGCCTGGCTAAACCGGTCTGGCCCGTCTCATATGTGAACAGGCCTTAGTCAGCAAAGCGAAACTTTAGCCGCCTTTTTCACAAAAGGTTATCATCGTTGGCTGCGTAATACAAAAATATATATAAAATTTGCAAACATCGCACGCCTATATATTTTGTACAAAAATTACAACATCAGCTAGGAACTGACTTGCGAATTTAGTAAACACGCTTCCTAATCGTGACGTCACGGCTGGATGCTATGTCGTTTTTGCGTTTGTTTCGCCTGCCGGATTTCGTGTCGCGTCTTAGGCCCCATCCACACGATGCCGGAAGAATTTGAAAACGCAAGAATATTCTTACGGTTACGCGTACCGTCCACACGTATCCGTGTAATACGTGTTAATTTAACGTGCTTTCCGAATTTTGTTGTTTTTTAGAAGTTAGGACCGGGCAATTTGGCTTTCGTATTCGCCTCATCGCCTGTTTCATTAAGAAGTTGTAGGAATTGTATAGATTATTTTGATTTTGAAGTGTTTGAAATATCACTGAGAGTGAGAATTCTTATCAAAGCATCAGGAATCTATCTTGCAGTGTTTTAACGATGAGAAATCCGATCACCGAACGCGCTTGTTAATCTTTGATTACCTCTAGTTTTATATATAGTTCAGTTATCGTATTGCTGATATTTGCTTCGTTCAAAATGTTGTTTAAAGCACAACATGTATATCTATTAACTTTAGTTGTGCCTGTTTGTGGGAAAGTATGAGCGCCCCTTTCAAATTTTCGCTGAGTTTAAAGATTGCTAGTTCCGCTTTTTGAAAACTACTTTTAGCGAATACTGAAACGGAAGGTTGTGTGAAGTTTTAGTTGTTTAAATTATCATAACTCAGAATGGTATCAGATATTTAATCGGCTTTAAATACGTCAAGACATACAATTATATACGGAGTTTTTTCCTAGTTATTAATTCAATTCAAGTATAAACCTGAGTTGTCATTTTTCTCATTCACAGTACCAGCCGTTATAACTTCGCGGCAGCACAATGTCAATTGGAATTTAATAAACATGAACATTTATTCACGACATTGTTTGCATTCTTAAAACACCGTCTGCAGCTACGCAGTTTCCAAGGAGCGTAGCAATAAAACTATACGTGTTCTTAATTCAGTATTTCTCTATTTCGGCAAGCAATTAATAACTGAACTTCATAAAGAATAGTTTATTTAGTGATTCGCTATCAAACAACTAGAGATAGGTCGGAGAACAATAAAATTAAAACCGTTTATGGATAGGAGTCAAAAGTTTGTACGTCATATCATTCATGCCATCTTAGCTTCGCCCAATCATGTTTAAATATCCACATCGGTCCAGTATTCATTCACGAGTTTACAGACGATAAAAAATATATGCATGCCGTCATTACATTTTTTCGATCAAGTTCTTTAATAGTTTCTATAGAGTAGTTTCTATAGTCGTTTAGATGCTCGAATGCTTTTGAGATGAAATGAAAGAGGACCGCTTCTTTCGTTGTTCTTAAGGTCTGTTGACTCTGTTTAAACGATGTGATTTTGTCGGATCCAATTTTAATACTTCAAATGGATGCTTTATAGGTGATTGATTAGCAATGTGTATGACACAGCAAATCAACGTTAACTAAAGCCATTGGAGAACAGCTTTATTATGCAATAACAGATCACATTTTACACGCCAGAAGTGCATTGGATCAAACAAAATTTGATCGTTTAAAAAGACCTTCACAGCACCTTCTCTTAGAAAAGTAAACATATATTCAATGTCAGCAATTTTGCTGCGACAATTCAGTCAACAGCTATACAAATTGTGCCTTTTATATCAATGCAACCCTTACCTTAACCCCACAGGCTATGCAAGATATATCTGTGCTGACATTTGTGTTCAAAGCCATTGCATTCTGTAGTTTCGAGATATCCCTGCTGATCATCGTAAGTGTGTTATTAAGCTGTCTTCTTCGTGCGCACTATTCAGTTTTTGAATTTAAAATGAAGTCAAGTCTAATTGCTCGTTATATTTATACTAGAGAGGCCTAGAGACGTGGTAACTAAGCTCAGAACTCAGCCCACGCAAAAATGACATCAGTTTTTAAAAACATATGACGTAACCATACATGATTGGCCGCGCGTATTAGGCAATACCCAATATGGCATTTCGCGTTGTCATGTCACAATGCAACGGCATGATATGGAGTTTTAAAATAGACTGTGATATCATCGGTTAGGTCAATTTTCTTCACCTCTTGATATCCCGCAACCAACCAAATTCAGAACGCATTTTTTGACAGAACCATGTTTATCATAATGAAAGTATAGCTTGTGCATATAGTTAATGAAATGCAAAATTTGGAAAATTTGTTGATCAGTTGGGTAAAAAACTAAAAATAATACCATCGTTACTTGCTGAAGTAGCCATGTTAGTACTGCAATCTCAGCGGGAAAAAATAAGCATGAATTTGTGATGAGTCACGAAAAATCTAACCGTAATCTGATATGCGCGCATGCGTAGGACTGTATAAGTCATAAATATCCATGAATCACATGACCCCAATGTGAATATCCATGAATCACATGATCACATGGTTCCTTATCCGTCACATGTCTATTGTATTGTATTTTTGCCAAACTATACTGGCAATGGCTTGACTTAGCTTCTCAACCGTGACTTGAACAACATGTTAATTCAGACTTTACCATTTGTTTTTTTTGTTCAAAATACAATAGACACGTGACGAATAAGGAACAATGTTTTGCATAAATGTTCCCTGACGTAGTTAATGAGTTCTATTGTACTTTTATGTAGTCTCTAAACCATGTATATTCTATTAACTGTGCTTCAACGAAGGTGCACTTTACTTCGAAGTGACACCCCCGCATTCCAGACAATTCTATATGATCGCACTAGGGACTAAGTCTATGTTACTGACATTGTTCTCTCGAGTAGTTTTTTTTTGTGTTGACATGGCAAAAACAGCATAATTTGACATCTATCTCAAGACAATCTCTTCTTGAAGTGAATAATTGCCGGATTGTCTTGTTATTCAAAGAAGCATCTGCGCTCCTAATTTTCGCGCCGAATCACAGAATAGAAATCTGTTCTGTTCAACCTATTATATAAGTTTCTATTCTGAAGCCAAACCACTGACCTATACAGGCTGTACTAGATCTAGTTTAGGTCAGTGGGCCAAACTCAGTGCTGCCTGGTGAAACGCCTACTCGTAGAGATAGTTGACAACAGTAAATTGATCAACAGACTTTCGACTCGAACAAGCCCAACGTGACGTGTTTTGCCGACATGATTACGTATGCAAATGAGATGACGAGTCTCGCAACCGTACCTAAGATCTTCGTCTTTGTTCTAACTTCAAGGTATGTCAGTATTCTAAAAAGCACACAAACAAACTAATCGGTAATTCCTTGTCATCAATAGGAGAGTCTAGAACGTTCTCTGTTTAACGGCAAGATTTAAGGCAAAACATTTAAAAATCAAGCTCTTGATGGGGTGGGGATGCGCAAGCCATGGCATGGTTGCGAAGGAATTAAGATCCCCGACTCAAGAAGTTGCGAATGAAAGCGAGCTTTAGAATACAAGGGCTCTTGTTACATATGCTGTAATAGTTGTTGGTCATACCGATTCAATCGTAGAAAACTAGCTAGTAGTTAGTAGATAATGATATAGAAAAAGGTTATACTATTATAGTCAAATTTAGTGATGATGTTTGGCTTCATCCAATCGAGACGCCGGAATTCATACTATTTACATATTTCAGTTTCTTCGATATGCGCACCCCTGATTGCTTCATAACTTTATTCATCGCTACACACACACTGCTGGGACCTGCAACCATGCTTTTGTAAGACTCCAATCAGCCAACTGACATAGTTAGCCACAACCAGCCAATATTCAATCAAGTTGAATTAGCAAATTAGCTGTCGATCATGCAATTTTGATGGACTTGCACTCACTAAACTTAATTGATGTTACATACTGTGCAATTATGTTCAGTATTCATTCATTTATCAATACAGGCCACAAAAATGTGAATAAACAGAAGTAAAACCAGCATTTCTCATTTACACAAGCCAGGCATAAATTGTCTCTCGCTGGACTGTGTAGAACATTGTCAGTGGACAGTGATGTAGAAATAGGTTTACGCCTGCATGGCCAAGAATTGTTTTGCATTAGTATGTTTTCTCAATTAGGATCTGACCGATCAGTTAATACGAAGGATACCTAATACGATCGAGGAATATTTAGTAGAAATTTGATGTCAATTTAAGTAGAAAATGGGTTATTTTAAGTGCATGCAAAGTAACCAAGAGGTACATCCAACCTAAATTCGGGTATATATGAAGCGTTGACAATGTTATTGGAATACAGCATGCAACAGTGATAACTTGAACCCTGACTTGGTTAAATTGGATATAATTTTATCCGTCTCATTAGTGTAGCTAGATGGCCAGTTTAAGGGTTCGGAAAATATAAAACCTTTAAGCAAATTTGATCGGGAGACACATATATTTCTTTAAAACGGAGAATATGCCTTTTATGCGATATCTTTTAGACAAATGGCGTTGATTTGGAATGATGGAATTTTTAGCAATAAATCGATTTATTGAAAGCTAGGGCTTACGCATACTCTATAATTTTACTAGCTATATATATATGCACTGAATCTTTGGACTTTCAACAACATTCCTTTGAAGACCTTTCTTCCACAGATCGTTATACTTTTACTTTTCAGCAGCCACATACATACAGAGTAAACTGATAACCTTTTGTTGCCTCTTCTATTGCAAGAGATTAAGACTAAACTATTTGAGAATTGATTTTCTGCCCTTTTAATCACATCACATCGCTATGTGAACAAAAAAACCACCTAAAAAAGGCACTACTTAGGACGCTTTCCGTGTAAACACAATCGGAACGATCAAATTCTCAAATGAAACACAAAACCTTCGCGGGATTAGGTCATTTAGGACACAGGTGTGCGGGAGTGAAAAACAAACGTGCATTCACAAGGTGATCTATTTTAAACGAATTTTTCGAAATCTGTGTGGAAAATCTTCTCTCCCGAATGTGCGATCGATTTCTTAGTGCCGTTTTTCATCTCAGACTCGGGAAAAGGACAGTTATGCACCTTTATCATCTCTAGAGATGCGATGAACTGTCCTGTCGAAATAGATGCATGTGTAATGTGTTCTCGAACAATTCACAAATCATCATTGAAAATGACATGTACTCGATATTATCTCGTCCGCACACTCGTTCTAATATCAGGGAAGAGAGCTACGGTTTTTTACGCCTCTAATATTGACGTCGCAACATATTAGCCTCGTCTATATCTCACGGAATTCAGTACATGCATGGAAACCACGGGTAAAACGCATCCTGATATCATACGCGTATTATATATAGCTGTCTAAGCCTGTCTTACGGTAAAAGTGCCGTTGTATATATAATCTTGAGTCGCCACCTGCAATGTGGGCAGTGGAGCCCTCAAAGACTCACAACAATCCGTCCAATAACATTAGCCGGTGGTGTGTCGCAACATATAAGGTCACACATCACATGGCCTGCATGTCTTGGAATATGACGAGTTTTATAATTCTGATACTTGTATAATATACACATGCATCTCTTGGGCTCTCCTTATATAGATTAACCCGCTGCCCACGAGAAGCCCACGGATTAGCATTCGAGGCTTGTATAGAAAACACCGACCGTGTCTATATATATATATATTTATTTATACATAAGCTCGCTCGAATGAGTCGAACAACATGACGACACAAGTTAACGAAGAATCGCTCAATTCAAATGCCAATGAAACGGGGAACAAACGAGGGCAGACGGTAAGATCGATGTGTGGGTTTAGTGAAGGGCTGTGAAACTTGAAATACAACAGGAATGAAGTATCGGTACGCGGTTAGATTATTCGAAATTATGAAGCGAGAAAGGCACTCAGCCAGACAGACAGGCTAATTCGCTATTCGTGTAGACGTAAAGTTGCTTCACTAGTGTACGTGTATATAGTTTGTACATAGGTATATATATGTCTTGGCTTGTGATGGCGATCGGGTTTCGATATGGCATGAATATTTATAATAACATATATCAAAGATCAGCCTATGCAAAGGACGGCTTAATCTTTGGTGAACAAAACGTGATTCTGTATTTGCGAGGCTTTAGTGAGACTCGGTCGAGTTCATATAAAGATTGGGTTAAATTATATAAAAAGCTTCACAGAATTACAGCACGGTCAGCAAAATACATTTCGGCCTGCAACTTAGTTTATAGGGCAAAGACTGGGGAGGTTTTCGTCCTCTGGAAATGTAAGGAATTTTGGAAATGAGGGATCTTTGTAATCCTTGCACGCGGATGCTGTAAGGGTAGAACAGAATGGGGAAGTTGTCATACGTAAACGGTATTAGACTATGTATAGTTTGAGTATACGCCATGGGATCCTTCCATGATCAGAGGTACGTATATAGTATATAAATATATATACACTTAAACGAATAATTATATAAAATATAATATAAAATATAATATATATATCTTTTAAGGATGTTCTTACTTTTCCGGGGGTTTTTGTTTTAAATTTTATGGGTGAATACAAAAGAATGCGTAAACCACTACGGCCATTGTCTAGTTTTCGATGTTTTAAACTTTATATAGAAAAGGGAGTAGTTTTCTTCGGAGTTCGAGCATTTACCGTATAATTATCACAAATATCGCATAACTTTGCAATGTTTTCCATAGTCAGAGTTGAAACAAAAAATGTATATAGCTATATATACATAAAGACCTATTATGCGGCCACTGGTACTTTGTTTCTTTTAAACGCTAGCTGGCGTTGATCCAATTGCGTTGTGCGAATGGGATTAAACGTATTCTGTGAAAACCTATGACGTGCTGGGTCACGATTTTTGCCGGACCTTGGCGGAGCCGAAGATCAACTGATTATAGGAAAGTAAATTAACATGCAGATCTTTTGCATGCAATACGTGACTTGGGCCAGGGTCAAACATAGTCTTCTCCATCATCGGCCCTGAACGCATTGAAGACAATGGATAATCATTTGAGATGCTTTATTATCTATTGTGTTTAATGCGTCAGACGCCTGTATGCGGATGAAGAGCGACATCTGACAATAGCCACAAATTGTCAAATAAAAATTTGTGGGAATGCAACCGTTTGAATCAAGCCTGAATCAAGTGAGCCGCATTTTCTTTTATCGTTATTTCGAATTTACTTCAGTCATCATCATATATCAGCCGGATTAATTGTTTTGACTTTATTCGTTGTTTTCCTGGTGGACTGGTTATAGGAACCCTGACCGTGACAAAATAAACATTTGAAAAGTCGAATTACAAAATAATTATTTTTCTGAGCTCACTCACCGGTATTCTGTATTTTTTCAAACAACTATACTGGTCTACGCGGTAGTTGCCGGGCAGGGGCTATTGGGGTTTTCTTGTAGCACGTTTCATCCTAACAAACCGTTACATTTTTGGCTGACTTTCGACATCGCTGGGGACTCCAGTGACATCCATTTTGCGCGCAGTAACAACTATTGCTGTGATTCTTGAAAAGCGCTATCTAGTAGATCTTAATCAGAAGAACTCTTAAACACAACATCCTGCAACAAGCTATTTTGTCTATAGGAGTAATAAAATCGCTAATAATTAATGTGCGCCATTCATGCATATACGTACGTTGGCCGGAAAAGCTTTATGACGGCCTCATCAGTCAAAGTAGAAAAACGTTCATTGGATATAATTGTAAATTCATAAATTGATCAACAATGTTTATTTTCTATATATATATAATTGCCAAATTAAGATTTTTTTAAGAAAAGCTTTGAATTATTCCAACTGCGTATTATTTTCTATTTTCAACCGTTATCGCGCTTGTGACGTTTTTCTGTTCCCCCTACTGCATATCAGTTCCGATCAAATTATTACAATATTTTCCTAACTATATCTGTGGTCTGTGTAGTGTGTATAGTTTGACATAAATACAATTATACCACGGTTATATTATACGCTATGACAGTTTTGTGACAAGCTGTTAATATTGATGTGAAAATGTATAGCCTACAGAGTATATATATATAAACAGTTGAAAAAATAACACATTAAAAATCAGAACGGAAACCTGATTTATAAAGCAAGTATAGCCATATAGCCATAGGTAGCTAATAGCTATATAAGGTAAAACAGACTAAGATAAGGTGAAAATTAAAAAGCTTCGCGTTTTAAAACCAAATTATTTTTGTAGATGGTAAGGTAAACGAAAGATTATAATCATTGCCATTCTAAAATCAAAAAGGCCTCCAAATGCATGGGGAAATTTGCGATATTGAAAACGCAGTTCTGACCAAATTCTCCTAACAATCTACGTATAGCTATATACTATATAGTTCAATTAAAAAGGAAAAAAACTACAAAAAACCCATCATATAACACATATATTAGAGCGAACGTTTATGCCAATGTGAACAAATCGGCATGAATCTGACTTATACGTTATAGTTAAAGATGCTGGTAAACCTTTTTTTTCGAATTTACTAATTTACTTTTACAAAATAATGGGAAATTACAAGCAATGGGAAATATCACAATTAAGAGTTGACACTATAATTGGAAATCCGGTTTCCTGCCACCGGAAATGTGTTCATTGTGGGTTTGGTGAGCTCTATTAACTAATGCTTATTGTTAGCGATATTTTACTGTAATTATAAACGCCTGCACTCAGATCCAATTTCTCATATCCATTTGGGGGCATCGCATAAAGTGTATAGCTATATATATTCATGATTGCTGTTTGGCGATCGGGCCGACTTCAAATGCTTATTTGGAAACTGCATGGGTGCGAGCAAAAACATCAATAAGACGCCACCTTATAAACCATTCAACCTTTTGAATGATAGTTTGTAAGGCATACAAACTTTCCAAAGTAGAAGAAGAAGTATTTAACGAGTAACGACAATCGAGATCAGTGAATTCAACTGTTTTTACTACATGAAAAATGCTATGAAGAAATGTGGAGAAGAATTTTGAGTGAAGAAATTCAGATCGCTGATCTTGGAGAGTCAATGATCTTGCATCAGTGATGGCTAGTCTGTTTTCAGTAAAAAGGCAGTTATTACTAATCTGTCTGAAATATACCCGGACTGAATTAAGCATTACTATGTAGCTATAAGGACCATGTGCCAAGTTGAATGACCCCACTAAAGATCTTTTATATACGTTTCTATGGTTATTGATGTGAATGGGAAATTTATCCTAGTCATAATAATTCGTCATCAATGGCCCTTTATATTTACCCCCGATTTGCCGTTGTCGTTGAACAAGTAATTGGGGCCACATTGCATGAGTCCGACCTCATTAAGAATAATTCGGCCTTAAGTTGGGGTCGCTAAGTTCAATAGGACGCGTTGTCTATTTAAAAGCCGAGCAATGCCTTTTACCTTACATTGAATTTTCCCTTGGGAAGTGACGGCATATATATAGTTCATTGAATGTGTTCTTTCTCGTAGGAATCAAACAGGAGCTCGTCGCAAAACAGTGACATTTTAGACCTGAATGCTGATATGTCCTCTACGATACAGTGCATTTCCTGTAATCGCGAGGTTAGTGCCAGACTGCTGGTGTTTTGTATTTAGAAATTTGAGGTATATGTATATATATCACTCGTTTCTCTTCGTTGTGCTGGGATAACGAAGTTTATGTTATTGGGTTCAACTTTCGGTCCTGTAATCGACTTAAATTCCCATTATTTGGAGCTGGTTCAAATTTTCAACCGACGAGAATTTTGGTTTTTCAAGTAAAGTATCCGCGTTCAGATTTCGATATTTGTTAGACGCGACTGACTTAATCAAATTTGAGCCGGCGAAATTTTTTTCACCGATTCAGCCTACAGATTTGACTTTTGTCTCCAATAACCTTCCAACGAGAATTTTCGCTCCTGGGTCGTCTAGTCTGATGCACGTATAACATTTAAATGCATGACGCATGCCCCTTCAATAGTAGCGGATGAAAAATCTCAAAGAACCTCTTGTTTGACCTGGGCAAACACCACCCAGGCATGCGCAAAGTTACGTTTGACCACAATCAACTGTCGCGGCAACTGATTGCTGTGAGCATCACGGTTCTTTTTTTACATGAATCGAATAATAATAATGATAATTACGTAAAATTGGCGAGGTTATATAAATACGCTTTACTTACAGATGCCAATTTCGAGTGAATCATGTGTATGTGGTCACGTTTTGTCGGATATCAAGTCTATGGAAGGAAAACGATACTCAGGTAAGCTTGTGTGTTGTTTACATAATTCATAAAGTACAATCTATGTCCCAGAAATAAGTTCTTCAAGTATAAAAGCGTCACAAGGAATCGCTCAGTTCTTGATGGGATTTTATCGTATGCTTGTAATATTTTTTTAAACAACAAACAGTACTGCAGACCATCGGGTAGGTGGGGTCATGTGGGGTTAGACCGGTCGGTACCATTAGGGAAGCTGATGGTCCTGTTTCTTTTACAACCCAGTAATTTTTTTAATTAACTATGACTCGTTACGTTATGACAAAACATTGTAGCAGTCCCTGCAGACTGGCATTATAGTAGCAAATATATTCCTCAGTTTGTTTCAAAAAGTTGTCAGACTACAGCAAATAGGAATGCATTCACAACCGTGCATTATTCCATATCTATCTTTACATTAATGCTTTTCCAGACACGCGCTGAGAAGATCGCACTGGATCGATTCCCATATATTAGGTTTCCTTCTTGCCCAAGTTTGAGATAAACGTGATCAGATTCATGCCGTTAAGGCACGAACAATTACCACGGGTTACTCCGATCATGAACTTATAATAATTTTAACTTCAGGATATCGAGAGGAACTGTACAGTCGTTTAGAGATCAGAAGGATTTTGGAAAACCACGAAAAGCCCAAGCGACCAAAACTAAAACAAAAATCACACCCCGTAAAACAGGTTTGTAGCAGAATTGTTAGGGGACATTGCTTGCCTATAAAATCCTCAAAATATTACCGTGTTACCGTATTATAAGTATTATATGTAGTTCCCTTAATCCCAACCAGTTTCAAAACGTTTGTCCTTTAAAAAACCCTTAAAGTTTGTACCTTAAAGTCTATGATATAGCTAAACCTTAAAGTCTATGATAGCTAACTCTATATTACACAATGCTAAAATTTTACTCAATATTGAAACTCATGATTGATAACTATTTATTGCAGAATTACTTGTCTGTGTTTCACTAGAAATAGGTTGATAGAGATGATATTTACCATTGTTAGTTATAGTCACCTATGGTAGGCATTCGCGATGAATGTTTAGGGTTCATGAAGGAAAATTTGGGGTATCAGACGGTTCTTAATTTAGCCGCCTATATGTTTCTTTAGGGCATAACTAACACCTTACACAAGCCACAGATGAAAAGACGTCACAAACGCAAGTCACCAGGCTCACTGACGGAGCACACAAGATATGAGCACACACATCACAAGGTGAACAGACCTGAACAGTCTAAAATTGAGGATAATCCAGGTATCTGGTATCTGAATCCGCGATTTAACTTCAAGGACGCTTTAGCGGACATTAATAAGAGATTAACAAGTCAAACCTCATTTTGGATAAGCCTATGAAGAGACGAAAAAGGAGATCAAAAAAGAATGAAAATGGGGTGGAACGTCAGGGTGGTTTACGACTGAATATATTCCATAAAATTCTATGTGTTGTAATGTAATTCACATTTCCACATAACTTAAGGCCGTGTTACGCAGTGCAATTTTTCTTGAAACTTGCAATGCGATTCCACTTTCGAGAGATTTGAAATTTATCAAGTACAAAACTTTTGCGTTTATTACACTGATGTTTTTTATACATAGTCGTAGATTTTGAAACCTCCTGACTAATTTACATCTATCGAAAGTAGAATTGCATTGGAAGTTGCATGAAAATTGCATCGTGTAACACGGCCTTTATCATATTTACAACGGAAAAATCTTTATCAAAACTATACTTTGGTATGTAAAAACGCGAAGGTGGAAGTCAACGCCACTGTAAATTAATGCATTAAAGACAATAGATAACAAGGTATTTCATCTTTATCTATTGTTTTAAATGCATATTGAACAAATGTAAAATGCCACGTTTAAAACAGGCTTATATATTATTTATTGCATATACGCACAGTTTTGACTTTTGACTCGAAGCTTAGCTTCGGAAAATTGTTTTGAAAATGGTTAACAATCAAGACGAAACCTATCGCTATGCAGCAGAATATGGTCTATAGCTAGTATACGTATGTCAATGTAATTTAGTACTTTGGTCAATAGACTAAAGTGTAGTATACAAGGCTATAGCATGGGAAATTTATGTACATTTTATCATATTATTCATAGTATTAAACAGCCCCAGCTATTTGTGAATGTTGAATATTTCAATATACTTTTGTTGTATTCTCGTATCTTTAATTCACTTAGTGCCGTTTGGTCTCCGACGGAAAGGCCGCGTATCGCAAGCTTCGCCCATGCAGCGCGCTATTCAGAGTGCTGTGGGCGACAGCGTGTTGTACATTGCTTTCCTCGGACCTTCACTAAACATCGACAGATAAAACGGCTTGCCGAACTCATTCTGCCAATCGAGGTGAAGACCGGATACTTGCTTACCGCTATAAGTATTGTTCTTTTTACAAATTACTTGACAGCGCAACCTTTGTCGGACAAATTTAATAAAATGATGGGCAGGCTCTGTAATCAGGGTTGCCAGATTACTGAATAATATAGTAATATAATAACATATAGCCAAATATTACTATAATCGTTGATTTATTTGTTTCAAACACGGCCAACTACAACAATATTTGGCTTCTTTTCTCAATAATCTGGCAACCCCGCAACCCTGTCTGTAATAACGGTTAAAAGTTTACTAAACTTTTCAGAGTTGGCCCACTGTCACTAAGTAACTGCCTTGAATATTTTTGCAGTTGCCTCGTAGAAACTCACTTCAATTTCATGCATATAGTTGTCTTCAAACACCGCTTCAATTACATCCGGCTTATCTTCGTGAATCGAAAAGAAAGCCATCCGCCAATATCACCTTGGCTCAATTCTTTAGTAGCGCTGTAATGCATGTCACCATTCACAGCAATTTCGTATTATTTCACTTGCAAAATTTTAACCGAACGTCCATTTTGGGCTTCTTTCCATTTCAGAAGCATTAAAGTACAATTTTCTGTTGTCTTTTACAAGAAACCTAAAAATTTTGTTATGGATCTTCCTCAAGTATAAATTCGTCGAAGGTTTACCCTAAATGACGTCACAATACAGTTCTCACAGGTAGAAGTCCCGTATGTATGTGCAATATATTACAATCAGGTCTACTACAGATCTGGCTGTTTTCAAATGAAACGGTGTCACACAGAAAACTGTGTTTCAGTGTAACATGCTGTGTTTCAGCTGCTCTTAGAATATGGAACTCTTAGTTAGAACTCTTGACCTCTGGCAAGAAATATATTTCATGCCAAGAGTTACAAAATTATTTCACATACAACCTTTGTAGACATCCTTCATGTATTAGTAAGATGTTTTTCCCTTTGGACCTCCTAGTCTTAGCTCTTGCTAAGCCAAAATTATCGTTAAATTGACTATAATAACGAAAAAAAACTGTTGTTCGTTGGTTCATTTCATATCTCAATTGAATCAATTTTAATTTCATGATTGTACAAAAAATACAGTATCCCATACAATATCTTGAATTCTTGGGTTTCTCGTATTCTTTAATTGAACATTTTTTTAGAGTTGCAAACATTGAATTAGAAATGCACATTTTGTGCAGAACTGCACGTAAAAAAACCTGAAGTTTATTGATGTTTATTGTTGAATGGAGAGTTTGTTAAATAGTGGAAAGAGATATCTTGCTATCAAATCACTGCAGCCCCAATCAGATGCCAAGACAATTCGATATAACTGAGTTGCTGAGAAAAGAGTTTTCTATATAGCTGTTTCATGCCAGTTTACCATGAAAAAAATCATTGAAGTTTTGCCACAATCAAATATTAAAAAGCTAATTTAAGATTCATTTTTACTCTGTCAAATTATCACTACCATTGCCACTACCGTTGCTGTTCGAGGATTTCGTTGAATCAAATGCTTCCAGTATCCTAGCAACCTCTGCACGTCGAGCTTGAGACATTTGCTGGGTGATATGAATAATCGAGTCCATAGCTACGTCAGCATTTTCCTGCACTAACCTAATGAATGGTTTAATAGATTGAATAAACCAATATCATAATTAGCATATGAATTAAAATATATTTCTAATAGCTCACTGAATAGATTCATATTATTCTGATACTGCATGGAAGAGTAAAAAATTCATTTTTTTAAGGGGGATTCGAACTTGAATCTTTGTTGTTTTTCTATACAGTGCAACATTCGATTAATCCAACATTTTATATTTTTGTTAATGGTTCTAGAGAGCTCTATCAAATATATACATAGAAGAGTTTCTTCTCGCAGAAGTAAAAAACTGGCCATTTGGTGTATTCGACACCTCAACAACTTACGATTTAATTTGTCTCAAGACAGAGTCTCGTTTTATCCATTTGATATTTTCAGCGATCACAGATCCTTCCTCCTTCGCCATGTCGCTCTCAAACCATTTCACAACAACCTCGTTATCATTCCACATGTAGGACTACCGAGAAAAAAACCCAGACACGGGGTCATTATAGGTCAGTTTCGCGGGCTTGTGAGTTAGGGTATTAAAATATAGTATATCTCTGGGTGGGGTTATATAGGGTTAGGGCATTTTCCTATGGAAAACCGAAGATGTTTAGTCAAGGGGAAATCACGTCATGTCATTGTGGTGACTGTATCAGACCTGGTTTAGCAGGATTGCTATTTTCGCATTTCTGTTCAGCCACATTTGGTTTTCACAAAATGGCAAATATGAAAAATATCGTAATCTCTCGAACGCCCACTTTGGGTATCTTTAAACACCTTTGTAGGGGAGCATTTTTGCAAGGGCGGCACACCTTTTTTTCTCCCCAACAATAGGTACTTGGAAAAATCGTGTGAACAATTAATGAGACGGGAAAGGAGACCCTTTTGAGGGAAGCTTAACTGGAGAGGGATTAGAAAGACGAGCTAACTGGAAATTTCCTCAGGGATTAAATGGGTCGAGCATATCAAAAGCCTATTAAGACCTTGACAGTTCCATGATCCTCCAAAAACAGCCTTTCCAACATGGAGCTCAATTGACCATCGGAAAGATCCCTAAAACATTATAGAATATAGAGTTAAGGGGAAGGCTTGTTTACAATTTCAACGGTATATCGTAGAAAATCGTGGCGTATAACATTGTTTCCTGGATACTCGGCTAGAACTAATGGCTTTTAAACAAAGGAATGCGATACGGTTGAGGTAGAAAAGAGGCTTAAGACTAAATTAGGTTTAAGTTACCGTCCAACCACGCAAAAATCTATCCCACACTCACTTGTTCGCCTGACCAAGTTTCTGTTTGACGCTTTTTTCGAGCAAAAGACGACGAAGCCGCCAGTAGAAAAATTTCCGCGATTTTTTCCATTTTAGAACTTCCTGTCGGGAAAATGGGATTTTTAGACATGAGAGAAGCACTTGTGCCTGACCGGTGGAGATTTTAACGTTCGGTTTCAAAAAGCTCTAACTGACAAGGTTTCTCATCGAACTTAAAAGTCGGAATGATATTAGGCATAAAAAACTAACTGTACGAATGGATTTGGCACCTGCACACCAATATTATAATAAGCAATGATATATGCTTGTCAAAGTGGGAGGCAAGAAGCCAACCACCGCAAGAAATCCAATTTTAAAACATGATTAAGATTTGGAGATTAGGAGCTTTCCGGTGATGAATATTCACCCTGTTTTGCTCCTCTTTAATGCAAACTTACCGATACGACGCCCTTTTCGTGCATTCTTCCCGCCGTATCGTGAAGATCAGCAAATGTTATCGCAACCTGAGAATAGAAGATAATTCGATCCACAAATATTGATCTCACAATAAATCATTTTCATTTTATCCAAAACTTAAGTGCTTTTATAAGCATTTACGTATTAAAATACGTAAGTAAACACTATAAGTAAAACACTCATGCACAAACACTCCATACCTGTTGGTAAACAGGCAAAAGAATTTCCTCTCTTTCTTTTAACTGTTTTTCAACAGTCTTTCTATCTTTGATTGATAAATCTGGGAAATATTAAGATACATGAAGTCGTCACATAACTTTTCATTCAAAAATCTCTCGAAAGCACAGCAATTCGTACCTGGGGCCGCTAGCGTGTGCATCAACTTGCTGTACGTATCATCCAGACGTCTCATTGCCTTCACAAGATCTTTTCTTCGAAACTTTATCTCAACTGCCCCGGCTGGCTCCAGAATACCTCCTCTATAAAACAAGAACAGCATGCCAATGATGTTATTTGGGTTATATACACAGGCCAATTAGGAATAAACCGACACACGAAGCTAGCTAAAAGAAGAGGAACCTAAAACAACCTTAGAATACACAACAGAACCCTGGGACCGGTTGTTCAAACGCCGGTTAGCTTAACCATGGGTTAAAGCAAATCTTTACATTAATTTTTTTAATCGCTTGTTTACAGAGTTGAATAGCTTTTCTCATAAATATTTCTAGACTGATAAAAGTAATATTTTTTAAGTTTTAAAACGAACAGTTGTTCAGAAGCTCATAAACTAAAACATGATTAAAATTTAACCCAGGATTAGCGTTAACCTAGCTTTGAACAACTGGCCCCTGGAGGCTAAGCTTAAATACAGGTCAAAGACATTACATTGGCCCAACAAATCGTCCATTTCCCCTATGTTTTATAGCTTGCAATTTAAAATACGACGTGGTCCGTTCGACAACGCTACGTCAGTTTGTTAGGCTACTGCACTGGAACCATAAGATTTCCACGCAATTCCTTGTTTTTACAGCTTACGTATCTTGTATCGTAAAATCCCTATAATTGTGCCAACTCTTCCTGCGCTTTCAGATAAATTCACTCGTACCTAGACTCCTCGTCCGCATACATTTCCATCACTTGAGGGTTGATAGTGGGATCCAGTACTACCCAGGCTCCACCGCGCAACTCGGCATTACATGGGATGTAAACAAACACAGGCTGTTGATATTTACGAAGGGCGTCGACGATAAGGGAGCCATATTTCAATACTTCTTCATACATGTCTGAAACAAATTTGAAATAATTGAGTTCTTCAGAACCCAAAAAGATATATCCAGAAAACACTGCAGAAATTGGTGTTTATGAAGTTTCAACCTGAAAATCTAATCACTGGTTCACAATTGTGCTTTTCTGTATCGCAATCAAAGAAAAAACTATTAAATAACTTTAAAGTTCAATTTTTCTTCTGAATACGCATTCTCCAATCTTTTGACAGCTCATCATACACATCTGACCGCTGTGAAATGGCCATTTTGAGACTTAAAGTATACACAAGGTTATTAATTCGGACGATTCGTTTTTGCCATGCGCAAGCTTCAAATCTTTTGTGCAAGACATATTTTGTTGAGCATTTATAAATATTTTTTCTCACCAAGTTTAAAGCCTAAGTATTGAGAATTGAGTCTTACCAATTTTCGCAGTGTCTATCCAGTAAAAATAGTCTAGTAAAACGTTTATTTTTAAAGCATTTTAGTTTGAGACACACGAGATTAATTAAGTAATATAGTACCTTTCAAACCGCCGGAAAATCCTCGCCAGTTGGCAAAAATGATCAACGGTAGTTGTTCCCTATTGAAGTCTTTGATACACTGCGCGGTTTTAAACGCGGAGTCTGGATACCACACCTGACCGGCTTGAGTAAACAATTGAGCCTCTGAGCTAGGGTTGCCTGGATCAGCAGGTATTGTTACTTCAACCGCGCGAGTCTCGACAGCGATAACACCCATGGGAATTCCACCGAGTCTGAAAATATCAAGCGAATAAGTATTAGCCAATTATACATGCTGGATGTCAGCTCAATCTTTTTCAAACTGCCCTGCTTAGTTCGTCCAAGTAATGGCGCACGTATTGCTCCAGTGTTGCTATTTTAAAAAATTAAACTCTAGCTTCATTTATACGAATAAATATTGATTAATCGTTGATTCTACATGCTGGATGTTAGCTCAATCGTATCTAAACTGTTCTGCTTTGTTCAGCCAAGTAAGGACCTCGTCCACTTATCATAGCTCCAGTTTTGCTATAGAAGGATGATAGATTAGTTAGGCCTAGTTTTATATAAGTGAGAACCAGCCGTATTTGCTTTTGTGTTAACCACTCATGGGAACTAACTAACTGTTCTCCCCGGAGAGTCAATGAGAACCGAAATTTTGTACCTCGCTCTCCCACAAACAACTGTTTTCGCCCAGCCATCAAGCGTTTCTATGAATGAATTTTTGTCGAAGAACCCGGTGATCCATTTATCTACGAGTTAAACAGTAGAATTCTGGTCATCATTGATATCATTATCAACTTAACGATTATAACCGTCATTAATTACAATGATTATACTCGCAAATATTATCATCGTAATCGTAATCATCTTCAATTATGATTATCATTTTTTTTATGCGGTTAAGGTTGGATATGGACAGATTACCATTTTCCTTTTTTCCTGCAAGCATGTGTCTAGGATCGCAGACACGGGAAGGAACAAAATCAATCTCCCTCTCGACTGGATCATCGATTTTAGTTACTGGCAATGGAGCGTTCTTACACTAAAAATAAATAAGGCAAGCTTCTAGCGTAATTTCGCAAACATGTCAAAGCAAGGGCAAAGACAAATGCAGGGTTTTCAAGTTTAAAAAAATATACCAAAGAAAGTCTTGGTGAACACGGGGGAAAGAAATTAGTCTGATAAAACTCATAAGAGCCCTTTTGCATGTATATTGTCTCTCCAGAAAAAGGCCTTTACGGGTGGACGAAAAGTCGAGTAGCGTTTTTGTACAATTTATAGGCACTATCAGTCGAAGAAACCGTTCTACTTAATTTGGATCATCGAATCTTTGACCTGTATGTCTGACATCGAACAACATACTGGCTGAACTTACGCGAGGAATATATGAAAGCCATTGAATGATGCTGAACAGACCACTGAGATCATCTGGAACAACCAAATGCGACGTTCCTATAGTAGATGGTTAAGTGAACAATGTTTGTATTAGACGATGACAACAACATCCCAGTCAAAAACGATAAAACATTTTCTTCCTATTTACCATTATTGTGCATCACAGAAGGTCCACCGAGCTGTAAATTTGACGTGTAGACCTGGCTACCTAACAACTGCAGAAAAATACGAGCGATATTATTTATAGTTGCTTAAAACTTATTGTACTTTGAAAGCTCCAGGGTAGCCATCGTTTTACCTTATTCAGTGCTCCGTAACCAGTCAAAATAATATGCGAGTTTTCAACTTGAATCACTCTCTGTCCCAGCCGCAATAAATAAGCACCGATTCCAACAGCACGGCATGTCACCTGGCATAAAAAAGGGAAAAAAGCTGATTGTGTTTATGCTAGGTTCTTTTGCCCAACCTTCAAGGTCAAAAGGTTTTAATAAATGCTTTCTCTAGGTGTCTAGTATAAAGGTAATAATGTAGCTAACGAAACCTCAACTCAATTTATATGATATAGCTTTTTCCAACCGTTCTCCAATGATAGGGGGTATTAATAATACTCACCAGGCTTATTGTAACGACCTCATCGTAAGCTTTGGACATGGCTCCAGCAATCATACCAGATCCACGCAGGTTTTCAACACCAATCGGGTCGTCGCGTCCTGTTAACGATAAAAGAAATTTCAAATTTTCAAATCTTTTTGCCCATAGATGTGCAGGCGATGACGGCCAACTATCAGTAATGCAGAGAAAAATACCTACACTGGACACTACGTCTGAAATATTTTATTCAAATTGATGTCCATTGAACCCATAACGTTTGAGATATTTTTTCAGAAAGTTCAGACGTACCATGAGAGCAAGAATACACAAGAGACAAACATTATGTTTACCTATCACGTCTGTAATTTTATATCTAGATTCTTCATTTTCCTCGATAGCTTCGGCACGCACAGAATTTGAAGCACTTAGCTTAAAATCAAACAAATGCATTTGAGAATTCTCACTCCTTTTGAATCTTCGAAAAAGCATTGAATGGTTTAAGATTTGGAAAAGGATCTGAGTCCTGCAGGGTTCTACACATTACCTTCTTAAAATCGTTCGTAGTCAAATAAAGATACTTGAACCCCTATAAAACAAAGCAAGAAAAAGCTATATTGAGATTTTCAAGTTAAGAAAACGAAAAAATTATTTAAAACAAAAAGACAATATAAAATGCATGTGACGTTTTTCATCCCTTTTGTCAGAGTTTTCCAGGGGACAGTGAAAAAAAATGACGCAAAAATTTTAGGAGTAAATCCTGACAACATTTGTAAAATCAGAATTTATGGCATTATTTTTGTGCACCGTCAATAAATTGTCAAAATCTAATCATACTCACCCCACCCCCCCCCCCCTTTAATACCTTTTCAGGAGCGACAGAATCCTCCCACGCCACCTTAAATTGAAGTTTTAAATCCTCAGCCAGGCCAAGACGTGCTCCGCTATTGGCTGAGACGTAGATGAACGGTATGCCCGCATTCAGGGCCAACTGTAAGGCTCGCTAGAGCAAGGAGATGGGAAGATGAAATTAAATGCATGCGTTGCCCAGAGACCACATTAAGACGCACCAAATCGGACATGACATGACAACAGCCGTTTCTCAGCAGGAACACAGTTTTAATTCATTTTACACACGGCCCCAACTTTGTTTACCAAAATTTTGTTTACTATAATTTTATCTCTGCTGTGAGACTTTGGTAACAAAAGCAGAATAAGGTAATTCTCGTCCGCGTCGTTGATTTGGTGCATCTTAAACTCACTATTATTCTGAATATGTAGGAGGCAATGAATTTCGAAATTGAATCTTAAGCAGGCATTTCGCTTACTTCAAACACAGTATCTTCTTGTACAGCGAATGAACCAATGACATGTGTAATATCGTTTGCCACTACGATGATCTAAAATTGTCAATATAAGATGGGAAAATACTGATGTCGAATATAAGGAGTAAAATTAGTCGAAAAAACAACGAGGTGCGTGGAAACTCCCTCAAGTATTTCTTAATTCACGTCCCCCTGCAGGGGCCGGTTGTATCAACCCCGTTTAGCTTAAACGGTGGATAAGTCAAAATTACATAACACTCTTACATCTGTCTTGAATGAGTGAACTTGAATATTATGCACTGATTAACTGATTAAGATATAATATATAAAATTACGGTTCGAAACACTTTTACCTCTCTCCCTTCCGGGTATTCGGGAGTTATCAGAGCCATACGCCAGGCGACGACACCAATCTGAAAAATGAAATTATACAGATAAGAAACAACTGTATACTGAAACAAACTCTCATATCTCGGTGTTCGTTACATTATTTTCTCCAGCTAGTCTGTTCACTTGATGAAGTTGTCCATCTTCTTTCAAGACATACTCGCTTGCTTCAACCTTAAAACAAGAAATCACGTTATGGAAATATATCGCGAGGCCACTATTCAACGTGCGAGTTTTACCACAGACAGTAATGATTTATAGTCAGCTCTAGTTCGTCACTACTGTTGAAAGTTTGAGATTAGAATTGACGACAGTTAATCCGAGGCGCAAATCTAGCTCGTGTGTGAACGTCAACTATCTTGGGCCGGTTTTATAACGTCCGTTTAGTTTAAACGGTGGATAAGTCAAAATTAAAAAACACTCTTACATCTTTCTTGAATGAGTCAACTTGAATATTATACACTGAATATGTACTTGTAAACAGTATATTGGTATTAAGGTTAAAAACATTTTGTTTGCTTGTTGAATGAAACGATAGACTCAATTTCCATTTTGAACTTAACTACCGTTTAAGTTAAACTCTTCCTTTCTCATCCTTCCTTTATCATCATTCATCATCGTTCGACTAAGGCTCTGCACGTTTTGCATCACAACGCGATGTGAATTTACAAAAAAAATTTATCTTACCACTTTCTGTTTAAGGTTGATGTCTTTCCCATGTTCTTTTGACCATTGTTTCCAATATTTCAAAACAGCCTAAAATGACGAAAATGTCAATCAAAATGTCAAATGTCAATCAGTTGTCGGATACGATTCTCCTGCTATCGTATGTTATTTTTTTTATACCACGCGATGTTTTACTTTCTTTCAGGTATTAAAGGTGAGTGAACTCGATATGTGAAATGTAACGTCCGTGTCGAAAATGTCATCACGGTTGATGATTTTGACAAAAACCCTGAAAAGATACTCCTCGATTCGACTTCAAAGAAAACAGCCAAATATCAGTCAGTTACGTTTCAGTCGTTCTGAAGTTCTAGCCCTACATTGGCGCATAAAACCTGACCTGTTTGAACAGTTCTGGAATGTCGTACACATATGTAGTGCCTTGATTCTGAGCGGTGAATCTTTTGAGCTGTTGAAATAAAAAGGAATATACAATGTATACAACTCTGACTCGCATATTCTCAGCTCGTACTAATAGAAGAAAAGTGGTTCCGCATTAAATTTGCCTCCTTTAGTACCTGTAGTCTGTCTTTGGTAACGTAAGGTGAGTTAACTAGAAGACCATGTAATGGGCCTTGCTTTAAACCGTATGATTCGAGAACAATCTGAGAAGAAAATAAACCAAACAAAGAGTTAAGGTGGCTCAATGTATTTTTTACAAAATTCAGGGCCCAGACACTTTATCGCATTTTTAGATTTTACTCACATTATAGGTAATAAAATATTTTGATGTCCCTACTTATTCTTGTTAGGTTTAGTAAAGATGGTGAAATAAAAATGTAAAAATCGGCTTTTCTTCGGTCGTAACTTTTGAAACTCGCAGGTAAAACCTAAAGTATACCTTCAACTTCCCTCCCCTGCGAACGTCCCTGGCTGTATCCTAGTAGCTCGTAGCACAGCAACTTGGAATATTTCAAACTAATCCTCACCCCTCCCTCCTAAGTAAAACGTTTGGTACGGACCTGTCCTGTTCTTTGGTCCTCAGTTTCTCTGTAAATACTGACGTCAAGATAATAGCCAGATTCGTTGGACAAATATACTCGAATTGGAATCTTCTGACCGTTTGGAGATAACCTGAACAGAAGATATATTAGTAACAAATAACTAACTAACGACCATTATAGGGATTGGATTATGAGTTCGGATTGAGATTGGATTAAATACTGTTGTTTAAAGTTCGATAAACGCAAAGCAACTGTTTAGTGAATGAATTTCCGCATAACTGCTGGGTTTAAACCTTCTCTTTGCTTAAAAAAAATTTTCATAAAGCATCTTTGACTTTACAAACAAATTGTTGGAAACGTTAATTTAAAGACGTGCACGACCCAGAGCCAGGCTACTGCTATTTGAAGGGTGCGAATCCAACCACCAGGCCAAGGTTGTGAATCTATCAGCCGAAAAAATATCGTCTCTTCTAAATGATGGATACAGCTCATGCACGTATGATGAACCACTACTGTTCATCCAACCTTATATTCATTTTCATTTCAGCTTGTAACACCCTGAGTCTCCAAAGCCTTTTGCCATAACGAATGACGATCGATCGAATACTTTCTTCCATCTGAAACGCAACGTTTTCATTAGATGAAAGTTGTAGGAATCAAATCCTAGAATTACTACAATTGACTTAATATTCACCTAATATTCACCAGCATGTGGAAATAAGAGTACTTAGGGGCCGGTTGTATCAAACCCGTTTAGCTTAAACGGTGGATAAGTCAAAATTAAATAACACTCTTACATCTCTCTTGAATGAGTGAACTTGAATATTATGCACTGAATATGTAGTTGTAAACAGTATCTTTGTATCATGGTTAAAAACATTTAGTTTGCTTGTTGAATAAAACAATAGACTTGCTTTCTATTTTGAGCTTATCCACCGTTTAAGCTAAACGGGCTTGATACAACCGGCCCTAGGGGCTACCGCTAGGCTTGATAAAATTGGCCCCAGGGACTAGCTCTAGGCTTGATAAAACTGGCCCCAGGGGCTAGCCTTAGGCTTGATAAAACTGGCCCCAGGGGCTAGCGCTAGGCTTGATAAAACTGGCCGAAGGGGCTAGCACTAGGTTTAAAAAAACGGCCCCAGAGGCTAATCACCGAATAGTGGTTTTTCAATCGCTTTAAAATCGCCCCGTTGTTTTGTATAACTTGAATAAATCTTAGTATCACTAAATCGAGGATCCTCTCTAATAATTGTTGGTTCCAAAGCTGAAATTTTATTGCTTTTCAAGCATTTTTAGAACGGTTGGAAAAATCACTATTCGGTGGATATCGCTAATCGGCTTTCATAGAACCAGACCCCTAGCTCCATCATATCCATCAAAATAGGAAAATCGCAGCAAAAATTGTACAAACTTACTTTGTGTGGCTCAATCACGATACATGGAACAAAGTTTAGGAAGAGGTGATTGCAATCCGTGCGTTTTGGCTAAACAAAAAAAACCCACGTAAAAGACTGTATAAGAGAGAGCATTGCATGCAGGAAACAAAATTATTCATCACCCGAAGAAAACTCACAGATTGCTCAAAGGCAATTTCCAGCTGATCCAAGGTTTCCAGGCATTGAATTTCACTCTCTTTCTCCAAATATTCAAACGATGCTTCCTGGAAAAGGTGAACGCTTAGATTTTCATGTCGTCAAAGTGATTTAAAAAAGACCCAAAACAAGTTCACACCTTGGAAACAAAATCTGCATGACGGACAATGGTTCTGACATAGAATCTGTGATCAGTTACTTCTGCATTCGCCGAGACCTACAGGCGAGTAAAATAACATAAAATGAGCTATCGCTCACGCCTCACAGCCGTTACATTACATCAAATAGTAAGTAAATTTTCAAATAAAAAGCCAAAAGCCCGTTTGATGAAGACACTTGTTAGTAAGTGGTGTTAATAAGTGGGAAAATGTGGACTTGTCTTCAAAGATGGTGCTGAAATTATTGCTTCAGTTCCCAAAGACTTCCTATACGAACTGATAAAACCACTGTCGGATGGATAGCGCAATTCAGTTTTTGTACAACAGGCATCGGAGTGCTAATATTTCGTTTTCATTACGTACCTTCTTGGCGGAGGCGAAGTACAAGTGAATGCTGTGATTAGTCGTCGGAACTGATTCCAGGTCAAAATTCCTCAAGCGGTTTAGTTCTAACTGGAAAGCCAGTGCTGGTTCCAGATGTCGATAGATTGCGTCTTCGTTGAACTAATAAATGACTAAGATTTAGGCGCATGTCCACACTAGCTAGCTCTGCTGCGAATTTTAAGACCGAGTGTGGTGTTGAATATCGGCACTGCGACTACAATCACAACACAAAACGCTAACAGAATTATCATTGATTCTCATGCATGAATATTCTTCCGATACTTAGAGCTTCTTTAGAACTTATTGTATAGTGACATTACTTGAGCAAGACATTGCCATTACATGCAAGAATTCCAAAAAGAAAAGTGCATGTAGGGAAGTGGTTTAAGATTAGTTGTGATAGCACTGGATCAATAAGAGATGGATTTCTTCAACTTAGGACAGGTTTAACGTTAATAATATTAGTTTAATTTAGGTTCTCTCCTGTAGTAACGTTGGGTTAATAAACGATGGTCTTTTGTTGACCTCTGGAAGGAATGATGTGGCATGACTTGAACGAGCAGTTTAGAACGATTATTCTTATTAAGCATGGGCGATAATTATTCAGTTACTCACGTCAGAAGAAGCACGGTAGGTAAAATACCACGGAGAACTGCCCTGTGAATAAAGAAAAGCAGAACGTGTCGGGCAAAAAAACGCTGCAAATTTCCAAGAAAGTGAGAAAATAGGAAAAACCCACCTTACAATCTGTGACCAGAAAAGTAATCCTACGAATTCCTTTGTCGAGCAAAATTGGTTTCTAAGAAAATAATTTCAAGCTTAAGAAACAATGCTTTTTGTTCGCTTGCTCCAGGGAAACATCACTGGACATTTCGTCCAAGCATACGTACCTTGCTTTGTAGATATTTTAAAAGCTTGGAACTGCAGTCAGTCATGCACGTGCATATCCCGCTCTTGGTCAGAGCGATATTGATGATATGAATCGGTTCTTCTTCTTGTATTTTCTAATTCGAATTAAGATTTAGTTCAAATGATTGTCAAAACAGATGTTGTTGACACCTTTCCATTAAAGACGGCCGTAAAATTAGCATAAAAATGTTTCCCCAGAAATTCGCATAAACGTTTTTCCCTACCTTGCAGCAACCTGTCTCGTCCCCAGCCTCCCACAAAGTTTGGAGCGACGCACCACTACTTGGTGCACTTAAAGACACGTTCCGTTTCATCTGAGACGATTTCTGCGCAGCATTGTTGCCTGGAAAACTGCTGCTGTTCTTCATTTTTTCACGGCTTTCAAAACGAGACATGATTTTTGAGAAGTTCCTGTTAATGTTAAAAACAAGTAACTTAAGATGTAAATATCCTGATGAACAATTACCTACACACGATAAACAATATCGTGGGTCGTAGTGTTTACTATAACCGGCCAAGCGGAGTGTCCATCATATTGAAATTCTGTGAAGATATTTTTAACAATAAGGCCTAGTTTCCCGTCGCCCAGTTTCGATAATACTTTTCGATAAGCTACCGTTATTTTGCATTATCAACTAGATTCATATACATCAGTTGCGGTTCTCTCAGTTTAGAAACTTAGCTCCTTAACAGGCTGCCAAGATTCGTAGCTAGGGTTGAAAAAATTAATCAAAACACCTCCGCTAACATTGGATCTTACTTCTGAAAATCATCAAATGTTCTAAACGCAGCCATTAGTCCAGTTCTTTCGCATGGATCATGACTATGCGAATGCGATGGAAGATCATGAAGATCTTCACTTAAACTGTAGACCTAAACGAGAGAAGACAATAGTTAATCAGGGTTAATAGACCTGAGTTAAAGGTGCTCACACAGTTTTCAATCGATGTAAAATGAGGTTAATTTTTCTTGCATGTTTCCCACGTTGCATTGCAATTCATTGTTTGACAGTCCTGTGACGTAAGCACCTCTTAGGTCTATTCCGGGTTCTCTATTGAGTCTTTTAATAAAAACTACAATATAACACGAAGTACAACTACGTCCTGGGCGGAGGGGGAGTGAACGTGGCACCAATGCTCATTGCTCAGAGCGAATGTCAGTTTGAAATATCGTGGTCCCAATCCACAGTATGTAATTTTTTTCCAGATTTTAAAATCAAACCCCAGCAATACCGTTTGGAAAGATTATGTGTGAAAAGACAGGTTTCTTATCAGGTACATTTCTGCTTAGCAAACCATCAGCGGTTTCGTGAATTGAAAATAGTGCTTCCCTCTCTCCCTTTAAAGAGGATGTAAGCATTCCATTTCGAGCTGGGTCCTTTGTATGGTTCTGCTTTTTTTTTCAGTTATGATGCGATTTTCAACTATACTCACCCTTGTCATAGCCTGGTGGCCTTTGTGGTGAGATGTCTTATTGACAGGAGACGAAACTTTAGTATGCCTAAACAAGCGGAGATAAACGCTGTAAGATCATCATTACGTTCCGAGAGTCGTAGTTGGTTTAGCATGTATGAACAATACCTGTTTGGATGCGAAGCTGGTAAGATAAATTTGAACTGTGTTATGATCGTCTTTCGCTCACCCAACTAAACACACAAATTTGTTTTTAACTGAAACTCAGAATTTTTCCCGCAGTAGAAGTTGCATCGCCTTGCATTTATCCACTTATACAGACTGGTTTCCATTTTGTCGTAGTTGTTGTGAACAAATAATTTTCACCAATTTGAAATAGTCCAGATTTGAATTCAGAAGTTATAAATTGCAGAAATAGTCTATTATATCAGCCACCTTAACGCGTTCACGACAGTCACGACTATATGGAAACCAGGCTTGATGTATGTTAGTATAATGCAACTGAGTTGAGTCTACACACTTGTTCATGTTGTAGCGTTGTCAGCTCATAAGCTTCGTAACTTCGTCTGATATACACCTAAGTAATGACACAATATAAATTCACATCATTGACGATTTAGTCCTGCCAGGCAGGCGTTATTATCGATATTCATTTCTTTACAAATTCATTGTTTTCGCAGTCAATGAGCACCAAAATATTAGCATAGCAGGACAAAATTGTCGGGCTGGCTACGCCACTGCCATACAGCAACGATTGATCATATGAATCGGGTGATTACTATAAAACACCCCCCCCCCGCCTCAAATTTCATATGCGCAGAATAAACTGCTCTGCACACATGTTTGCACGCAGTATTAACCCAAACATGATAAAATCTTAACCTCCAATGCAGCCATTCGCACAAATTCGTTGCTGTGATAAAAGAAAGACGGAAGCACATCGAATATGGCTGTCTCTGAATTAATCAATTTCTACAAAAAAGAAAAATTTTGCTGTCAAGCGTTTTTCGACACAATAGACCCTTCTAGCATTTTGTGGACACGCCTCGAAAAAGCAAATGGGAAAAGACACGTTAATCCCCCCCCCCTGAACAAAATCTGAAAATCCATCCCCTTCATGTCAAATCTTCTATAGCCAACCTGCAGGACTTCGGGAGAAAACTGACTGCCATAACTAATCGAAGAGAGAAATATCGATTCAAATTGATTGTGACGAAGCTCGTAAGATGGCTGCTGGCTTTGAATTAGCACCTGGGGATAGAATAAACAAAAATACATGGAGTTAGTCTTTTCTCAATGAACGCTTGCAGTATAAATAGTGGTTGTTCTTATGTGTAGGCGAGGCTTTAAATCTGGCCCTTGTCTGCGGTGTTTTTGCGTTCATTCTACCGAACAGTTTAAGTTTTCTCTCGTGAAAGGTGTCACACAAGGTGTCATATATGTTTAATATTTACCTGCTGCGAGGTCCGGATAGAAAAATATTTTCCCGAGGTTTCGATAACGGCCCGAGGCTGCAAGCCGAACCGGACCGACCAAGACGGTAAATAACGCATTTATTTTTATACAAAAAGCGGCGTTCGGTTGTATTATCATTGTGTAGGCGGCAAAAACATAAACAATCAAAACCTAATTTGTTAGTTTAATTTACTAAAATTCACTTCAATTTTGGTCATTCATTTGGTCCATATGTTTTAAAATAAAAAAGGCAACAGTTTGCGAATAAAAATTCTTTCCGGACCGTGGTCAGATATTGTAAAATTCCGCCCGCTGCTACAGCCAATCAGATTGCAGGAAAGGCTAGGATTCCGCCCGCTTCTGATTTGTAAAAACATACGTGCATTTACATTTCAAGAAAAAAGAAATTAACACGTCTCACCTGCCTAGCTCTGAGAGCGACTTTAGCATGTTCTTGTCTCACTAATGTAGTCAACTCTTGAAGAGCGGTCAATAAATCACCTTTTAAATTTTGTTCGGAGCCAGCCATATCCTTTTGGAGGAAAAAGAGAGAAGAGTGGTTCAGAAACAAGGTATAAAGGCAAAATGTATCCACATCGTCTACACTAAACCTGACATGCAGCATAATACTCACAATAAGCTTGACCATCAAAACATTTTTCTTGGGAACGTTTGCATGTGAAAAGACATTCGCAACCACAGCACTCATGTCGTTCTCTTTGTTTTCTTCTCGTATCGCCAGCACACATTTGTCAAAATTGCCTGTGAAGAAAAATATTGACAATGTAAGAAGGCAACTGTGATTAAGGAGGTAGATTAGGGGCGCATAACACGAGTCGCGAGGATTTACAGGGGATAAAACAGTGCATGGTTTATCACAGAAACGTTGAGGTGAGACCTTCTGCAATTTACCTTCAGAGAATAGGCTTTCAACCTGGAGGTATTGACGTAGCAGCGAGACGATGACAGATTTCATGTGACCACGACAACCATTTCGATATCTGAACACAAATTCAAAGAGCTACCTACAGGGTGCTTTAAATTGCCATGGGGTGCTTTTTGATAGTTAGCAAAAAGGACTTTCAGTTTAATGTGCCAGAAAGACCTAAACAAATACGAGCGCTGACAGTTTCACAAATTCTGAGAACTTTCAAGAGCTAATGGAGACAAAATTCTCCGGTACAATTGAGAAGCAAACTAGTACAGATTGTATATCATTATTTATACCGTTGGACAAGTTGGACAATGCTTTGGGTATTCAAAAAGAATGCTTCTCGATCAGCTCTCTTGGTTAACGTTGCTGCATGGGCGTCCACGACATTAGCAATCTAGCAAAAATGGACTCCGAATGTAGATGAAATATGAAAGAACCGATTGTACAAGACAAAGACAAAATGACCAACCTGTTGACTAGGAAACTGACTGAGGACTGATGTAATGTTGCTGGCGTAGTTCGCTAACAAACGATGAATGGCTTCCTCGACTGTTTCAGGGATACGACCGGAGATGGAAGAAAGGAGTTCCTAAGCAAAACAAATAGTTGGTAGTACAGTAATTGTTAGTACTTGGCATGGTATGCCTCTGTCAGTCAATACATAACATTAATTGTCTGTATAATGTTATAGTCCATGTGAACCCAACCTTGAGTTCCATAAGAGGTAATTTAGGGTCTTTTAAAGTCTTGGTTAAGAGCTCGACATTTTGGTCCAGAAATTTCGTGAAGTGAGGTTCCTCAGCCGCATAACCAGTCATGACGTGTTGAAGGTTCTCTCGAGCTGTATGGAAAACCTAAGCAGAGAGGAACAGCCTGTAAACGAATGTTTCACGACGTTGTCATACAGAAAAGTATCTTCATATTTATATCCTGGGGCCGGTTGTATGAAAGCCGGATAGCGCTATCCACCGGATAGTGATTTTTTCAACCATTCTAAAAATGCTTGAAAAGCGATAGAATCTCAGCTTTGGAACTAAATATTATTAAAGAGGATCCTCGACTCAGGAATACTAAGATTTAATCAAAGCTATACCTAACAACAGGTGATTTAAAAGCGATTGAAAAAACACTATCCGGTGGATAGCGTTATCCGGCTTTCATACAACCGGCCCCTGGTCATCCCTAACGTAATTCTATCATTTTTCAGGAAAACTATCTTCATATTTATACTCATATGTACTTTGTTGTCATCCCTAATATAATTTTATCATTTTTCAGGAAAACTATCTTCATATTTATATTCATATGTACATTGTTGTCATCCCTAAAGTAATCTCGTTAACTAACATTTTCCGTCCGTTTTTCTTACACGAGACCTCGTTTTTGAGGAAAAATATTATATCTACTCGGATATCTATTAACTGATAACATACATTAAATATTCCGTGTATTGTTTCGCTTGAAAATGGAGTTTGCAAGATGCATTAATTCAGAGTTTGCTTCGAGTTCTAGTGTAAAAAATAATCCTTGAAAGGAATATTTTACCAGTTTACCTGGTGAAGTTTGTCGCCTTTCACTGAAGGCCCTTTCAAAATTGGAAATTCTCCTTGATAAAGTTGTGCCTGTCGGGGGGAAGAGAGATAAACTCGTTATTTCATGTTTAAAACAAGAAACTTTTCTTAGGCTTCCATTCTAACCTGAGTCACCCTGTTCGGATCGTCCAACTCTAGGCTAGCGACGACAGTGCCTGGGTCAAGCACGGCGTTTGGAGATTTAATGAAATGGACACTGGAGATAGCAAAGAGGAGATTAATGAATACAACAGTGCAATGAGTGATGAAATGAACGATGAAGAATTGCTCTTACCATCCACTTTCTGCCACTGTCAAAGGCATCACCATTTTCATCACCTAAAATGTGAACACGTTCTCCAGCTCCCATGAACTTAATCATAATCCTAACCTATCTTGAATCTAAATCCTAACTTCAATCATTATTCCCAAGTTCAATTTAAATCCCTGGACATTCTCCGCACCAAACTGAACTCTGAACTAGTATCAACTTTAATCCCAATCCTTAACCAATCTTTAATCCTAGCCCTAATCCTAACTTCAATCTTAATCTCGGTAATTAGCTCAACTTTATTCCCTATCATAAACCTAACTTTAATCCTAATCATAAACCTAACTTTTGTCTTAATTTCCCATCACTAACAGAACTTTAATCCAGACACAAAAACCCCCAGCAACAGACAACCCCTATGAATTACGAGATCAGAACCAGGGGCCAACTTATATGATAAATGAACGGAATACCAGCCGGCAACATTGCGTACCTCGATTTCAGCGTACGTTTCACCCTGGAACACGTGACCACCATCCTCAACTGTATAAGCGATGAGCTTTCCCGCTGATGGCGATCTCAATTTCGAAGGATCATTTTGCTTTTGAAATACACAAGTCTTTCCAGCAATGGTCAAGCGATATCTAAAACAAAATACATTATTTCCTGGTTAAAAGTTCATAATGAACAACGTTATTTGTCATTTGCATGCGGTGTTGTGTTTATTGGAATGAGTTTTGCGTAATTCGGTAAACAATTTCTTAAATTTACAACATTTAAATATCACTTTCGACCAAACAAATCCTGATGGAAAAGAAATTGGTTGACATACCAGTAGGTATTATTTTATTATACGAATTTTTTTCAGACAAGAAGATAAATAACTTCTCTTCCAATGCACTTTAGTAAAAAAGCTACAGGATGGCCTGGTCCTGCATCAGTTTTCGGCTAATTACATTGCTAGTTACAGTTTCCTTACAGTTAGGTATGTATGAATGTAAAAAATGCCACACCTATCAACCTCTTCTTTCATGTACGTGGTGTAACAACTCCCATCGTAGCATATCAGCAAACCTCCATCGCTTAACCTGCACGAGGGTCAAGAAAAATGTGAACAAGACCTATTCGAGAAAGAGCAGGCGACCTAGGGCGAGTTATACGAAAGCAATTGTCCTTTTATAAATTTCCCAAATTTCTAAAATCATTTGTTTATTTCACTATACAAGGTACACGCTAGCGATATTTTTCAGTCAAGACAAATAACTTTGAAACTTTGACAGCAGAAAAACCAGACAAGTATCGTTTTTACGTGACTTGCAAAAGGCCTCTCGCTGTTTTGAATAGATCTATACATATTTTAAAACGTTTTCATTCTTTCTCCCAGAGATTCCCCTCTCTTTCTAAACATGCCGGCACTTGGAAATCAGTGTTTCATATTTCAAAACTACTTACTGATATCAACAAAGAAGAGGGTAATTCGAGAAAGGTTATACGAAAAGCCTGACTTATTATTGCCTGTTGGATTGCAGTCATACCTATGTACGTCCACTTCAACTGTCGAACTGTTCATTTCAAGTAAATGCGGATTTGGACCTATTTTGGAAACCTATTAAACAAATAAACTATGAAACAAATATCTGATCTATTTCATGATCTGTAGAGAGGAAGGGATATGGTAGAGAAATTCACACATGACTTGCCTTCACACAATATTTGTCATTATCATAGATAAGTTCTACACACTCTGTATTGGTCAGCATATGTGCTGGTAGAATTTGTCCCCTAAATAAAATTATTTTACCTACAATTTTAGTCGCCATGTATGGTTTTAGTACATAGTATTTCAATAAGGGAGCAAACACAAAGAGCTAGAGCTTTGGCTGTTCGTCATTTCTTAACATGCATTTAAATCATTATAGGGCGATGAGCCGACTCACTGCAACTCCCCCTATATAGTATATTAATGTATTAAGCTAATGTTTATTTGATTTTATAACATTTGTCATGATTTACCTTTCCAAGCCATGCTGAAAACTAGAAAATCTCTTGTTGATGTGGGAGTCAACGACATGAATCGATCCACAGATCACCGCAAGAATCGTATCTGGTTTCTCTGCCTGCATATGGGAAGATATGAAGGAGTTCATTTTTATCTATCAGGGTCGAAAGAAAGGGCGGGGATTACCCCTTGGGTAGAATATGATGCTTTTACAAAGGTTTGCGTTTAGTAGCCCTGTTGGAAACGATGCCCGCCCCAAAGAAATTTTAGAAAATGATCATTGAGATCTCAAACAGATAACTAAAGGTGGTGCAGTTGAAGTCTTCGTTCACAGTTCATCCTTTATATCTATAAAGGATCACTATGTGCAGTGAATATAGAACAAATGAACATCACCTATTCTATCTATATGACATGCACAAGCAAGGACGACGGACAAGCGGACGGTGTTTACCGGGAATGCTTCACCGGAAATGTTTTACCGGGAATGTTTTACCGGGAATGTTTCACGTATACACTGAGATAAGTGTGAAACACTACTCACCTGGACTTTCTCGGCAATCAAATGATCCAGCCATGTTGTGTCGAATTTATTTGTCTGGAATCTCTCCTCTTCCAAGAGTTTTACCAAATATTCGACGGTTGTTCGAAAGTCTCCTCGAATTGAAATCTCTTTTAAGGCCATAACCATGTTTCTGATAAAATAAATTGCTTTCTAAGCTAAATAATTGTTGAACTAGACATGGTCAGTCATAGCATCTTGATACTAGATTAGCTATACAGGACTTAGGATCAGGGGTTTCCTATGGAAGCATTCAACGATATGGTGCGGCTCTCTCGCAGTCATTTTTTGTTATCTTACCTCCGAGCGCGGTCTCTATCCTCGCCCCAGGCAAAACAATGTCCAAACTGCGAGTCGGCATACTCGTGCAATGCTCCTTCTGGCGCGACGCTGAAGTAACCCCAGACTGAGGAACTGCTGCGGAAGTTTAACTCCTGTACTGTGCCACTGCTTGGCTTGAATCCCTAAATAGTGAGAAATATAATTCGATGATATTATTAGTGAAACTAGCTGCATTTATACTACGCAATCCCGGTGAAGCACGTGACGTTGTTCATACTAGTTGGTTATATACCAGACCCAATTATTTCGTCTGAGTTTTGCTTGATAAAGTTTACCTCGTCCGGATTTTCTGCCGTGATTCTGGCGGCAATGACGTGACCTTTTGGCTTCGGCTGATTGGACGGTCTGAAGAAAAGAACCGAAATTTTAAATCATTGAAAAACAGAATCGTCTTCATCAACGTCCTGTTTGTCAAAATGAATTCCTACTTGGCAAAGTTTATTCTTGTCGTTTCATAATCTCGCTTGCTGTAAAGATTGCGAATATCTTTAATATTGTCCAATGGTATCCCCATTGCGATCTGAAAATAGATTAAAAACATTCATTTTTACAGGCGTATGTTCAGTAACGAATCAAGACACAAGGTGATTGGTTCGTGAATAATCTCCCCACACCTGCAATTGAGCAGCCGGCAAATTGATGTCAGCGATCATTTCTGTGCACGGATGTTCGACCTAATACAAAAAAATTCTTAGAATTGGAGTGTCTAACTAGATTTTCTTCAGACGAATTATGCTACAAAACTTTACACCTATTATTAAAGGCCCTGTTACACGGTGCAATTTTTCCTGCAACTTGCAATGCAATTCTTCTTTTGAGAGATGTAAATTTGGCAACTACCAAACTTTCGTCTTTATTACACTCCATGGCCCAACCTCGTACCCAGGGTCTTTTTACACCTACATTTTGATGGCTCTTCACTAATTTACATCTCTCAAAAGTAGAATTCCGTTGCAAAAAAAATTGCACCGTGTAACATGGCCTTAAATTCCTTGGCCTACCTGGAGTCGTGGGTTGAGTTCAAGGAAATAGTACTTCTGGTCATCAGCGGTATAGAGATATTCCACAGTTCCTGCACTCACATACTTCACTAATTTCGCTAGTTTCACTGCATCCTGAACAGAGAGGCAGATACAGATGCTGTATATCAAAAGTAAAAGGCGGACATAACAAAGGGCAGAGATACTTCTTTGCAACTGGGTTTTAAACTTAATATTAAAAAAGCAATAATTTTTACTTTCATTACAACACCAATTGTTTGTCATGCAGGACTGTCAATTTTTTCTCTGGAAAAAATAATGCTTTATAAACATACCGGATGGGAACGATGACAGTCTGATGACAGATAATTTACTATTATATATACAATAATTAAAAATTGCAATCATGTAAATTTTCTGATATACTTCATAGCTGTTTCTGATATGGTATCTCTCTTTTTCATTTTCAGATATTACCTCACTTTCAACTAACAAATTTGACAGCTTTCAACGATCTACCTTGTCCCTCACCTAGGTCTACCTTGTCCCCCACCTAGGTCTACCTTGTCCCCCCCCCCTAGGTCTAAACTACCGCTGTATTTCACTCGTGGTCTGTTGTATGCAAACAATGACTCGTACCTTTTCCATCTGCTGTAAAATCTCCGCCGGACAAATTACCACAGGCGCCTCTTCGATGATTTTCTGATGTCGTCTCTGCACGGAACAATCTCGACCAAATAACGATATTGCTTCCCCCGATCTGTCTGCTAAGATTTGAACCTCTAAATGCCTCGCTCTGTTAGAGAAAAAAACGAAGGTTTCAAATCGGACAAATTAAGATTATAATGTCATTGCATGAGATGTTCCATCGCAGCTTCACGATACTAGGCCAGCATTGCCTGCTAAACATTTTGCAATGTTAAGCAAAAAATACATCCCTCAAATCTACTATTTGCCTTCAAATATAAAAATAGGCGCCAACGAAGGTGCCATTATTTATCGCCGAGTAACTATTGCATTTTCTGCATTCTGATTGATGGAAATTTGTTCAGCTCTTCAGACTTAATTGTGAAGTAAAGAAAACTGGTTTAATACTAGGGATAACAGTTCGTTACGAAGTGTGTATATGCCTCTTACCTTGAAGCGACTTTCATGACAAATATAGGAGAACCAGGAACCTCTGTTTGAACCTGTGGGTACAATAGTCATGTTGCGTAAACAGATTTTTCATAATCTAGTGCCCACCTAGGTGTCAAAATATTTTGAGCATATCTTGGATATATCTTTCGAAAGATATATTAGAAGGGCCATGTTTTGTAGGGGGGAGAAATACAAAATAAATTTCTGTGGATTTTAGCGCTAACGAGGATCAGTTCTGAAAAAACTCATATTTGAGCTAAAAACGTAAAATTTTATTACTTGAGGCTGTTTTGAAAAGGAAAAAGGTTATTTAAACAAAAAAACCAAGATAGAAGATGCGATATTTTAAGATGAGAAGTTTTTCGTCATCTTTGGAACGATCTTAATGATTTGATGAGCGTTGCATAAATAAAAATTGTCTAATGAATCCTGCCATGTGGTAGAGTATATGCACGTATACAGATGTATTTACGAATTGTATGGGAATTGGTATTGTCATTTTAAAAAATGAAAACGAGTACTTAAGGCATATTTTAGCTCATTTCGCTGAAGGCGAGATATGAAATATCACGTTTGTACGCGTTTTCATTCAATCACATATACCAGGTGAAGTTTAGGGGCCTCTGCATCCTCTTACCTGTCTGAAGAAATTACTAAATTCATCATCATTATGCGCCTTTCTTATTCCCTTGCCTCCCCCGCCTTCAGAGGCCTTGATCATGACAGGGTAGCCAATGTCTTGGGCTATCTTCACTCCTGCTGTCGCGTCGGTAATGCAACACTTCTGATAAAGTTCTTCGGAGACGAGCTCACCGGTGTTCAGGTCCGAGGCAAGGGTGTTCACGTCAATGGTTACTCCGGATCCGCTCCACTTCAACGTTGGGATGTTTAAAGATTGCGCAACAATGGAGGATGCGATTTTGTCTCCAAGCGCCCACATTGCCCCTGCGGGGGGTCCTTGAGGATGGAAGGCAGAAGCATCATCAAAACTACCCACAGCATCTAAGGGCGCTTTCTTTGAGCGGGGATAATCGTCAAACCGGTCATATTTTAAGTATTTCGTTAAAAATCTAGCGGTGAAACTGCATTTTCCTTGACGGGCCGATGTAAATAACGATATACTTCAATGCAGAGTATTTAAAACACTCTAAAATACCTGTAATCTGTTAATACTGAAATTTACCAGGACTGGTCTGGCTGTTTTTACCGTATAAAGAGAAGCGCCCTAAGTACTGCAATCTAGGATAACGCTATCTGGAACCTATCTAACGCTATCTAGCCAAGAGCTATCCAGCAATAAAATTGACAGCCTGGTCTTACCCATGAACATGATGTTGTTTTTTTTAAGCACGTCTGGCAGTAAAGGATTCTCTGATGCGTGACCCCAGCCTGCCCATACCGCCTTGGAAAAAAAAACAAAACACTGGAGATTTCGATTATAGCAAGTGCATATGTAACATTACATGTTAAACAATATGGATAACTGAGTTCAACTGTCTGTCAATCTATTCATGCCTCATTCACACTACAAGCAAATCCGCCATTTTTCTTGCTTCATGCACTTTTGGGCCGCGAGCACTCCCTCCAGGAATTATTATATAGCTCAATGCTACTAACTTATCGCGATATGAAACTGAATATACTTAATACATAAACTGAGTACAACTGAATACCTTTTTGCGCTGCCGCCAGATATGGTCCCAATGGCTAATAGTAATGACCACTATCAATCACGTGACTATTAAACGTAGCCTATTTTGTTCACTTTCTTAATTGATTTTACCTACTCTTCTCATCTTGGCATAGTGTGTAAAGTTTGTCTAAATAACTTTCCGATTTCGTGAGATTCCTAGCAATTTTGGTTTGCCAATGTTTTCACCGAATGTCACTCTTAATTACTGAAATTTTTGAGCTTTTAGTAATCGTTCGGCACATTTAAAGCACAATTTTTGAATTGCGTGTCAATCGTATAGATCGTGAAATGAAATCAACAAATGGTAGAAAAATGTAGAAAATTGAAAATTCGTAACTAAAACGGTTAACCGCTAAGAGTACAAAGGTGGAGTGAATGTCGAGCTCAATATTGAGCCGTTTCAGTGATCACTGCCATTACCTATTGGGACCATATCTGGCGTCAGCACGAAAAAATCATGTTTCCTGCTTCACTTTTTCTGTTTCCAAACAATAGGAGCAAGTCCTCCAGGAATTATACAATTCAGTCGTTAGTAGCCATCACCAGTGGCCATCACAGACCGCAATATGAGACTGGACAAACATATTTTATAGCTACTTAGGTTTACACCGTGCGATTATACAGTAGTTGTATGTGATTCTTACTCTGGCGTATGTGCTGGAATAAACTCGCGTATAATCGTCATGTTTCAAGTCTGGCGGAATGAGCAAAAATATTGCATGGGCACACGTTTCCAATCATCAGAGTGACAATCGCATACAACTACCAGATCGTGTAAATAGTCTTTAAGACAAGCTAAAGCGGTGAATACCTGGACAGGGATTCTTTTGGCGATATCCAAAATGACGTCAACATTGGCATAGTTATTGTTGTTTGTACCTCCAGGTGCATGGACGTAGTGGTCAGCCAGCTTGATATATTCTGCATTAGCCTAAACATAAAAACGTCAAGATTTAAGTAGTAAATTAAGTAAAATATTATAAAGAAAGAAACTAATCTATCTGTGACAAGTTCATATGAGAATTCGTTCGGAATCTAGTGAGCCCGGTGCACTAAAGGCCCTCTCGAAAAGCCGTTATAAGACAAGCTGCAGTAGGGCGATGCATAAAGTCAGTTGTACTTTGTACAACGCTTGATGCAGCAGTTGTCTCGCCACGAGTTTGGCGGTTGCAAAGGCATTTTTAACCATGCAATAATTCTAGTGCAACTTGTCTCGCAATAGCGTTGGCGTTGCAAGACATATTGCATGAAAAATTGCATCGTGTAAAACGGCCTTGAAGGCTTTACTCTACTCATCGCAAAAACACACCCTGCGAAAAAATCAACACAACACAAAAGCATTTTCATTGGACGAGAGCCCTCGCACATCATACGTTTTAAACGTCACCACAACAATACAAACTAGCTTAGTGTAATTCGTGGCTGTGAGGATAGGATATACCTTCAGGTCCTCTGGAGTAACCATGGCAACAAAACGAATGGCGTGTTCGTTACCAAAAAGATCGTAGCACCATCTTCGTATGGAGCGCATGCATTTGACGGCAGCGATTCCATTATTGGCGATTAGAACCTAAAAGTACAATTATATGTTTGATATCATGCTTCAAGGCTTGGCGATGACAATAATGGTTTATAGTTATTCATAATATTAATGATGGAGTCATGATGATGATACAGACAATGGCGTATGGTAACTGCATGAATGATGGAAATGTGATCTAATGTAATGATAATTCCTAAAGAAAAATCAAAAGAAATACATATTTAATCTACGATTTAATCAATGTTATAACAGCCAACACAGATTTTCCCTGTTTGGATCAGTCAACAAGCACTAGAAAATATTCACGTCAGTGTTGCATCTACTGAAACAACGCGGCCGCAACAAAGAGAAATTTCGTCTTAGACCAAGACAAGTTTGTTTACATTTTCAGTAACCCAATCAGAATGCATAAATTTTGACTACTTCTGGTAAAAAGGTACACTATTTTTTGCATGAAGTATTAAAAATTCAGGCATTCTGATCGGCTTCAGCTATAAAAATGTAAACAAATATGCCGATTAGTTTAAAACGAAATCCCCTCTTGTTCACGGCCTCTTTTATTGTATATCCAGTAGTTCTTATTAAGGCAACATGGCATGCAGTTATGATAATGACTTTAATGATGATGATGTGATTGTTATGATTATTTTAGTAGAGATGATGTTGGATAATGATAGTTATGAGGATGTTACCAGGGACACAGGAGCGTAATACGGACATAATATCGAGTTTCCAAAATATTGTGATAGAAATTTTTCACAACTACAGTACATTTACACATTATGTACATGCAGTTGTATCGAAAGGGTCAATTCAGCTATTCATGCGGGGAAAACAAGGAGGGGTAATAGACCTTTTTCATAATGAAAGTTACACGAAGTTTGATTGGCTCGATAGTTCAGTGGAGCCAATCAAATTTCGTGTAACATCAGACTTTCCGCGTTTAACGTCATTATAAGAAAGGTCTATTGACCCATTTAAACTGGATTGCGAATAAATCATGAACATTTGTAAATATTTTTAGGTTCATATTGCTCGTCTCATTGTTTTTTTAATATGTTATCTTATTTTGTTGTTATGGTAATGGAGTTGCGGACTCGCGGACGTGACTAACACGTGGAAAACTACGAATTATATACGAGCATCACGCAATGTTAAACTGAAAACTTCGAAGCTGCAAGATAGTCCCCCCCTGGGCAAAAATCTGTGCGTACGGCATGCACTGGCTGGGTAATAATAATATATGGTAAATGTTTTTACCTTCTCTATTACTGTGTCACCTCCAAAACGTTTCACAAACTCGGCAGGCGAAGCGACCTATTTAAAAAAAAAATTGTTAAAAAACCTTCATCTATACATGTGTACCAGGCACGGCTTGCCATGCAATGACACGAAAGAAAACAGCTGTCAAAGTAAACTATCGTATCGCTAATGGATCCTGATTTGTTTTTAGCTCACAATCAGGTTACAAAAGTTCAGGGGGACCGAAAGAGAAACTGCGTCGTGCGATTGAGCTAAACGTCTTGTGAAATGTATTGACAATAAGCCATAGCTTTTTATTATCTAGCTATATCCGTAAATACAAAATAAATTGTATTTGCATGCATGTATGAACGTGAATCTAAAATTTTCAATTAGCATTATACTACCATTCGACTTTTAAAAGCACAAAGTCTAGCACTTGCTGGGATCATGCTATAGGAACAGCATACAACAAAAATATGATCTGCTCAGTTTTAAAAACAATATACCTTATGACCAGCCATAAAATAAACAAAACATTTTCGTCGAAAATACTGCGAGGAATAGATGAATTTGCTCAGCCTTGCATGCCAAATCCAAGAGATTGTTGTGGCCTCGCGTACAAAAAAGATTTCGCGCTACACCTCATTCAGTGAAATTGCTGTATCGCGGGAATAATACGTGTAAAACGGTTCCTTTAGCGTGGGCCACAATCTTATCTTATATATTCACACGTGCGCATGCATGATTATTTTCAAAATATCAGTTTTTTTAAGATTCATTCATTGGGCATCTCTTCAAGGATGCCACTGCGGACTTTCTTGAGAAAAATAAACAACATGCGTGGATATATATATATATATATATAGGCCTGGGATACAGTGCCAAATTTTCAGTCATCATATTTCGAATTTTGCCCGAGGTGATATCGTCGTTTTTGACAAAACTATTCTTTAAGACCATTACTTAACATTTTATATGCAGATTTCTAACCGTGATTATACATAAACTTTCAAACTGTATCTATGCATAAATCAGGCTATTGACTAAAAATGCTTTTGTTTGGGGGCTGGAGCAAGACCTCCGTTTGGAAATAATATAAGGAGCGAGACTGATGAAAAAACATACTATTATGTCTTTAGCTTAAAATTCAAAATAATGAAAGAAAATCTTATGGCCGCATATTTATAACAATTGAGAACTACAGGGCGTATCAAAAGAGAGGCAACACTTGATATTCATATTGTTACTAAGCACAATAATACAATAGTACTTCTAATTGTGTTAGCTCGATCACAAAGTGAATTTACTCCTTGCATGAATAGCTAACAATCTGAAGATAGTATATAAAGCAAATTCCAAGCAAATTCTGAATAAGCAAGACATCATGAGAATACAATAATGCATGCAATTAAACTATCACACAAGATTTTATCCCCTTGAAAGAATTTAAAAAAATATCATAAAGCGGTCAGTCGTCATAGTATTAATGCACCATAGAAACAAACAAACAGTGTTTTTGTTGAAAGAAATGGGCTAAACGCTGTAGGACATGGTGGCCAATATTTTTGTTGTTTTGTAGTATTGTATTTATGTAGATGTAAATGCAAATAAGATTTTCTTCTCGTAAGACCAAATATTTATCTATGAAGGTTGAAAATGTACCATGAGACACATTTTATTTAAATAATTACAGCGCATGATATTCAATTAGGTTGTGCATGTTACGCAACCGAGAGCTGAGCATGTCAAGCATTAAATTTATAACAATTGGCTGTGTAACTATCCTGTACAACGCAGTGGGATACCACGATCGCGTGGGCGGGAAAACAGCTGCATGCACCATTTGATGATGATGAAACCAATAAGGAAATGAGAAAAACTGAAAGATCAGCTATATTTATAATTTCTGCTATTTTTACAACAAGGAAGAAAAGATCCGACAAGTACAACAGAAAAAACAAGACAGCGAAAGTAAGAAAGCGTCTTCGAACAACTTTGTGTCAAATGTGATATAACAACAGCTTAAAATAGACAAGAAGAGCCTTCGTCAGGAGAGTTAATAATATCTTTCATGTTTACTCTCTCCAGACAGGCCTTAGATCGAAACGCCAGAAAGAGTTTTTGTCTATTTTAGAATATAATATAATAGGATATTTCCGCCCAGCCTATAATCCAACCATGTTTATATGTAACTCAATATTTGACACATACCCTATAACCTGTTTAAATAGTTCCTTTTTATATACATGTCTGATTATACTTCTTTCAGGCTAAGACAAATTTCAAGTTTCGAGATGTTTTCAGACCGTGCATGCATGGCCACACATAATGCAAGAATATTGCATTAAGTGGGTTATCTTCACTTAGATCAGTCAAGCCGACTCATGGATAGTGCACGAGCTAGGCCGATGGCCCAATCAAACACTGCCAAGACGCACTTGCATGAATCGAACAATTAAATTGAGTATTTCATTGAGTACTTAAAAAAATGCATGCAAATTAAAACTTTCCTTTAACTGAACAAATAAAGTTTTTTAATAAAGCTGTCCGTTTGCAAACCTTGCTTGCATAAACTTCATAAATCTGAGAATTCAGTACTTAATTTAATCCCTGACAGTTTATTGAAGGATTTTGACCTGAACAAATGCATGCACTTATTACATTGTTAATAGAGCTATATATTGGCCATTTACAGCGGTAATAAGTAAGCTCCACTACACTGTCCCTACACTGTATAAATCTATGAATCTACAACCCTAACAGTTTATTGACGTATTTTATTTCACTGTCAATAGAAATATATTGGCCATTTACAGCAGTTATAAGTAAGCTCGACTGTCCCTACACTTGCATAAATATGAGAATTGAGTACTTTAATTGTTAAACAAAAATTTCCCTGCAGGTTATATCATAATTGTACCGGCAGCAAACGTTTCCTGAACAAAAGTCAAAACAATAGCAACAGGGTTCTAGGGAAATGCCTATGTATGACGAGTTCATCTATGTACTGGTTCCTATCTTGCAAAAATCTTACAATCGAGAGCTTTGTTAAACAAATTAAGCTACTGGTTCCTCATGAAATAACCAAATACCTTGGTGTCATCTTTTGCGGTGCTGTCAGCCTGTATGCCGTTTTTCTGGAAACCGAACATTGCAACTTAATCGCATAAAAAAAAGTCCCAGCGACGCAGCGTCAGATTACAATGAAAATTTCACGATACGCGATGTAACCAGCAAAATCTCCGCCGAAATTCGATTTTCAAATGTCAATCCACACGGTATATTATACCATGACGATGTTATGATTTGTGTTCAGTTTTATTGTTATGTCTAGGCACGAACTGCTCGGTCTTGCTTACGTGGTCAAAACTATATCGCCGATACCGTCTCCCGTTTCACGATATTTCGCAACATTTCATGAGAGTAAATATTTTGTCTGCCAGAAATAGACGAGCCATGGGCAACTATGATACACATACAGCAGCTGGTGGCCGAGTTGCGTTGATGCAGGAAAGTGCATAGTGTGGCTATTAATGCTTATAATGTGATTTACCAGTGAAGACAAACCTATCTGATTTCGTACCGGTGCCGGCGTAAGTATAATGAACGTACGTGAGTATAATGAACATAATGTTAAGCGGGCCATCTCAATAAAGAGCTTCGGCTGATTTTAGGTGAAGGTTTATATTAGCAAAATATATAGCTCCTGGACGCTGGTAATATCCAACAACTGTGACCCAACTAATCAAGTTGACTTCATATGCATATGTCCCAGAATTATTACAAGTTTTGCAGGCAAGTTTTGAATTTTTGCATAGCGTACTGAAATTGTTACAACTCTTACAATATAAAACTAATAAAAGTATAAAATAAACTGCATATCCCCTTATCCGGTTTATATATAGCTGTGTAGCTGTGTATATACACTAATTTCTCCTTATTTAATTTTTTAATATTTTTCGCACTTTTCCAAGAATTGTTGATGGGCTAGGACTGCGGCAGACATTGGCAATGTTAAATTAACTGAATTAACTGCACAGTTTTTGTTCTTTTTTTGAAATAATAAGGTGGTGTTAAATTAAGAGCTTTATTAAATGCCAACGAAGGTTACAAACCCCTGCGAAGGTAATAATTAATCCTATTAATGCGACCAACGAAAATTTCGTCTAAAATCACTCATGTCTTGATGTCTTTCTCAAAGTCTCGCGCGGTTAACACTGCATGTAAACAACAGAGTGTCCTAGCAAACCTTACTGGTCTCTTTAAAATCACTCGCTGGTCTTAGGTATTGATAACAATAGATTATCCCAAACAGCACAAACTTCGCCAACAGCGTCTCAGCTGCTTAAATTATAAATTATAAAAGTAAACTTTTCGAATGAAAAGTTAGTTTAGCGAGTTATTTCACATGACTAACGCCTGTGTATTGAAACATCGTGAGGTTTTTTGTCTATTTTGTTCCCCATTGATCTACTCTACTTCAATGCATGTTTAAATGCATGTACGCGACTTTAATGCTTCTATATATCTTAATATAGTTTATCGTGTTTAACTGGGACACAAATAATATCAATAGCCTTGTTGGATAGAAGGAACTTCTCTATTTTTTTATTATTATTATTATGCCCAAAGCTGGCCTAAAAAATAAATACCTGTGTTGATTGGTAGGCTGAGATAGCTGTGTTGGTTAGGTACGGTGATTGAACTAGCTGTATTGGTTAGGGTTAGGGTTAGGGTTAGGGGTTAGGGGCTACCTGTATTGGTTCAGTAGAATGATTGAACTAGCTGTGTTGGTTGGTAGGCTGAGCTAGCTATGTTGGTTAGGTAGGATGATTGAACTAGCCGTGTTGGTTTGGTAGGCGTTGGTTTGATAGGCTGAGCTAGCTATATTGGTTAGGTAGGATGATTGGACTAGCTGTTATGGTTAGGTAGGATGATTGAGCTAGCTATATTGGTTAGGTAGGATGATTGAACTAGGTGTTTTGGTTAGGTAGGATGATTGAGCTAGCTATATTGGTTAGGTAGGATGATTGAACTAGCTGTGCTGGTTGGTAGGCTAGGCTAGCTGTATTGGTTAGGTTGTATGATTGAACTAGCTATCTTGGTTAGGTAGGATGATTGAACTAGCTGTTTTGGTTAGGTAGGATGATTGAGCTAGCTATATTGGTTAGGTAGTATGATTGAACAAGCTGTGCTGGTTGGTAGGCTAAGCTAGCTGTATTGGTTAGGTAGGATGATTGCACTAGCTGTGTTGGTTTGGTAGGATGATTGAATTAGCTGTGTTGGTTTGGTAGGATGATTGAACTAGCTGTGTTGGTTTGGTAGGCTGGGCTAGCTGTATTGGTTAGGTAGGATGATTGAACTAGCTGTGTTGGTTAAGTACCTAGGCTGTACCTAGGTGCTGAGATAGCTGTGTTGGTTAGGTAGGCTGAGATTGCTATGTTGGTAGGTGGGATGACCTAGCTATGTTGGTTGATTGGTAGGCTGGGCTAGCTGTTTTGTTTGGGTGGGCTGAAATAGCTGTGTTGCAGCTATCTGTGTTGGTTGGTACAGGCTGAGCTGGTTGTTGTTAATTAATTAAGTTAGGTAGGCTAGGCTAGATCGATGTGTTGGTTAGGTAGGCTGGGATAGCTGTGTTGGTTCAGCATGCTGGGATAGATTTGATAGTCACTGCTGTGTTGCTTGGGTAAGCTTACATAGAGGTTGAAAATGCTGGGTGGACTGATTCGGCTGATCAACATGTTACACAAGTTAGTTGTACGTATAGGCTAACGCTTGCTCTGCAAACCATAGGATAGATTCTAAATTGGCATTGTAATTAATGAGTACTCAATATGTTATATAGTTATCAATTAATATACAAGGTCATTATGGTCTAGGTCAAACCCAAGTGTGAAAATACTAAATTAGACCAATCATCTTAGTGACAGGCCTTTTCTTCTTAGTGACTGAAAATTGATAGATTATGCAAATTATGTAATAAAAAATAATATTATAGTTATGTAGATATGTAAGTTTTTCTTTAACACTATTAAATCACGTATGCCCTCGAAATAGTATTAATTTACACCTTATGTTCCAAAGTTCACATACATCAATATTAAAATACAACACCTGAACAGTGAATATAGATAATATTTATATGCACCTAAAAAAACTTCTACCCACTAATCAAAAATTGTACAACTTACGTTGGCATCCTTTGATCCCTTGTCTATCTTCATTTCGATAAATTCGTCTTCTGTATCCGAGGCAGAGCTCGTCATTTTGAGAATGTGCGATATTAAACACTGTCAAAATTCCAATCTTCTGAGTCTGAGATCAAATTCTGCCAAAATTTTAAATAGGTCGAAATTGAGGTAACGCTTAGCTAAGCAGACGGTAAGTCACGTACGTACTCCTGTTTATGCATTATTCCTCCTAACATCTAAATGCTGAGAAGCTGAAATGCAGTAGATTTAAATTATTCATTTAACCATTCCACGAGCTCCAGCATGGTGTTGTATTTTACATTTTGCAACATTATACTTGACATACTTGTTGTCTTGTTCTATTGCGTAATGTTGTGTTTTGTACGATAACCGGATCTCCTGGTACCCGGGAACAAAGACTCGGGTTATATAATCCCATGTGACCCCATCAACACTCGACAGTTGCATTATTCGTCTATTTTTCATCTGGAATCCGCTGTAAAAACTGAGCCCGATTGCGTACAAAAATCGGGCAATTACCACTGAGTAAGCGAGTAAGGGTTCTGAAAAGTTTCCTCATTACAGCAGAATTGTGTTCGGCAACTTACAGTTGTCAATTTTTTGCTCATTGAGGAAACTTTTTATGAAAGCAGGAACTACAACCAACTTTTCCTTGAAAAAAGCATAATTTCAGCACAATGTTTGAGAATTTACATTAAAAAGGAAAAAAGAGAACATCACTCAGTACACCTGCCAATCGTCAACACTCATATATTGCTGAGTTATATGAACACATTCGGCTCAGTCTTCCTAGCAAGGGCTGAAGGGCATACACCTAAAGATTATCTCTAGAATCGTCTGTAATGCTCGGGTATAACAACAGGCAGAAGAAGTAAAAATTCTGCAGAACAAAGTTGAGAACCTTGAAAGAACTTGATGGAACATAGTCAGTCAGGGCCCAGTCAGTCGCAGTTGACTCCTAAGAGTCGCAGTTGACTCTTAGTCAGTCGCAGTTGACTCTTAGTCAGATTCCGATGTCATTGTACTGTGTTATAAGGTTTTGACTTTTGAAGTTTTTTGTATGCCATATAAAAATACTTTGTAATAGTTAAGCATCGATTCTAAGCCACGAAAATGAATTGATAACTGCAATTAGTGCATATCTGGACAACCCAATGACACGGGCAATTGTTAATGTTACACATGATCAACTGCAATTTTACCAGCGAATGTTAAAATTACACCTATATCATCTTGCGGGAAAAAAGTAATGTGTATATAAACGTCATGAATGAACAAACAAAGAGGATACGACTATTTATACCTAATTTATAGTGTGCGGTGATAATCAATTTGTGCAGTGATAAAAGTAGAATGTGGTCAATGTGCAGTGATAAAATGAGAAATGTGCAGTGATAAATGATATTTTCTCAACAGACCTCACTCTGCTGAGATGGATTTACAAGTAGTTGTCTCCCAAAATGCTGAAAATTAAGTCATGGGGACTCAAAAATACAGAAAATATTCTGCAAGAGGTCCTGCAGACCCCCTACAATCCCCCAATCTTTAAATTATCAATTTCTAGTTAGGACCATTTTTATCATGCAACCCCCCGTCTCCACTATTACTATTGTGATGATGTGTGCAGTGATAAAACATTCTTAAAATTGGCTATGCGACTATTTGTAATATGTTGCGATATTTTTACAACGCAACTTACAACCACTGACCCACAATCAATTCTTGTTGCGTGTTGCTGTTTGCCATTACTGAAGTTACCCATTTTATGAAAATATTCTCAGACGTGGGTGGTTGAAACTTGAAAGTTTCTCAAAGACAATCCAGCGGAAAAGCATATGGTAGTGGTTCATATATACTTGAAATCATGTCACGAGCATGCGATTTTCACAAAAGAGTAGCAAACTAGTAACCCAGCGAAATATTTTGCAGTTTTGATGGGAAAATCTTATTCCTATGAGGAACTTTAAGAACCTATATACAGGCAGAATGATGCCGAAAGAACATTTTACCTGGGATATTTTACTTCTGAAAACTGAAAAATCAGGTAGTTCCTAGAAGTCGATCTTTATACCATATGATATTTCTGAATGAAACGGATTGTGATTTTGTTCGTAACCCAACAGCATATTTCTAATCATTTTTAATATCACACCATAACCCGCAGATCGACAGGTCAGAAATATACTGTCCAATGGCAATTTTTTTTACCTGTTCATATCACCAACACTCATTAAGAACAGTTTCGACAACAAAATACTCCTAACCAGTCTACATCTTAATTCCATTTTCCCTCTTTTTCGAACACAGAAAATACAATATCACTTCGTAATAGGTTTTTTTCCTTAGAGGTTAACTTATAATATATTATATACAAATATCAAATACAGGGATATCAATGACCTAGTTTATACCAGAGATGAGGTCCTATCAAATGATAGTATTTTCCTATGATATTTGGTCTGTTGCCATAATATTATTACACTTGGACCTATAGACAGACGTTCGCCACACTTGTATATCGAGACGAATTAGCTACAAGGCAATAGTTTCTCTTATCGCCCATGAAGGATCATCTCTAATGTAAACACGGCCAATATTTATAGACGCTATCATTATCATACTCTGTACACTGCAATCACAAGCAGACTCAAAATAATGTACAAATACTGGTGCATGCCCGTTACGCCGGAGCCGTGCACCATACTAAGGCAGATCCCCTCGGGGCAAGTACTTTTGCACTCGGCGCCCAAACAAACGAAATTACAAAGTCCCGAATAGCAAGTTTGCTGGCATGTGGTCACGTTCGGTCCACATTCGAAATTACACCCTCCGATGAAACAGTACTGATGGCACACGGGCGAATTACATACCATCTTCTTGCAGTTGCCCAAGCAAACCTGAGTACAATTTTCTCCGTTGCATTCCATTTTGGCACAGTTGCCTCCCGAGCAACGCTGGTCGCACGAGGGGCTCCTACAGTCCATGTTCCCACACTCCCCGCCAGGACAATTCTGCAGGCAACTTTTCTCCGACGAGCACTTGACGTTCTTACACAGGCCTCCGAGGCAATTCTGATCACATTTCTCGCCGTTCGTTCCCGTGCATTTCAAGTCCTGCCCTCCGAACACGCATGCTTTGCAAGGTGGTTCACACTGGCCGTTATGACGGTAGTCGCATTTCGCGTCCAGATGCGACCCCTTTGCGTCTCCGATCTCGTTGAATGTGCACGTCCCGGACGGCACGCATTCATTGCGGCACTCTTTCGCCGCACAGTTGAATTCGCAGTGCCCTTTCTTGCAGATCTGCTTGCACGTGCGCACATGCCCTGAGCACGAGAGGACACAGCCGCTTCCCGAACATTCCTGTTCGCAATGATCCGCGCTGCACGTGAGCGAGCAGTTACTCCCGCAGTGCTGTTTGCACCTCTTTGAATGGCATGTGATAGATCGACACGTTTCTCCTCTACACGCTTGTTTGCAGTACTTGTAATGTGCATCAGCCTTACAGTAACACCCTGTGGAATCACACGATTGCACACATAGATGTTTTTCGCTCGGATTCTTTACGTTGCACTGCGTTTGAATGGCGGAGTTTGGTCCGCGGGTCTCGCAAGTGCCGTCAGGGCAATAAGCCCGACATGTCTTGCCCTCGCAAGTGATCTGACAGTTACCGCCCGTGCAGACCTGTTCGCAGTACTTGACATGAGGTCCGCATCTCATTTTACATCCCCCAGTTCTGCAATTTTGAAAGCAGTTATCCGAGTGGCAGACCATATTCTTGCACGCGCCCCCCGTGCAATATTGTTCACAGTAGCCTCGACTTCGTCCGCATTTCATATGTCTGCAGTGTCCCTGCGTGCATTGTTGAACACACTCCTTGGAGGCATCGCAATGAAATGAACATTTTTTGCTATTCCCGTCAGATGGGTCACAGACTTGGTTGCAAAACGCGAGCGCCGTGCCATTATTTCGTTTACAGGACAGGGAGCACACCTCCTTGCCTTTCGATGCGACTTTTTGACAGTGCTGATCGCATTCCTTAGCGCCCGAGTGTAAGTTGCAAGTTCTTATCGAGCTGTGGGCCGTTTCTATAGCTAGGGAGGTGTAAACCAGGAGGAGTAGCCAATAATGCGCCCTTTTGTCCTCTGTAGTCATTTAAAATTCTAAAAGAAAAGATTAAAGAAACATTAGGTTTGATAAGCAACATGCGTGCATGCATGTCATTCAATAGACCACTCAAACAGCGGACTGCTCAAACAGCGAATCAACATGCCGTTATCAGCTGCATGAACAAACGGAACGACATATTGAAATACGTTGTTCAGCTTAATCGCCTAGTCCTCTGTCCACACAAAACACACAATAAGTATAAACTGCACACATTGACAGTCATTGTGATAAAAAAACACGTAGGATTAAAAAGAGGCTAACATTCTGAGTTCGATTACTGAAAAAGAAAGCTCTCCGAGACAACACTTCCCGTTCGTTCTTGGCTTAGTTAAATTCGAAAACTATTGTTTAACACCTTTACTTGTTGTTTTAAAATACGACGGACTTTCAAGACATTTCAATTATAATCTCTGTTGTTGTTCATTAGTCTCGTGGTTAGAACTTCATTTAGAAAATTGAAACCTTTCAGATGGGCTAATTAAGAATTCTCCGGAATAAAAGAACTTAATTTTGCAGACGTTTTAGGACTTCGCTATATTCAAATTGAGTAAAAAAAACACATCAGCGTTGACGGTTGGCTGATGCTTTTAGCCAGAATCGCCCGGCTTCGAACGTAAACTAAATGTTGCATCACAGCACGCAGAACAAAGATTCACATTTTACAAAAGTTGTTGATTATATTGTGCCGTGTTTCTCAAGTTGACTTGGTCATTAGCTATGACACAGCGAGATGAAAACCCGTTCAAGCTGAGCTGGAAATATATGCGGGCCATTGTTTTGAAACAAGTAATGTCCCCTACTATGAGACACGCTGTTTGGGGCTACAAATTTCCATAAGAAAGACTAATTTGACATGAATACTTCTAAAATACAGCTAATTGCTGAAAGAATCCTAAACATTTGATACATGTTACTTATGCAAAAAATCGTCTCCTCACGCGATGGACTAAACTAAAGGAATTACTTATAACTGTCCAGTTGATAGTAAGGTGATGTAAAAGTTAGATGTAAATCGTATTAAACGCATAACAAACTTAATCCATAAACATAAACACCACAGAGGTTGTAAGGAAATAAACTGAATATAAAAAAAATGGCTTGTTTCAACTGTGAGTTGTCAAATCCATTAGTTGTAACTGATCATTAATTAGTCTATATGTTCTATGCACGAATTATCCTGATGCTCGTAAAAAGTTTCTCGGTGTAGTCGCGCCAATCCCTTCAAAGGACGTGGGCGAGAAACATGACATGCATTCATGAATGGAGAATGCTTAAATGCTAAAGTTTTCGCGGTCCGAAGACAAGCGGGAAGAAAATTAGAGTTAATTTTCTAGATATAATCTAGATATAATGTTTTTGCCTTTACTCGCAAGCGAACGTATGCATGCTGTCGAAAATATGGGTCCTTTTAAAATGCACTCCTGCATCGATCTTTACGGCAGGTGACCAAAATTGAAAATTTCACTGAAAAATTTTACTAGAAAAGCTTAACGCGTCCAGTGCCGTCACGTTGAGCACGAGTTCTCGTAAAAGATTCTACTCGGACATCGGAAGAATCGCTAATGATTCGTATACGAATTGTCACATCATTTCGTACCTTTGTGACAAAGAACGATGTAAAAGGAGGGTCCTTCCTATGATGTAATGAGGAACATGTTTCTGCGTATACTACGAACGCGAGCTCTCCACCACGCACATGCGTAGTGCGTACACTAGTGCGTACACGTGACGTACTATGACGTAGGTGACATTAGGATGCTACTGAACTTCCATCTATACTGCGCGGCTGTTCTGTTAATTATTGTATAGAAGATATATTAAAAAGAAAAAACTATCTTACTTACTTACTTAATACATCCTACAGTAAGGATATCCAGGGTAACATCTAACAAATTGTAGGATTAAAAACTCGCTCTTTTGAAAAGCATTCATAGAATGTATGTATATAACGTAGCTATACATATACGTCTTACACCGTCTCAACCGATATAACCCAAGCCAATACACTTGCATGCATTCAGCTGCAACCCAGCGCATCATTAGTGCGAAGTTGTGCGGTGCCGTGGCGTCTCTAGCACATAATATAACCCATTCGATTCATTACACGCGTAACATTACGAAATTAAAGTCGCCAATTCACAATAGCAGGCGATATTAATCTTCAAAATGAAAAACTAAAATAGCAATAACTACATTCAGAGAGCTGTCCATTAAGTGTTTAATCTTGTTAAAAAAACTTTAAGTGCGCGTGTGCGCGACAAATGTAACTATATATCGGCGTATGTTTCGATATCTTCCCATGTAGTGCCAAATATTGTATATAGTGCATGCATATGTATAAGTCATCGCTAACTAAGCTATAATGGGAAAGCCTGCGTCCGTATAAAATGGTTATGAAAAACTAGAAAGCATAAAATGAACGACTCGTTTTATGCGATAAATATCACCGCGCTATTTCTTTTGCCTTTCCAAGTCAAGTTAATTTTTCTTTGATCTGCATGGTTTCAATGCAGGGTTCTCCATGAAATTCAGCATGCAGCCTTTAAAATAGAACAATATTGCACAAAATCTAGGCATTTAAAAACCTCCGCCCGGAAAACACACTCCCGCGTGTAGCAATAATACTTGAAGCAATATTTTACACGGGGGGCGAAGGCCGGGTATATATGTAACTGTTATGTACATGCCTTTCATATAGTCAAGCAAAGATTATATATATATATATATAGCCATGCGCTAAAGTGTTAATATATATGAGAATATGTATTAATTTTTATAATTATCTATAATGAAACGTTCATTTGCTTGCTGGGGAAATTTTCATCGGGTTTTAATAATTTATCATTTGTCATTTGAAAATATTAAACGTTTACGGGCCTCGCTCGCCATCCTGTTAAGATAATTACGGCGTTTCCAAAAAACCTATGAATTATCAATTTGTAGCATCTTTTATTCCGTGAAATGTGGGTAGCTACACATGTGTCGCATTGCCATGAGTTATACGGGTTGACAGATGTTAACTTTTGACCATTCAAAAAACACAAAACGGACTTCGTTGCAGTTGAAAATAAGTAATTTTCTCAAATAGGGTTTAAAATGACTATAAAACACTTTCTCAATGCAAAAAGTTTTGAAATACAAAAACTGACACACAAAGCATAAGCAATATATACATGACGCGTGAAATTTTACTACACTATAGCTGTACTAACGTCATCACTGCATGAGAGGCCGTATTTTCATATGTTTAAGTAAACACGTATAAACTCATAACTACTCAAAAACTAGGAAATTATGATTAACATATGTCGATAAAAAAGGTAAATATGGTTAAAATATACAAAAAGCCTCATGTTTGTGGCAGTCATTCTCATCAAACCAATGCATGCCTCGTCTTGCGAGAAAGCTTTAGTATTGGTTGAATTATAATCACAAAAGAGTGACACAAAACCGGTTTCCTGCGGCATAATTTGCCCGAAGAATCCGTGTACGGGTCTAGGAGGGCAAAAATCAAAACTATATGTTGTGTTTTGTTTATTCAGGCTTCGACCATATACGTTCGACTACACTCGAAACCAAGCGGGTTTGTCTTTGGTTTTAATTATTTATTTCAAAACGGATAAACTTCAAAGGAGGCTTGCTAATAAGCGAAACAAAACGAGATATTATGGTCTTTCGTTTTGAGTGAAATACCGCCAATTTTCGCTGCGTTTATTAATAAAACGATTTAACCTGACGCGGCCAAAATTGTACATGTTTTCCCACTGGCCCTGTCGACGCAAATGAAGGATTTCGTCATACATGAAGATGAAGAGTTTGAAAAACTCACGAGCATTGTTTTAAAATTGCTAATGCCTTTCATATTCGAATATAATGCTCGCAATATATTTAAAATCTATGTTATTATTGACAAGCAAGATGATATTGATGACGTTAGACGCCATATATATATAAACACATGGAGATATACACATATACTATAAGAGGTTCATACATATAAATGCAAACGAAGTTTATCTATATGTAAAATGTGAGCATATATATATACCATACCCAAGTAAACTATATACACAGGTAACAAAGTTCAGCGGATTAAAAAGCTGTTGACACGCGCTCGAACTCAAAGCTTCTATATATATATAAAAGCACCTGCGAACGATATAGCATATTGCCTAATGCGTATAAGGCTAACGCGTATTATTTTAAAGAGAATATATCTATCTATAAATATATATACAATGCTTAACAAGAAGCGATTATTTCGTCGAATGCCAAGCCGGAATCGGCACGGATCAGGATTTTCTGCATACGACACTAAATACATCCTTCTTAGCGAGGACTTAAAAGCATTCAGTTCAGTTATTTTGAGTGATTTAACTTAAGTTGGAAGAGATATAATCATATATATATGAACACAAACGTATTAACCCCTATAGAATCTTTTCAAGGCAGGCATTGAAGTACATAATCAAGTTAAACACTTAAGAGTCAAGACCGAAGTGTAGGGAAGAATTGTCAACTCGTGTTCGAGAGGGGAAACGTATACACAAAGCATCGACTTTAATGTCCATATAATCAACACCTGGCAATGATACCAGATAAAAAAGCTGGAGTATAGAAAGAAGTTGAAAGCTATGTGCCACGTTTCGGCTGATAGGGATTTCATTGAATTTCCATAATCGTTTAAGGATTAATGAAAAGAGGAGGAAAGGAAGGTCATATATATGAAGCTTCAATCATCTACAGTTTTTATGCACGTATACCACATTAAAACGAAATGCCTGCAATTGTGTATATGTATACAACTGTGATTGTTGAGCCGTGCTGAAAGACAAGCTGGAAGCAAGCATGTATATATGTTCGGATCGAGGCAAGTATAAATTTGAATGACGGAATATATGACGCATATGAATTAGGTATATCACTCAATCTGCAGGACTCAGTTAAAGCTGCACAAAAAATATAAAAATCTTTAGCAATCGATGCAAACTTTCCTGGCTATACCTTTGGTGACCTAAGTAGTACCCGAACAACAGCGTTGAATATTGATACGACAACAAATATAATCAAGTACATAAGAGATCGTTTGAAGATGATAAGAATTACCATAGTATATATATAAAGATAGATATACTGCATGTATACATCTAGCTCAGTACGAAATAAATATATCTGTCTATTCACTATGGTTCCTCGGCAGTTTTTATAATGGCTGTTAAAAGCAACGTTATTATATAAGCATTGCCGACTGTATAGGCCTAAGATGCGATTACACCGACACTACATAGACCGTAGTAGGGATGGCATTACCGCAAGAGGTAAATATGGACGTTTAGAAGATAATAAAAGTGATCACGAATACTTACAAAGTAGCTGTCTACTCAATACAACATGATTCGGATCCGTTGTTGAGGTGAAGTATTGAACATCGATAACATGCGTTATGTTATTGTTTTCTTGCCTTTACAAACTAAAAACAATCGCTCTCGCATACATCACAGCTTGTGAGTAAGATACTCGAGCACTCGACGCTACACGCTGCTTGTAGGCATCGCAGAAAGCCCCATCAAGAGCAAATATGAACTCAAGAGTACTCATAAGGGTTGACTTTGAGTGAATGGAGTTGGGTTACAAACGGAAACAGCGAATTGGAATCACAGATGTTCATTGCTATCATAGAGTTATATTTCGCTATTTATATATGTTGACAAATTGCTTAACATTTCATACATTGCCGTACATACAAACATTATCACCTGACAATATAAATGGGCATTTCACAGGCTCGTAACACAATTTCCTGCGCTAGAAACCGTTCTGCAGAGGCTTTGGACTATGTTAGCGTGACAAATGATAACTGCAGGGGCCCAGAAGCAACATTCCTGTGTATAATTACATCTAGTAGGCGATACAAATCGATTAACCCGTTGGCTCGCAAAGGTTAAAACTACTTGACATTTAGGTAAGAGTGAACAGCCTGAAATTGCATGCTTATCGGCATTACGGCGCTTATCGACAGTCCATCGCAATATCCCACAAGCCCAACCGCTCATTTCGAGCTCTTATGAAAATTATAATTGCTTTGAATGTATAAAAGTAAGCTTAAAGTTACCTTCGTGTTATTTGAACTGCTAAACGATGTTTCAAGGATGGGTATCAGGTATTAACCCCGTCATAGATGAACGTAAAGTGGTCCTGATAATATATAATCCTTTTACGACTCTAAAGCAGTGCATGCCGAGATTCTTTAGCGTACATTTGAGATCGTTAGCGGAATTGGAAAAGCACGAACAGCTCTCGGCTTTGCTTTACACAAACGCGGTGTGGATATATTAAATATGCAAAATAGCTGAATGTTTGTGTGTGGTAGAAAGCGCTTTCAATTAATCTCTTTTGTTAGCAAGAATAGGAATTGAAAAGGACTACCAAAATATAGCTGCAACATTGGTTTGACAAGAAGGCAATGACACGCATCGCTAGCTACCTTTCAACCCGACAAAACCTTCACTAGTTGAAACAATGAGCCTTCGAAAATATACATTCGAAATATATCATTACATATTACAAGACTAAAAGCTTTCCACCGCAAATAATCTGCTTAAAACCGACTCCAATGTGAGACGAAATTAAATCATATATGATACTGAGGATTCCACCACAAATTTCATCATCATATTAAGGTCGTGTCTCGGGGGTTCAATGATGCACGCCAATATATGCCCAAGATAGCGTTATATTGAAAAAAAATGATATAAAATATCTTAACGGCACGATACAAACTGACCACAGAATTCTACACGAGGATCGAATACGCCAGCGCTGTTCTCGCAATATTAAAAAGCGGGCTGAGAAATCTTCCTCCTAGTTCTGTTAAGCTATCATGCCTATCAATCATAAACTAAAATGCATCTTAGCTCGCTGGATAAACAGGCCCGATAATCCACATTTTAACTGCTATAATTGCTATGTTTTATCAATCTATAGGATATAATGTTTATATGAACCCATATAGTTGTCCACGTACTGTATATCCTTCTATGTCAGTGACTATGTGTTCAATTAAAAGAGAATTCGGACAACCCATGGATGTAGCTCTCCAGCGCAGTATATAACATGATTTATATTGGTTGTGCAGTATACTTTGAAATAACTATCAGATTAAGCAACACTGGCGGGCATTTTGAGTGATTAATAGTACACCTTTACATGCTTACCGAATTCCAAAGCATCGTTAACATGATCGTATAGATACGTATTTTGCAGTTTCTCGAGGAGGAAGAAATTAAATCATAAACATGGCTAATAACATTTCACTAACGCTTTCAGTTCGTTGACAAGTCGGATTGCGAGATTAGACGCATATGCACTCAATTGAAGTGTTTTCTCAAGTACCAGTCACTAGTCTATTGGCTAGACAAGCCGGCTGTTGTCGGCGGCTCTATGTGAAACGCGTAATAAAGCCAGTCGAGAAGCAATATAACTTGGACGGAAAAAAAGTTGGCTGCTGCCTGATTGACTCGACAAAATATCAAGGATGTAAATCCATAGGTGGGGACGAGAAAGATTTAAAAGGGACTATAGCGTTGGATTATATAGCAGTGAGTCATCATGCAGTGCACGGATATAATATAACAAACGTTTCTACTGGCTAGACCATGAACTGGCGAGTGAAGATGCTGCATGGAAAACGACTAGCGTTTGTTGGCGTGAAGTTTGCAGCATCGCGAGTGTCTACCACAAATAAAGATCAGTATACCGACACAAAAGACCAGTCGTTTGAATTTTATGCTGGTGGCCGTCTATAGGATAAACGGCGCGTGTTTCAAGAGCTCTACTTGTGTCGAGAAAGAAAAAACTGCCAAGTTCGCCATGTGAGAAACTCAACATCATTTCCATCTTGGCTGCATTTCAACCAGGTTGTATATTGTTTTCGAACGTTCATCGCCTCATCGCGGATTTCAGGTGGGACCGTGTACATGCAGGAGATAACGAGACTTAAACGAGAACTTGCAAAGAACTCACATCTTTATACTTCGAAAGCATTCGACTGAGACTCAAGCGAATTTGTGAGTCCGACGAAACGACGCTCAACTATGTTAACGTGTATTCTACATGCGCGCAAAACGATTGCACGACAGCTTGAACTAACCTGAAAAAATCCTAGACCAACAATCACAGGTGATAAACGCACTTGATATCACTGTCCAGTGTTGACAACTTATACACCACATCTGCTAGGGTAACGTTTCGCACATAGCCAGCCCTATATAGCCGGTGAACAGACTCGCGAAGCAAACTAGAATCCACTTTGCTAAAACACCATACGCCAAATTCGTCTCCGCGTCGATTAGTATAATCCCAATTTCGATTTTGTAATTTTCAAAATTTCAAGTGTAGCTCGCCACGACGCCGTTTTTAATAAAACCTCACAGAGTGCTAGGCTATTGTTAACTCCTGTTCAACTACAATAATATTGTTGCGTTACCCTTCTATTAATTATCCACAGCTAATTAACTTATTACCTAAATTATTGCAATTGCCGCGCGAGAGCCTTTGAAATTTGCCGACGGCGTTTTAAGGGACCGCCCTCGTCCGCCTTGGCGTTAAGGAATCGGGCCGAAGCGGGTTTCCGAGCGGATGGAGGAGTGACGAATTTCCGGCAGTTTGCTATGCGAATTTCGCCCCGTACGCATACCTAGTAAAGCATGCTTTTGCCGTGTTTGTTTCGTTTTGTAAATTTCATTATCCTTTCACAACACCGGAGTAATTTTACGGAATAAACACTTGTGCCTTACGGTGCGGGTGTTGTGGCAGGCATTGGTTCCAATAGTTTGCCATATTGTGTAACTCAGACTCCGTTTACCAGCAGATAAGAAAAGCAAAGAAGTTTCATAAGGAAACGAACAGGTTTTACCGGATTCTTGTACAAATGATTTCAGTTTTGGCGAATCTTGGAAAAAGATTTACTTATAAATAATTTTTCGTGTAAACGTTCGCAGACGGCGTTTTAATAAATCAGGAAAGTTTTCCATTATTTAATTGAAAAAATCCTTAAAAACGGCAAAATCATTTCCGTCACGTTCTAGTGTAAACATATCGCAATATATACGCCGAATACATAAAAGTAGATTTCGAATGAACGAGACAAATGACGATGCAAAACAAGTGTTGATGAATCATGTGTTGCATTCTTAAGATGTCTTTACGTTTTTTTTTATACTTCAACCAGAGCTGAGAGCTCGTGTGGTGCTCAAAATTGTAAGGTAAAACCGTTTTAACGACGTGAAATTTGCGGTTCAAACCGCAAGCCCGAAGTCCCGCGTCTTCATAAGGAAACAATGCTACTTCTTCGCTCCAAGCCAGTTGCATACCTCGTTCATACTCATAGATAGTTCCTCATCATGCAGCTACCGCAACCGGCGTGGTACAAGCGTAGGGCATGGGCCCAAATTGTTTGTTTGTTTTGGAAGCCGCAGAATTTTTCATACATACAACGAAGGTTGATATTTCACAACTATATTGTAATATACACTGTCTCTTGTTCCATCGTTTAGTTATTCAAATCTATAGTCGTTGAAAAAAACTGAATGTCCACAAAAGTCAGCCCACAGCCTCAGCGTTGATGCTTTGATAGCTAGTGCATGTCTTTGAAGTTTACCGCTTGTCTATGCGTTTCATTTGTGTGTTTACTGTGTTTAGATCTTCAGACAACGGTAAATCGGCAACGGTAAAGCTGTCAGCAGTGCAATAACCTGTTCTGTTGAACATCTGAAGCACAAATTCTGTCCACAATGACCACGGAGAGATAAAATCACCGGAGATAAACGCCCACGTGTTGTCGGTACCTCCCAACCAGGAACTGAGAACCAATAAACGCGTCCGAGATGGACCGCGCACGAGTTACGGGCGAAAATATTCATGTATAAGTGTTTTATCTTAAGTGGAAAGAGATAAGCGTGAGACACGTGTGATCGGTGCCACCCCAACACGTGGCTACCTGTTCGCAGACATGACGGTCGCGTCAGAACGCACCTGTGTGCAAAACAACACACTCGATACAACAACAGATTCAACAACAAGAACAGCCAAAATTCGCCTAAACAAACTTCATCCGACGACAATAAAACAACAGAAATTTCCGCTAACATCAAGGAAAAAACTTGACTTGAGAGCCATAGCTAAGATTCATGTGGAAAAAATTAGACTTGATTGTACATCATGTTTCGGCGGTGATGTTTCGTCGATAGGAACTTATTGCTATTCCGTGATTCTCGGCCTCAAATTAAACGAGTATAACTGTATAGGTCTCAAAGTTGCCTCTATATAAAAACTGATCAGTTGTTACATTGGGTTTTGAAAGACTCGCTTGCTCTAAAATCGCTCATCATTTATATTGGGTTCAACGGAGCATGCGTTCTTGAGATTACTTAGAAGAGTTATGTACAAGAAGCTTTTTTATATAACAGCATGTCTTCATTACATCTCAGTATATTTAAACTTTTTGTCCCGACTGTCTCTACTATTTAGCTGATCATGCATGCGTCATGCGTTCTCAGAGAATCACATATATTTCTCATAAATATCTCGAATGCAAACTTAGCTAATAAACGCGCGGTTCATGAAGCCATGGACAGCAGTGGGACCTGTGGTGGGACAGCACGGTGAATCCTGTGCTGTGTTCAACAACTCTTATATAGTAGCTATCATGGTATACAACTAATATAAACGTCTATTCCAAATAAATCCTACAGTTAACGTCTGAGGGTATCTATACTTAATATTGAGTGCAATATGTGCATGACTGTATTTTGTGATTCCTTTTGTTATATGAACATGAGTGTTATGTAGAGTTTTACGCCACTGAGAAAAATCGTATTTAAACACAAGTAAAAGTACGATATTTTTACGTTGGGTTAATTTATATCATTTTCGCAAGCTTATCAACAACCGCGTATAGGAAATATGTTTGACCATGCAATCAAAAAATCTGTTGTAAAACGTTCCAGTTTTTGAATTTGTTGCCATAATTTGTTCATACAATAAACAGAATATTACATGGTTGCTTGGAAATATAGATTTATTTCTCGTGTTGAAGAAAATATTGCTCGAAATAAATTCCATATTTCCGCGCAACCATATATAATTTTCTCTATTTCCGCTTTCACGCGGAACTGAAAATCTGAAAGAACCCAATATATATTAAAAACTATATTTCATTGCTTCCAATTTTTGATATCAATTAAAAAGCATAACGTTGATTGAATGAACGTTTCAGAGTTCGTTGTGTGGGCTGAAAACCTGGGCTTCGTAGACATATATTATACAAATGCCTCTAATCTAACACTTGATGACTATCTTTTGTTAGCACAAAAAGTCTTATAATACATGCTTCCAAGTTGGAGCTAACTTACTTTCTTTATAACTTACTTAATTAAAGCAATTTTCTATTAGTAAACTGCTTTAGTTTTAACATACCTATAGATTTTCTCTGCGTCAGCACTAAGAAATGTAGTTGGTGGTTTTAGTGGGTCTGCAAATTGACCTGTGAAACATGAATGTATCGTAGCTGAAACAATATTGCATGTCACCAGTAACATATACGTACAAGTTATTTAACTCTGGTGCTCAACAAATATGCATATACTTAGATATTGGTTCTTACAATAGAAATGAATGTCGAAAGTCGTGTCCATCTGCATGTATAGCTCTAGATTTTTCACTTCCCTCTAATTATAAGCATATATACAAGAACGATTTGGCCTGCAAGATTTGAATGAACACAATCATGATATTGTATAGAAAAGCTCTCAACGTTTTCTAATCTATATAGTCGGTATTGAAAGCACAGTCTCGTGTCATGAACATTAATTATAATCGTGTCATACAGAGGGTTCAGTTGCTGTCCCTATATATAGCTGTTCTGCCTTGTGAGAGAGTAAATTACGCCCGATGTGGATCGGTGATGTTTTTTCTCCTTAAAAGTACATTTACGTGGGACATGTCCCCGCGGTCATGCCGTTGATGAGCTCACCGGCAATCCGCAAAAATGATGATGCGAAAAAGAAGAATATTACACAGGGCGGCTCGCTTACCGAGGGCGTAAACAATAGCGGGTGGTCGAGCTCAAAGCTGGGATGCGTAAGTGAGAGAAATTAACTGGGGAGGCAGATTAATTGCGCGCCCTTTTGTGAACTAAATGCGCAAGCAATGCCGAACACCGTTCCACGGGGTTTCAGCGTATACCGCCTTTCTTTCGAGAACGGTAGGAGCCGGGTCGTGAAATAAAGACCGTGAAAATTCGAGGTGATTACATCGGTTCGTGGACAATACATGCAAAGACATGCGCCACAAAGCAGCAATTAGGAATTGCTGTATTTAATTGATCTCATGTTATGGTATTACATGGAACGACGGGAGAATATAGTCTTCGAGAATGGAAACAAATACCGCCCCGAACGACCCTTTGATCCTCTTGGGGGATTGAAGTTTCTTTTTGAGTGGAAATAATTGAGAAACTGATAGTTTAAAAGGCTCTTTCAGATTAGTAACTTTTTGTGCATAGTGCATAGCGATGTTTTGGGTGATCAACAGGATTCATTTGTCTTGTATGCTAAAAATATTTAATCGTCGCTTTCTTCAGTAAAGCACAAACAAGAATATCTTTCCGACTTTGTGTCGACGCTGTATATAAAGTTAATTGTTTCGTACAAACAAATTAAACTGATACAAAAATAACAAACAAATAACTTATGTAATTCAAGGAAAGGATGAGCGAAGATGGTGACAAACAATTCTATATGACAACAAGCTATATAGTTGCGGCTTCGGCGTCAAAATGTTGACCGCACGCAGTTGCTAATTAGGGCTTTTATATTGGGCAATTTACCCGAATAAATCCGAAACCGAAAGGTGGCTTAATGCATGCTACTAGAGTAATATATAGATATATATACCGGGTGAATATTCTGATGCGGGCAACTTAACTAGCAATTTTCCCCGCTTATATACTAAAAGGCAACAAAAAACAAATTATACATTTTTGTTACATCACGGTTGCATGCATCTCATCTGTCTTCTCGTGCATGCAAACTTATATTGCTGGCCTGTGAAAAAGTTTCTTCTCCACAGTACTCTCCTCCGATAAATGCCAAAAGTCATTCTTTTGGTCCGTCGTCTTAGTGCGGAAAGACCGAAAGAGTTGTTTATAGTAAATAAAGTTTACTAGCTGTATTACTAAAGCATGCTCGGTGCGTCGGAGACTCCACTGAATCTTAAGACAGCAACCCGTGTTTCTTTAACTACTTCACACCGTCGCACTCATTGAAAGAGATAAAAACCATCTCATAGCTATACTGATAGTCAAGACGGTATCGAACGTAAACTGCAAACATTTAAGATATAAATTTCATGCACATGCAGAAAGCTTACCATTGATTGAGTGCCGAACTCCGC